GCAGCGAGGATCATGGCGCCGTCGAGGATCAGGAACAGCGTCTCGTTCTGCATCAGCTCGCTCGCCCAGCCGGTCTGCATCTCGGGGATACTGGATTCGGTCAGTCATGTCCGTCCTCCAGTTCAATAAAAAAAAAAAGAAAAAAAAAAGAAAAAAAAAGAAAAAACGTACCGGTAAATGCACCGCACAATAATGGCAATATAGGCACCCGTAATGGCCCAGATGAACTTCTGCACCTTCGGATCCTTGGGCCTGTACGTCTTGCCAGCAGCGCCCGCCCCGACGCGGCCCGAAGCAACGGAAGACGACGTCTCGCCGCCGCCGCCAGGCCCATCGACGACAGCCGGCGGCGCAGCCCGGCTCGCGCCTTCGCTCTTCTTCAGCGCGCGGTGGCGGCGCCAGATGTACAGCAGCATGAGGCCGCCGCAGAAGACCATGTTGGCGACCTGGAAGACGACGCCGGCGACGAGCAGGCCGGAGCCGACGTCGAGCAGGCCCTGGTCGGGGTCGTCGCCGTCGGTGGCGACGGACGAGACGCCGCCGCCGGCGGCCTGGATGACGATGCTGAAAAAGTCGGTGCCGACAAAGACCCAGGGGTAGAGGCGCGGGCGGATGAAGGACCACTGGGGCCCGTGCCAGAGGACGAGGTGCTTGAAGGTGACGGAGATGGCGGCGGCGACGAGGGTCGGGCCGAGGATGAGCATGAGCAGCTGGATGACGAAGCCCTCGTAGGACCACGGGTTGTAGGACATGGCGATGCGCGCGGCGTAGCCCATGAGCTCAAAGGCCGTGCCGAGGGCGAGGTACGCGGCGAACGACCATGCTTTGGAGCGCCACCCGAGGTAGACCTGCGCCGCGAGCAGCAGGGCGTGGGCGGCGACGAAGAAGGCGCAGGCCCCGGTCGTGAAGTAATCGCCGTACACGGTGGCCGAGACGGGGCAGCGGTCCGAGACGCCGTCGCAGGTTGTGTAGCTCGGGGGCTCGAGGTCGGGCGTCGAGGAGGACATGGCGGCGGTTCGTGGTTGGGCCTCTGGGTGGTGTCTTGGTTGGTGCCTTTACGAGAGGAAGGAGCGTTGCGATCGTTGGGGGAAAATAGAGAATGAACAAAAGGAGCAAACGACGAGCTGTTGAGACGAGCTAGGCTGCCAAGTAAGGAAGAAACTAGTAAACGAACGGTCAGGCCCTGGAGGCGGAGTATAATGCCCGACAGCACGAGTCCTTCGATGGAATGAGAAGGCCGGGGGGGAACTGGATGAACAGGGCAACAGCAAAGCAATGCGAGCTAGCGGCAAAAAGAGCCAGTACTTATTCTAGAGGATAGAGCAGGCAAACGGAACAACTTTTCATGAGCTCGGTTGAGGAATCAACAATTTAGGGTCGCGGCCAAGGGGTATGGTGTTGTGTGGTGCTTATAGCCCATCTCCAGGCTCACCATCGTATTTGGGACGGCCGGGATTCAGAACACAGCCCACGGAGGGGGCCCAAGAGCTTCCTTCCCTCGACCGCAAAGGCAGTGACCCTGTGCGAAGCGCTGCCAAGAGTTTTGGTCCAGAGAATAATGTCGTCGTCGGTGGTGTGGGGAGCGGGAGGCGACAGGCAAAAAGCCAAGAGGCCAGACCACGCGGGTCGTCATTTGCTGCCGCATGAGGAGACGTAAGGGTGATCGCTATACATGATGGAGTGTACAGTATGCTCTGCACGTTGGGGTGTAAGAATGCTGTGCAATATGAAGTGTAAAGTAGCTGTGCCAGATGGAGTGTCGAGTATATAGGAGAGGTACTTCAGCTGAGCCACCCCCAGGCAGTGCCACTCCCAACCGCACATTAGATATGCCATACTCTTCCACCACAGCCTGTGAACGCCCGCAGACAACAGCTGTGTTACTAGGGAAGTCGACGTTCCGCCTGTGTAAATCACATGCCAAGAGAAAAGAGACAACCATCCTGACTGACCCACCGGGCATCACCCACCTCTGCCCAACCTCGAAGCGAGCATGATCCACCATTTCGAGTGCGAGATCTACGAGTGCGAAAGGGGGGGAAAGGATAACCAAAAGCCAAGTCTTGCTCATCCCATGCTTGTACCACGTCGGGGCGGACATCTCGAAACCCGGTCCTCACGGGGCGCCCATTGGACCCAGATGGGACCCAGATACGGACAGTCGGCGCGATGCAAACGCCGTGCCCGCGTTTTGGTTGACAGGGGAGCGGCTCAGCGCGCGTAGATTGTGAGGGACCCGTCGCCGTAGGGCTTGGCGACTCCTTGCTTTCTTCCGATTGGAAGATGTAGGGGGGGAAACCGGTCTGGGGCTAGTGGTGCAGGGCTCGTAAATTCAAATCCGTTTGCCGTGTTGGGACATCTTGTTGTCTGCGACGACCTCAACTCTGGTTGCTTACCGGCTATCATTTTTTGCAACTGATGGGGGTGACGCGTCGGCTCAGCCCCCTTTTTGAAGCCTACCAACATGCTGTGAAACGTCAAAGCTACCGTTCCTCGCCATGGATCCTTCGCCATTTATCCGTCCACTGCGGTTCATCCCTCTTGCCTAAAGACGAGCAGCACAATCGAAATGTTGCGTCCATGTGCCAAGACGAATTATAAGCCTGCACTGCGCACCATCATGTATCGCGTTCGACTGGACCAACGGCTCGACTTTCAGCAGCTCAATAACGCGGCTACAGCCAATCGTACATAACTAGCGAGACGGCCTTGTGCGACGACGCCGGCTCGCTCGTTACACGAAACTCGCAATGGCCGTCCAGAACGCCTGAGGATCCTCCCACATGGGCAGGTGCCCCGTATTCGGCACAATCCTCAGCTCGACGCCCTCCTGGCCGACGCTGCCCCGGAACCCCTCCATCGCCTTGACGAGCGCGCCCTTGCCGTCGCCATCGCCGACGACAAAGAGACCCGGCACGCGACACGCACCGAGCCGCGGCCGGAGGTCGTAGTCCCAGAGCGCCTGACAGCCGTACCGGAACCCCTCGACACTGTTGGCCGCCACCATGTCCGTCATGAGGTTGACGATCGTCTCCTTCTCGAGGCTCGCCGGGTGGAACCAGCGCCCGACCGTCTGCGTCGCGAGCTTGTTGATGCCCGCGCCGCCGTCCGACTCGGCGACGGCGATCCGGTCCTTCCACGCCTGCGTGTTGGCGGCGCTCGACGATGCGTTAAAGTCACAGGCGATGAACTTGGCAAGGCGCGTCGGGTACTGCAGCGCAAAGTTGAGCGTTGTGGCGCCGCCCATGGACACGCCGATGAGGGCCTCAAGTTTCGGGATGCGCAGCGCGTCGAGCAGCGCCGCGAGGTCGGACGCCACCAAGTCGAGCGTCGCGGGCTCGGGCTTGGGGATCGCGTGGCGGCCGCGCGTGTCGTAGCGGAGGATCTTCAGGTCAGGCCGCTTCTCCTTGAGGATGTACACGAGGGGGTCCCACATGTGCATCGACGTCAGCAGGCTGTTGCAAAAGGCGACGACGGGCGCCTTGGGCGACGTGTTGCCCTCGAGGCGGTACGGGATCGACAGGCCGTCGGCGGTCGTCACGAAGGAGCTGATGACCTCGTGCGCACCGGGCAGCTCGGTCGTCTTGGCGCCGTCCGACGTGATGCCCTGGCCCGCCGGTGGCAGCTTGGCGAGGGAGGCAAGGTCCCGCGGTCCCGGGCCGAAGACGTAGAATAACGAGTAGGTCCGGCGGCTCTTGGTCGCAATGTGATTCTGGGCAATATCGTCGCGCCACTTGGTCGACATGGACGCCTGGTGCTCGGGGCCGCCGAGGCCGTTCTGCTTGGCATATTCGTGGATCGACAGGTATATCGTCCTGCCTTCGTTCTCGATCGTAGATGTCTTCATGAAACGCGTGCGCAGCCACCCCGGCACCTTGGCCAGCAAGCCCATGTGTTCTTCTTCGAACCACTTTTTGTATTCGGCTTCTGATTCGGCCGACTTTAAGGTCGTCTCGTTGACGACCAGCTGGATGCCTTCAGCCTCGTCGTCTGTCAGCTCCTCGATTGGTCGGAAGCTGGGTGCCGTCTTCTCGGAGACGACATCGAAGAAGTATCTCTTAACGTCGACCTGGGCAATGGTCTCGGCTTCGCGGGGCGATCGGTTGGCGCGAAGGGTGAGGTACGTTGGCGTCTCGAGATGGGACATGCGCGTCACGTCGTAGACGGCGAGAAATGTCGGCTGCTCGCCGTCGGTGGCCCGGTAGCGCAGGCCGTTGGTGAAGATCTCGGGGATGCGCAGGCGGATGGGGCCGTGTTCGTTGTTGTACCAGTCGTGGAATTGGGCGAGAGGCAGGCCGGGCTTCGGCTGCATCGTCACGTAGAGCATACCAGGGGAGGCCATTGCGGGATTGGGTGCCGTCCGGGTGCTGCAGTGGTGTTCGTGAGGCGAGCGGCCTGGTGTTGTACCTAGAGGACCTAGAGAACCTGTGCAGCTGTCGAGGCCACTGACAGAGAGATCGTGAGCGCGGGGCAGTTGCAGCTGGGGAGAGTGCGGGGTCCTTGCAGAGATGACGACACGGGGAGAGAGAAGAAATTTGGCAGTTTCGGGGATCACGCAGTCCTCGTCAAGACAATAAGAACCAATTCCGAAAGTTTCACTGCGATGAACGGCTCATTCCGACAATTCTTCTCAAATGATAGCCACGGCAATTAGTACCTCGTTCCGGGTATGGAATCACCCGGCATCTCAGACACAGAGTGCCCCCGCATGTCGCTGCCCCAACTTCGGCAAGTGCAGTCGGGTTCCTCTGGTCTACCCCGCAGTGGGTCGCTACTGCCTTGACAGAGAGAGCTACTGCCCTTGAGGGAGAGGCAGCATCGGTCTCTGCAACAGAAAATTCTCGGCAGAGAACACATGTTAGACTATTCCGAGTTACCTACTCATGACCAAGGAGTCACGACAGGATCTCACCGAGTCGCTGGGCCTCTACAAACGGCAGAAAGACAGCCCGACCTACCTACGGACGGGTGACTACGCAGCCTGGCATGTCTCAATATGCCGAAACACACTCTCCTTCACTATACGTCGTGGCTTTTATTGAATCAATGCCCAAGAAGTAGGGCTGACAGTCTGAGTGCCTCGCAAATCTCCAAAGCTCCGCTGCCTCTTCTTCATCAACGATCATGGCGAAACGAATCGTGGTGAAGTGCCAGTCGCAATTGATTCCCGGCAAACCGGTAGAACGGAGAAAAACCATGGCGAGTCTTATATGCCAGCATGAATGGGGTCGGGATTTCGACGACAAGCAAGATTATTTCACTTCTCTAGGGCTATACGATGCCGACAACGTCAAATGCTACTTTCTCTTGGATAACGGGGTAGTAGGTGAAGGGGAGGCCCCCGAGGTCAGGGTCTACAGGTGGGATGGGACTAAGTTGTAAGCAAAACGACAGAATTTGCGACCCATACCTTGAACTAACTCAGATCATCTCACAGAGCCTCCAAAGCAGTATATCAGGCCCTTGTTCAATACCTTGAACACATTCCATTTGGAAGAAAGTCTGCGACCGCCAGCCTATCTGATGCTGAGTACCTTGCTTTGTACGGGCAAGACCAATTCGACCGCTTGATTTCACAGAGGAACGAGCAGCAAGAGAGACGTCGTCGGTCGATAGCAGAGGGGCAGAAAACAGCACGTCACAACAACTCGGTCACGTGACTACACACCAACAAACAGGTAGTGATGGCATTGCTTAGGCGCGTTGAGAGCAAAGCGGCTGGACCTGCTGGACGGGGAGCCACCGTTGCTATACTTGCAGATAATACCACTCGGATGGATGCTTCACAAGCTGTCCTGGGTCGACCGGAGCAAGCGCCAACATGCAGCCAAACCTAGCTTATCGACCTACTTGAGCAACTCCTCATTTGACTTCTTTTCCACAAACAGCGCTTTCCTGCAATCGGTATCGTTCTTTGCAATATTCATAAACTTGCACAAAGGCGGAAAAGTAAACATCTTACACCATGGCTATAATCACCATCATCTCCGCAGCAGCGTCAGCCTTCATCGTCCTCGCGGTGTACTACGGCATCATCAACCCCGGTATCATCTCTCCACTCGCCAAGATACCTGCGGCGCACTGGTCGTGCCACTGTGCCCCTCTCTGGATCCTCGCTGTGAGGTGGAACCGCCGTAAGAACAGGACGCTACTTGAGGCGCATCGCCGGCTGGGCCCTGTCGTGCGCATCGGGCCCAAGGATATCAGCATCGATGGCATCGATGGACTGAGAATCATTTACCAGGGCGGCTTTGAGAAAGACCCGTGGTATAGCGTGTTCAGCAATTATGGGTGAGACGAGATACGGATCAAGGTCAGGCGATTTAAGACTAACCAGTGACAGCATCGAAAACATGTTCTCGACCCTCTCCTCTCGACCTCACTCCCTCCGCAAGCGAGCCGTGTCAAATGTATACTCCAAGTCCTTCATCCACACCTCTCATGCTGCCAAGGCCCAAACCACCGCCGTCGTGCAGGACCGGCTGCCGCCGTTGCTACGTACAGAGCCGGCGTCTTCGTGTGCCGGCGTCGACGTGTTTCCCATCTTTCTCGCCTGCGCCATGGACCTCATTGCCGCCTACGTCTTTGGCCTCGCCGGCGGGACAGACTTTGTGCGCCGCGCCGATAAACGCGATCCGTGGTTGGCGCTGTATCTCGCCCGCGCCGAGCATGGCTTTTGGCCACAGGAGCTGCCGGCCCTGACGCGGGTGTGTCGGCAATGGCTGGGTCTCTCGCTATATCCACGCTGGGTGGACAGGGCTAACGCTCAGCTGAACACCTGGAATCGGACCATGTGCGACGAAGCGCAACGGCGGGCGCAAATGGCTGATGCCGGTGCCGAAGACCGGGACGCGGCGGACGAGCCCGTCGTTCTCGACGCCATCAACGCCTGGATTGACCGGGAGGCGCGCACGGCCGGCGAGTACAGCCTCCTATTCACGACGAGCATCTCGCAAAGCCGTGACGCCGTTGCCTCGGGAGGTCATGGACCACCTCCTCGCTGGCCAGGAGACGGCGGGCATCGCTCTCACGTATGCGGCATGGCACCTGTCGCGGTCCTCTCGACTTCAGGATGAGCTACGCGCAGAGCTGCTGACGCTGCACCCCTCTTTTTCATCGCCGTCATTGGAAAAAGGCAGCACCGTTCCCGACTGCAAAGCCCTAGACGCTCTGCCACTCCTCCATGCCGTCGTCATGGAGACTCTGCGCCTGCACGCGCCGATCCCCGGGCCCGAGCCGCGCCGAACACCTCCAACCGGTTGTCGCATCGCCGGTTTCACGATCCCCGGTGATGTCCGAGTAGCCTGTCTCGCGCACACTCTCCACCGCGATGAGACGGCGTTCCCGGACCCAGAAAATTGGGCGCCCACGCGGTGGCTCGTCGAGGACGTCCAGAAGCGGGAGATGCTCCGCCGATTCTGGGCATTTGGCAGCGGCGGCCGGATGTGTCTGGGTTCCAACTTTGCCATGAACGGTAGGTTCGTTAGAACTCGACATAAAAATGATACGATTCTGATCATGCCTCACTAGAAATGAAGTACATTCTCGCCGCGATATACTCCCACTTTCGTACCTTTGTGGTCGATGATACCGGGATCACACAGGAAGATGCGTATACCGCGCGGCCGACTGGCGAGAGCCTGACATTGCGTTTTGAACCTGTTGACAGCTAGACTTGGGTCTCTCGATACGAACAGAATTTGTATCGATGACGGAGGGTTTCCTTCGTTTGTAGAACCTCTGACCACCCATGAGCTTACCTCCAACGGACTTCGCGCGAGCAAAAGTGAGCGGAACCGAACACGACGAAATGCGAATGAAATGTCAAAACAACGGAGGTTTTCTGGTTTCTGAATCCTCCAACACAATGTGACATTTACATAATCCACCGTTGACAGAACCAGCCAAAATGCAAGCTCATGTTGGGTCCAACAATAGCCACCTGCTGAAGAACGTAGGTCTGCATTTCGGAGACACTTTCGTCCTCTCGCATTGAGCGGACACCTCGGATAGAACTGTGCAATGACTCTGAGTTGTACGGCATGTACCCCTTACTCGTGTCTAGCCTTTCCTTGTCAATTGGTAAGTGTCGAGCGATGCGGCTTCCTGTATTTGTTGCTAGTTGTGATCAGGTTACGTTGCACCATTTGCCGTTGCCCATTTGCCATTGGCATACAGATGTGCAAGTGCTACTTGAGAGACGTTAGATTGACTTGCATCACGTAACGGCGTATGTACAATTAATGTACTAAAGCTCAGCGCGTCTTTCGCCATGAATTTTGTTGTCTCAGGCTTCAGAAGACTTCTAGAATGCTCGACAAAGCGATGATATTTCTAGCCCAAGACCGGCATCAACTTGGATCCGGCCTGCGACCTTTTCATGTGTAATTAGGTACTTCTACCATATGAATTAAATCCCTTTTGACAAAAGAAACCACAGCAAAGGCTAGTAATAAGTCTCGTCATCCACAGGATCAATGAAAAAGGGTAGATACTTTTCCCGCGATTCCTCCTGCAGAGCCTTGCTGAACAATTCCGGGTCCAATTCTACCTGTCGCGCCTTGCAATACTCCCAGTACGAAGGATACCATCCTGACTGGGCCCAGTCAATGACAGCTGCTACCTTTGGGCTGGGCCCTCGTGACAAGAGCGCATTCGGCGGGATCAGGTCGCTATGAGAAAACACAACGGGGATCTCGCAACTGATATCGATGCCGCAGACGTCTTGAAACTGCTGGGCAGCGTTGCCGCCTTGAAATGGTCCCACAAGCTCTGGGCGGTACACGAGGAAGATATCCCTCAGAGGCCTTGTACCGATGCTACCTGTTAGGAAAGTAGTCATGTTAGGCCATGTGGCTGACCTTTGAGGTTGCCATTTACCAACAAAGGGCTCTTGGCCGTCTTGCTTCAGACCCCTCCATGCCTTGACCATGGGCTTCAGCTCGGCGCAGATGGCTTGCCTCTCGGTTTCGTTCAGATCGTTCCACCTCTGTTCCAAGGTATCGCCCTCAATCAGCGACATGTAGATGAACCCCTGATCTTCATCCTCGGTCCAGCCAAAGACCTCAGGAACAGGCACTTGACCAAGAAGCTGTTCGTGAACCATCCTCTGAGTCGAAACTTCTCTCAATGTAACGTCGCCTCCGTACCTGACCATCAACCCTAGCGACGGGATTCTGACAGGCCTGGGACGATTGAAACTTGATGCCTAAAGATCGCCCGACGCCAGACTGATGGCCCTAACCGCTGCCGGCGTTGGAAAGTCACTGGCTCAACCCTTCTTGAAAAAGCTCGATTCGGGGAAGATTTTGATCCGCTATATATTGAGAACGAGGGGCGTGATATTGAGGCTGTCGAAGCGGGGTGATGTCGGCGCGAAGTGACAGGTAATCCCATCCGGTGTTGGTTGTTGAAAGGGCGTATGGTGGACTACACCTCCGGGGGGTGGCCCCAAAGGATCCTGATGGCGCTCTCCTCGTATACCTCGATGCCTCTCAGCACGACGCCTCCCAGCGCGACGTACACACTCTGACGAAGTCCATCGACGACCGAGTCAGGGCCCTGGAGGAGGTGGTGGGCGGAGTGAACAGCGAGACGCAGTCCCTGATTTCATTGATGTCCATCATGGAGCGCAGACTGCCCACGTCGTCACCACTGGCCAGATCTTCCTCCGCAGCCGACCTGGACACGCCAACCAGGGGATTTTCCATCAGCGCAATCAGTCGTACCGCACTCGCGACGATCGTCCCTGACTGGCGCGCCAGGTCGGTACTGATGTTCAATGGCGCACCCTTCAAAGATCACTGGGCGTACTGGATGCCCTCGCCCAAGAACCCATACATGGGTGTTTTAATCCACGCGGCGGGTGATGTGAAAAAGGGGTTCAAATTCGACGTCAAACGAAGCTGTGACTTTACGACAACTGCCCAATCGTCCCGCCGCCAAAGTGCCGCTGCAGTGGGTCGAGGCTAGCGACGCCGACCAGAAAGCGGTGTTCCTTAAATGGTATGGAAAAAGCAAAGCTGATGGCACACCAATCGGCCGCTTTCAGACTGCTCTCCACAACGTGAAGGTCCCGGGAAAGTCTTTCAATGAGGGTAAGCGCGCGATTCTCTCTCCTACATACCGGTTCTGGTGCCCACTGGTGGGGCATTACGACCTCACAGTACGCAACAATCCATCAATGTTCAAGCTGATCGAGTACGTCTAGGCCAAGTCCGGCACGAAGGTATTACAAAGGAACTGCCAGACATGGATTGTTGAGTCTGCTGATGAGCTTGTGGCGCGCTCCTTCTTCGAAAAGGAGGTTGCTGCCTACCTTGATGCTATTGAGCAGTAATGCTACTCATGGTTTATACAGGATCTTGAGGGGAAAGAGAGGAAAGGGGAAAGGAGAAGAAGGGAGGATGGACGAGGAGGGAGGATGGACAAGGAGGGGGAAAGGACGAGGAGGGAAGAAGGGGGCAGCCAAGGCTAATCTACTAACAGGATCTTGCAGCATAGGAGGCTTGTCGTATACATGCTATATTTCAATCATATCTGTCGCCTTGATGGATGTGTAGCGATAGATTCAAAAGCCACCCATAACCCTCCAATAACATAATCACATGGTTTGGCATCAAAAATCTCAATCTGGTTGGCCAGTCACGATGAAGGCGGCTTTGATGTGTACCAAGTAGTCACATTCGAGGCACTCACCCCTAGCCGTGTACCTTGTTGCTCATCTACAGCCCTTCAACGAACGCCAACAACTATGATTGGCCCGACCAGGCGCGTTTGGAAGCGCCGACTGGCTAGCATGGCCATACCACATCATGAACTCCCACTCGCGAAACCTGGCAGACACGCAAAGGCACGCGAATCCGCCATCCTTTGAATTCAGCATTGAAGAGTACTTGCACCGGCAAAAATCGACTGCGAACTATCTACAGTTCATTCCACTCGTCCTCGGCCTCCTCCACAAAAGGCGCGAGCATGGCCTTGAGCTCCTCGACATCCACCTCGGCATCCCCACCAGGCTTGCGGTGCGGCAGCAGCACGCTGTCGACGACGTGCACGACGCCGTTTTTGGCGACAGCGTCCGAGACGGACACGTGGATGTAGCCGTTGATCTTGAGGTCGATGAAGCCGCGCCAGCTCGTAATGTCGACGGCGATGCTCTTCTCGTCGAGCAGACTGGGCAGGTCGACGTGGTAGTGCTTGACGCCCTGGGCCTCGACGCCGTCGCCGCCGTCGCCGGCAACCTCCTCCTCGTCGCCCTGGTCGCGCTTGTAGTAGTGGTCGCTGTACAGCGTCTCGTTGGCGACGACGTGGTACTTGAGCAGCGCCTTGAGGTACTTGAGCCCCTTCTCCGAGTTGAAGAGGAAGGCGTTGGCGCTGGGGCCGAGGCGGTCAAAGGCCGTGTTGGAGGGGGCGAAGACGGTGGCACCCTTCATCTCGACGTGATGGATATAGTCGGTAAAGTGCGTCTTCTCGTACGCCAGCAGCAGCGTCGAGAATTTGGAGGGAAACAGCGTGAGCTCGCGGCCGATCCAGGGAGGCGGGACAAGGATGCGGTCGACGGCGTGGATGACGCCGTTCTTGGCAAACGTATTGGCTCTGACGACCTTGTCGTAAAAGTTGACGCGCACGCCCGTGAGCCCGATGCGGATCCGCAGGCGCTGGGGACGGTCGCCGAGCCAGGGCTCATCGAGGGCCGTCGGGATGGTGTGGGTGTAGAGGATGCGGCCGGCGGGGTAGAAGCCTAGGCCTACGTGGTACTTGAGGAGACCTTCGACAAATTCCTTGGAAGGCTTCTTGTCGTGGTGATCGGGGATGTGCTCAAAGGCCTCGTCCGTGGGGACGAAGACGGTGTAGTTTGCCTTTGTCGAGTTGAGCAGCTTCACCAGTGATTCGTGCTCATTCACGAGGTGGAAAAACTTGGTGGCATAGTCGCTCTTGGAGATGAGCTCATAGATAGTCAAGTTGGAAGTATCAGGGTGGTGATGGTGGCCACGATAATACCTGGTCTCTTCTTCGAAAGCCTGCTGAATGGTCGTGGCGAAGCTGTCAAGCTTGTTACCAGCATAGCTTACGGCATCTTCGACGTTGCTGGCCAAGTGCCGGGCGTCCTCCTTGATGGAGTCTACAGTAGAGGCAATGGATTCCTTGGTAGGAAGGAAATCCTGCCGGTCCTTCAAATCGTTGGTGCTGGGTACGACGATGCCGGCGGCGATGGCCGCGAACGGCAGGGTCGAGATGATCTTCATGGTGTCGAGTAGCGATGAGACAACAACTATGAAGACCCGTTGAGAGATGGCGAGAAGCGTAGATGGGCGATGGGGTGATATACGTTACGCAGGCGTTCCAGCTGACGTCAACGAGCGCAACCAATGATGCCGGCGGGCGAGTAGGAGCTAAAAAGCCGGACGGATGTACCGGACAACGACGTGATTTGTCGTGCTCATGAGCTGCCATGCGATGATACGAGCCCAGGCAGTCATTTACGCGGCGTGCATTTCCGCGTCATCACGCAGCTACCCTGCGCTTATCCTGCTCTTCTTCGGGAGGCCTCGAGGTCGTCTAGCATGATGGCGAAACCTTCGACGCATCACCACTCGGATCTGCCCCGCATCCCACATTCGCCAACCGCTGCCCGCGGAGATGGTGCACCCCATTCGTTGACGTCGCCCAGTATCCCCAGAACCTAAGTTCCCTGAACCTGGGCTCGGGGACCGCGGTGTTGGTAGGGCTGTTCCCGATTCGCACGGCGTCGGAGCTCAATCGGTTCTTGCTGAGACCGGTATAACCGCGCGCATGCCACAATGGTGCTTCTTATTCAACCCGAGTAGATTGCCATGGTCGAGGATGCGTCTCTTGCCAGCGCCTCACGCGCTGCCAGGCCTTGCTGGTATCGTTCCCATCTCAATGTCTTTCTCCGATTGCCTCATCCGAACGATAGTGCCCCCCAGTCGCCCAAATCCATACCACAGCATGCGGTAGGGGTATTCCGCTTCGGTGATCTTGGGCCAGGTGAAATGCACCAGAAATGTCTCCACCGGCCTCCACGTCCTTTCGACCCAGCCCGTACTCGGTATTCGACGCTGCCAATGTCGGTAGTCTGTCGCAAGTACAATGTTGCCAGCGATGTCAAGGAGCCGGACGATCCTGCATCATGTCAGAAACCGAGCACCCTCGGGTTTGCATGGTGTGCACTCACATGGCAATACCGATGGGAAGCATGCCCAGAAACACGGTATCCAGCGTTGATATAGTGCCTGTCCTGTCATTCCGCATCATTGCACCAAACTCGACGAGCGACGAGATCCAGATGGCAACGATGACGACATCGATCACGGCGACAAAATGAAAGGTCCTCGACTTGTCCGTCCGAAACCACATGATCACGTACACTAGCAGGCCCAACACCAGATTGATCTTGAAAGAGAGTCAGCACAATCACGCGCCGAGGGACGTATCCTTGACTCACGACAGCGGGCATCACAATCTTCAGGTTCCGCGGCACCAACACCATGCTGCTGGCGCTCGCGAGGACGGCGACGCCGGCACTCAGCAGACCGAGGAGCAGGAACCGGTGGTGCACCCTCTTGTAGGCGTCCCAGCACGGCACATGAAACTCATTGACCTGCATGCTCGTGTAGTCGCTGGTCCGGCCCACGTGCACCGGCATGCCGCACCACCGACAGACGTAGGCGCTCGTCCAGTCGGCAAAGGTGATCTGCTCATCGACGTACAAGTCACGCGCCTTGAACGCGCACACGACGCAGCGGCTCGCGAGCGGCCAGTCGGCGCTCGCGACGTCGGCCCAGAGCATCGTGGGCGGGGAGCTAGCGACGGGGTCCTCGGTGCGCAGGCAATCGCGGCAGGTCGACAGCAGGGCGGCCTGCAGACGATGGGCCGTGCCGAAGAGGCGGCCGACGACGGCCGGGGAGATGAAGGCGCGGTAGAAGCGACATGTTCGGCGGAGGTGCTCGAGCTCGCCGAAAGTGAGGTGCTGGATGATGTGGAGTTGGAGCTCGGCAGGAAGACGGAGGATGTTGGGTGCAGTTGGAGCGGCTTCTGCCTCTTTGTTGTCCATGTTGGCTGGACCTTGTGAATGTCGGCTGTTCAAAGTACCAAGGTCGCGATGCGGGATTCGGTATATCGAGCGGTTAACCGCCCACGGTGAAGATGCGAGACCACAGTCGACAGGCGGATGTTTGCCGCAGCCGCGTGCTCCTTTACTCTCGCTCGCTCACATAGCGAGGACAGCGGTCAAGTTTCGCGGGGTAATACCTAGGCAGCAAGCGGCGGGGCTGGTGAGAGCTGACAGAAGTGAGTCGCGAAGGGCGAGAGCCTTGAGGCAGCTGCAGCGACAACACGTGAGTGTCTGAGGCCTGAGGTCGAGGGCGCCTTCTCGCTGGAGACCAGTGGTCGTTCCTGCCTCCAGGCTGCACCTCAGGCTGCACCTACCAGCAGCATAAGTGGGGCTGCTGTATACCTAAGTACCTTACTCGAGTGCGAATACCTCTGCACATGCACTAATTACATACCTACCTAGGTACCTACCATCTGGGGATCTAGCAGCGTCATGTCGGATGCCGTGGTAAAAACATGGTAAATATCATTTTTGACGATTCCCATACGAGCGCAAAACTACCCAACGCAGCCCTTGCGAGTTAATGCCCTATGGATGCGGTAAATGCGCAAAAGGCATCCCATGCCTCTGGTTCCTCAAAACGCCTCAACAAATATGCACGCCAATCAGACGTGTAGCCCACCGTGCATTCAGCCTTGCAAAACTCCCAGTAGTCCGGCCACCAGCCCGACTGTTCCTAGTCGATGATAGCGACAATTTGTCCCGGCGAGTCTGGGTTGACCATGATGTTGGTGGGGTGAAGATCCCCATGCGTGAAAACAACCTTGCTGTCATCAGGGAACAGGTGCCGAAATCCATCTGGGATCTCCTCGAGTGTCCGCCCAGGCCAGATGGCTTCGAATCCCATCTTGCTCGTCATGGCGAACCAGTCATGCAAGGCTTTGACGGAATCGAAAGGCCCTGTCCACGGCCTTTTGTCCCCGTTGCCGTTGACTTCGACATCGTACAGGGCTGAGCCGTCAATGCGAGCTAGGCTGGTGAGTTTATGAAAGAGCCAAGAAAAGGCCAGGGGAGCGGCGGCCAGAGAAATGGTTCATGTGAAAAACTTACAGATCAGGGGATGTGGTGAGTCTCGAGAAAGTGTTCGAAGCTTCGACACCATGTCCATCAAATTATTCCAGAGTACGCCCTTCTGTTCCTCCGTCATGCGCGGCCAGCAATCCTCGACAGTGACTCCCTGGACAAGTTCCATGTACAGCAACACACAATCGTCGTGAGAAGTCCAGCCATAAATTTCGGGGACAGGTACTTCGGGGAGGAATCGACGGAGAACCCAAAGGCATATGCCCTCGCTTACATGAACTTGGCGCATTCGACCGAATTTCACAACAAGTCCAAGCGACTCGTGCATAACCGGAGGGGGTCGCATGGCCTCGCTCAGGGCAGACGAGTTCTGCATCGCGCATTCCGCCTTGACATCTGACAGCGTGGGGAGAAGGACATCTGGGTGGCGTCGAAAGAAGCTGGAATCTTCGAAGATGGCATTTGCTTGGGAAGGAAGCACATTCGTTCGTATGGACGCGGTCATAGCTTTCACGAGTCGCATCTGTCGTTAGCAGCGGTTCTCGAAAAATCGACTAGCAGCGTTGGGAGATGATGGTCGACTGCGGCCTGCGGAGCGGGACGACTCTGAGAAGCTGAATGGATTTTGCAACCCAAGCGCCCACTTGTATGCATTGCTAAAAATACCAATCAACCATGAGCGCCCGTTGGTTCGCAAACTTTACATTCTCTAACCATACAGCCATTCTGATATGCGGCATCTGGGTGCCAAGGCTACCGATACATGTAGGTGGCAACCACTATCCTCCTTAGCCGCGCTGTCGAGGTGTATCTATTTCGACCGATGTTCACTTATTGTACAACGCCGGTGAGGTGACTGGAGTCCGAGTCTTGCTCTCATCGTCTATACTTGGAGGCCCAGTCACGCTTGTAGAGAAAGCAGATGCACTAGAAACGACCCTGCTGCTTGAGACTCGGTCATGCTGCTCTGTTCCACAGCTTGTATCCAGTTGGGCCGGTCTTGGGCATCATCTTCACTCCATCCTGATTCCAACTCTGAATGGCGTGCACGCGGACTACAAGCGCCAACATGTCACACATCCCGCCGGACCTGTTGGGGGCGTGGCCTTGCATGCCAGCCGGCCAGCCCAAACAGCAGTCATGACTCTCCAGGTTGCGCTGTCTTCGTCGTGATCTGGGTTCCCAGCGCACATTAATCATACAGAAACCGCGGAGGCAGTGCGGTTCCATCAAGATGGACCCCATCGGAATCGCCGGCATTCTCATAGCCTTCGCCCAGGTATCCTTCAGGATCACCGTCTCCTGCTCCAAGTATCAGAAGTTTGTAAAAGATGCCCCCAGTGAAGTCTCACGCACGCGCGACGAGGCAGTAAGCATTCGCAATGTCGCAGAACGTCTGGTCGACGTGGTCGACTTATACGACAGTAGCGATTCGCAAGCGACGTTCTCTTCCCTCAAAGCCATGGGCGTGAAAGGGGGCCCTTTGGAAGGGTGTTTGCGGGAGCTCAATACGCTGGAGGCTTTGCTGGCGCCGTCTGTTAAGAAGAGTCGCATGTTTGTTCTCAAATGGCCCCTGAACAGGCCGGAAGCAGAAAAGTCACGCTCGATCATGGAGAGGACCAAAAGCACATTGCAGTTGGCCCTGGCAGCTGATAATGCGTGAGCTCACCCTGCTGCCCGCAGACTCTCCATCGACCACCAGAGCATTGTGTCTTGGGTATCTGACATCCCCCATACGAAAAATTATCGAGATTGTCGATCAGGTCAAGCGCCTGTCCGAGGTTCAAGACGGCGTGACTAGTCTCATTGACCGTGCCAAGATAAGGGCGAAAGGTAGGAGGTTAACATTCATGTCTGTGTGAGTGATGCTAATCCATTCATGGTAGATGAACAAATGGCTAAGGCTCTGAATCTGATTCAACATTAGGATCAAGGGCCTTAACTATGGAGAGCGTCGGAAAAGTGTGCGTCCGCAACTGGCGAATGGCTCATTGTAGGCCCAGCCTACACTTAATGGAAGCAGGAACCGGGCAGGCTGTTGTGGCTCCATGTTATCCGTATGTCTCGTTCTACTCTGCACTACGTTGAATCATGACACTGACGACCATTGGCTGGTAGCGGGGTGCGGAAAGACAGTGCTGAGGTATGTTTGAGCTCGGAGCCGGTCATCGTCATGATGCATTTGCTCATTGCTTGTTCAAGCTCCAAAATCATACAGAATCTCCAAACGGAATGCATCGATAGCTCCAATAAGAGTCTGTGCTATTTCTTCTTTGGCGGTTCGGATGATACATCAGATGACCTACAGAATCTGCAACGAGCTCTGATAGCACAGTTAATCATGCAAGGCAGCACGTCGTCTTTCACATATGAGGCTCTCGATTCAAAGACGAAGACATAACAGGATGTCCAGATAACCCATGGAATCCTCACAAACTGTCAAAGATCATCCGAGATCATCAGACGCAGTTTGACCATAAGTACATCGTCCTTGAAGGTTTGGACGAGTGCGAAAATGCGGACAATCTCGAGGCCGTCATCCTATTATTGTGCAAGCTACACCATGACGTGGGAAGTGCCACTCATCTGATGATTTTGAGCCGGCATCTGGAGCGACTCTATACTACTTCGAGGACGTGAAGTTGAGTTCGGTTGCCATCGACGAGAAGAATGTGTTGCGTGATATGCAGAGGGTTTTGAACGCCCAGCTAGCAAGCCAGCGAAGGTTCTCTCAATGGCCAGCGAGGCTGAAAAGGGAAGTAGACGCAGTCCTACTTTCCAAGGCAAACGGATGGTAAGAGTTGATTCGCATTAACACTATCAGGGATCTGCACTGGTTGACTTATAATCATCTTTCCTCAGCTTCCGCTGGCTGGTCTGTCAGCTACGAGAGCTCAAGCGCTGCGAGACACAGGGAGTCGTACGGGACACACTACGACAGCCCCCAGAGTCTCTGTATGCACACTACAGCCGGGTGCTGGTGAGATTCAATCCGAAGAGCCGACACTCAATCATGAACCTCCTGCGATGGGTTGCATTCGGACGTCGTCCAGTGAGCCACCACCACATCAACTTACCCACTGCCTGGATGATACTAACAGGCCGCCGGGTATAGCTCACCGTAAATGAGATTGCAACGGCCATTACCATCAACGCAGATGCAAAGCGCATAACGTTCATCGACGAAGGCCTAGAGGTTCTTGACATTGAAGATTTTCTTGACTCCAGCTCAAGCCCCGTGTCCGTCCACGTCGGCCCCCAGAGGTTTCGAGAGCCAGGAGAAGTTCGTGCAATTAGCGCATCACTCGGGCAAGGAATTCCTCGTTTCGGATTCTCTCCAGAGTGGCTCGAGTTCATGGTCCCTGGCGAATGAGGCTGTCGTCAACTCGATCCTTGCGCATTCTTGCCTGGCCTACTTTCTCCAGACAACAGAACACGCGACTGATGAGTATTGGGACGCGAATCCTTTGGCAGGCTATGCTGGCCGCTTCATGATGGTGCACCGGCAACTCTCGTCAGACACTTGGGACGATGACGAAACGCAAGCATTATTGGCCGATCTCTTCGACGAGGAAAAGCCATATTTCCATACCTGGCTCAGGGTGACGGAGGTCGACAGACCATGCGTCAAGAAAATGGCGACGACGGATGCTCATGAGATGAGTGGCTATACCCCCCTGTACCGCACCGCATGATACGGACTCGAGAATGCGATAGAGCGGCTCCTAGCCACAGGGGCCTCGCCGGAAGAATCGTGTGGAATCTATGGCAATGCACTAAAGGCTGCAGCTCACAACGGCTACATGGGCATTGTGAAGATCTTCCTCGCCACAAACGTCGACGTCAACGCCATCGGTGGCAGATACGCAACAGCGGTTGCCACTGCCGCGGCGCAGGACCATGTCGAGATCATGCGTGAGCTTCTGACTGCTGGCGCGAACATCACTCTTCAAGGGAGGTTTGATTGGCTCAGTGGCGATCGTCGTACCGATCCGCTGTTTGTGGCAGCGTTGAATGGTTCCGTCGAGGCTGTCAAAGTAGCGCTGGAACACGGCGCCGTGGACTATTGGAGGCTGAAGCCGTACTCGGGCAGTGCACTCACAGCCGCCACACTCGCCTGGAAAGGAAACGCCCATGGGTTCATGCGTTTAGTCGAACTTGGGGCGGATGTACATCGCGAAGACCCTGACGATGAAACACCACTACTTCGGGCGGCTGGAAGGGGAGGGTGCATACATATTATCGAGCACTACAAAACGGAATACCACTCGATCCCCCCGACAGTACACACGCAACAACTCCTTTAAAGGAAGCTATACGTGCCGAACAATGGGACGCCGTACGTCTGTTGGTAGAGCGCGGCGCCAATGCCAATGCCACGCCCCCAGAGCCTCCAGAGGGCAAAGGCAAGGTTTACTGGAAAGGAAAGGCGCAAGCTTTGGTGGCCGCCGCGAGTAATATGTGAGGCACCCCTCGCCATGGCGGCCGAGTCCGGCAACCCGGATCTTTGCTCATATCTAATCAAGTGCGGAGCAGTTTTAACGACAGTAACTTCGATCAAGGTGTCTACGCCTCTGCTATATACTACTGAAAAAGATACGTCCGAGCTGGTGCATACGCTCCTGCTTGGTGGCGCGGACTCCCATCAACGAGGAACTTTGCCTGATCGCCAGACACCGTCGACACAGTTACTCCTCGCGACTGAGAAACGGAGGGCCGCTGACTTCCACCGACTTATTGCTGCCGGAGCAAGGGTCAATGATCAAGACGACGAAGGGTTCAGTCCCTTACACATGGCCGCGGCATCGAGGTGGCACAATGAACACGACACAATTGTCGACGAGGCATCGAAAGGCGATACAGACCTGCTCCGGTCGCTCATTCAAAAGGACAACTGCGACGTCAACAGCCCGAATCCCTTCAACGGCAGCAGACCCATCCATTCAGCTGCCTCCGGAGGCACCGGAGACCATGTTCGGATCCTTCTCGATGCCGGGGCAGACGTGAACGCACGGAACAACAGCGGCAGGACGCCGCTGCACTGGGCTGCGGAGCGCGGCAGTTGAAATGTGGTGGAGCTTCTCCTGAGCAGAGACGCCGATGGAGGAATCAAGTCCGAAGAAGAGAGCCTGCAGACAGCATTCCAGGTTGCGCAGGCGGCTAGAGCCGGGCCTGTGTGGGCGATGGTTACTACCAACAGATGGGACGAGGATAGAATTGACCGTTTGTTGATGCGGCTGGAAGTCGGTGGGGGTGAAGCAGCAGCGTGTAGCGAGATTTCATAGGACCAGATCGCAAACCCCTCTCATTGAAGGAAAAGCTTTGGCCCTTTTGTCATCGAGAAAGCCTTCCATAGTCTGTGAGTGATGCTGTAGATGGATCATGGGAAGGAGACAGGTCGACATATTGGCCTGCTGCAGAGCGTCACGTGCTGCGAATGGCGTTGGCGATCGCAGCCACAGAAGTGAGATTGGCACGTGATGCACAAGCCACAGCATCGAGTGTGCGGGACACTTGGATCTCAGGGCCTCACTTGAGCCAACTCTAGAAGCCGACACGGCATTGTATGCTTCGACGACGAGCCCGTTCCTGGGCTCGGCGAAGCTGCAAAACCCTCGAGTGTCACCTCGATGCCTCTATTGATCGCCTCCAGCAGTCCAGCCACAAGCAAACCGCGTGGTTGCAGAGTTGTGGACATTTCTTTTCGCTGGCGCTCCCGCTTCTGCTGGTAGCCGCCAGAGAGCCTCTCGTTGAAGCTTGGCCAGGTCAGTATATCTCCTGCACAGCAGGGTCTGTCCCCTCGAAAAAAGCTCCAATGGCTCAACACGGGTCTCCTTGACTTCCCGGAGCCTTTTGGACAATGCTATTGCCAAGTGGCGAGAGCCAGGACACAACAACGGCTGGCTCATCCAGCCGCCTCACTACCTCTGGTCTCTGCCTGCCCGCATCTCCAAGTCACACGGGGACTGTGGCCGGCAGAACCTCGGGTGAGACCAACATTCCTCTAGGCGCCGGACTACCTTTTGCCCAACAAACCAGCTTGTCAACAAGCCCGGAAGCAGGCAGGCAGCCACGCGCTACGATCATAACAGACGGGAGCCTCTGAGAGACTGAGGGAGAGAGAGAGAGAGACACGGGGAGAACAGGGAGGGAAACACCGTCACAGTTGCAGCTCAGGTGGCAGGCAGCCCCTCCCCCCCCCTTAGCACCCACCTCCTACTCACCAAACTCAACCACTAGGTAGGTACGTCCATTACTCGCCAGGCCAGCTCCAAGACAACAAACATTCAGCGCGCAGCCACCCCCCCCAAGCTCCCGCCAGCTCCAGCATCAGCACGCTCGAGCCTTGAGATTTTCCCCCGTCTCCTCCGCTCCACCATCACGACCACCCCCCCATCCATCAACATCACCACCTGTCCACCACCAGTTTCGAGTTCGATTCGCGGAAAAAAAAATCTGTCTACATCAACCACCATCATCACCGACGCCTACCTTTTTCGATCAACCATCAACTTCCGATTTTCCGTGTCAAACTCGGACCACTTGGCATCACCGAATCCACTTCCAACCAACCGCGCATCGCATCAACAATGGCTGGAGGCAAGGGAAAGTCTGGCGGCAAGACCTCTGGAGGCAAGGCTTCAGCCGATGGCGGCCCCAAGAAGCAGCAGAGCCACTCGGCGCGTGCTGGTCTTCAGGTACGTTGCGTCAAGTCGCGTGAGCTCGTTCATGCTTGCGACATGGCTGTGCGTGCGAAAGTGTGCGTGAATGCGACGACGAAGCCTTTGATCCAACGACCATTCAATCACCAACAGCCTCGATCACGACGCGTTTATGGAGACACCACGATGATGCATCCTTCGGACATGGCTGCATCGCCATGGCCTGGTTCTGTTTTCATTGCTCGACACGTCTTTTCGGCTGATATCGATGCGAACCTCTCGACGCGACTTGATAAGCAACATGGTTCGATTTTGGTGCCTGGATTGATCCCGCATCGCACACCGCACACACAGTCTTCGTCCGTCGCGTGCAGCCTCGAATCCCGTTACTGACCCTTAACATAGTTCCCCTGCGGTCGTGTCAAGCGTTTCCTCAAGTCGAACACCCAGAACAAGATGCGCGTCGGAGCCAAGGCTGCCGTCTACACGACCGCTGTTCTCGAGTACCTGACCGCTGAAGTTCTCGAGCTCGCAGGCGTACGTTTCCCCTCTCTCTCTGGTCCCCCCCGCCTCACCCAAATCGCTTCTGCCTGGTCCTCACGTCCGCCACCGTCACGTCCTCGACTAACGCGCAGTGCAGAACGCCGCCAAGGATCTCAAGGTCAAGCGCATCACGCCCCGCCATCTGCAGCTTGCCATTCGCGGCGACGAGGAGCTCGACACGCTCATCCGCGCCACCATCGCCTTTGGTGGTGTGCTGCCGCACATCAACCGCGCGCTGCTGCTAAAGGTTGAGCAGAAGAAGAAGGCCAAGCAGCTCGAGGCATAGACGCCAGAAACGCGTCGACGAGACGAGGCCTGTCACACGCCTTTTTGAGGCGCTTCTGCGTATGGTTTTTTTTTTCGCGGGATTATCTCTTTTCACGACGGGGTCGCCGGACGGGGTTCGGTTCGATGACATGTTTTTTGTGGTCTTGTTTGGGTCGACGGCGAGACGTCCTGGCGAGGCTGGGGCAGCCACCGCGGGGCAAGGCTCCGGAGACCTCAAGGCCTGAGGGTCTTGTTCGTTTTCTCCTCCAGCCCAACTGACTACACAGTCGCTTGGGATGCCGTGCGCTTTATCAGGACAGACCACCGGCCCGGCCGCGCATGCCGAGGGCTCCCGGCCCGTCCTGTCTGCCTCGAGCTGTCGTCTTCGAGTATTGTACAACACGGTTCCCGGTTCGCCCCGATCTGGCTTGTGGGGGTGGCTGATGGGGAGATAGGTAGATGATATTACTTGGTAATGGGGGGCTTTTGCGCGTATCGTCAGTGTGGTGAGTGATGTGTTGTGTATGAGCTCTATGTGTTCGGCTTGTGCAGCCTCTGCTCGGATATCTCTACAGCTTGGTTCCTTTACAGATGTCCTGTCCATTCATCCAGTCGTCGCAGCACTGTCCTGCCAAGCTCCAATGCCCGTCTGCCTGTCCGTGTAGACCGAGCAACTGCGGGTCTATCGTCGGAGGGCCATTGCACCAGATGAATATTGTGAAAGCGTCTGCCTCCTCTTCCTCATCGCCTTCATCCTCTTCATCCTCTTCGTCCTCCTCGTCCTCGTCCTCCTCCGCCTCCTCGCTCTCCTCGTCTTCTTTACGCCCCCAGACGTTCCCCCCAGCGGCCCCCGAAGCTACCTCAACATGTTCCACAGCCCCCGCCACCTCATACATGCCGACACCACGTACAGGCGGAAGAAGCCTCTCCCTCGCTCGATGCCGACACTGACTGGGCCAGTCACATTCGGAGAAGCAGCCCAGCTCCTCGACCGCGGTATGACCATCCTCGTCATCAGCAGCCGCAGAAGAAGAAGAAGAACAAGAAGAAGAAGCGACCTCGTCCCTCGTCCCCTCGGTTATCCGCCTCCCGCCCCCCCTCCGCCCCCTCCTCCACGCCCCATACGCAGCCCACCCCTCATAGTCAAACTCGGCACGACACATCCTGCCCCTGCCATCGCGCTCGGTGCACAGCACGTGGCTGCAGCAGAGACAGCGCCGCGTGCAGGCGAGGCGGAACGTCGCGCCGCAGGCGTGGCAGCGCCAGCGCCAGGGCATCGGCGTCCGGGGCGGGGCTGGCGCGGGGTCTCCGACGGCTGCGGGCTGCGGGGAGAGGGTGTCGTGTGGAGCGGACGACGCGAGGTTTCGGGAGCTGGGGGTGGGGGTCCCTCGATGGCGGTGATCCTGGGGGGATTGAGGGTTCGGTTGATGCTTGGGGTGTCTCTGCGCTGTGAGGGGCCGCATGCTTTTGTTTGCCGGTGTCATTGTCTGCTGGGAGACGTTTCGTCTGCACGGGATATGTGCCTTGCTTGGAAAAGGACCAGATGAAGCGGGCTGGTGCAGGATGAGCGAGGCGACGATGCGAACCCTCTTCCTTACCTTCCTCTTGCGCGTGGAAACGCCGTGGTCTATATCTGACTCTTCCATACACCATCTGGTCCCTCTCCCCAACCACCAACACTTCACCACCTGGATTGTAGCATCCACCAACCCAACTTGACGCTATACAGCTCAAGCAACCAACGCCCCCAGATGGCTGCTCGGGACAAAGAAAACGACGCGCCAAGGCGCGCCAGCCCCAGCAACAGGATCGATCGCCGCCATCGCGCCCGTTACCCGAGTGCTTTGTCTCGCTTGGGCAGAGACTGTTCAACGGCGCCTCACAAAGCTGTGCCAAGCAGGCTGCTGACCGTGCCTCAACAAGACAAAGGGACGACGGACAAAGACGTGGTAGTTGCCCATTCATGATATGCTCGCCGTTGAATAGCGATGCTTGTCCAATTTTATATCCTCTCGTGTAAATGCCCTGTCCACTTCGGCCTGACGCTACAGTCTGTTGGTATATCGGAGTCTGTCGAGCAAAATTCATGTCTTATCAATGTCAACCAGCGGGATAAGGCATGCAAAGTACGCACTTGGAGATATCGTATTCATCAACAGCTTCCAAGCTCAAACAAAACGGAGCAGTATATTCAACAGTGGCTGTAGGAAGTTTAACACAGTAAATGTGCTGATCCCCATTACTCGTTGCCGCATCAACTTCGTTCCTCTCCATCACCTCTTCATCAGGTACCGGCCAAGCAGTGACCCGCGACATAACTGCCACTCTTCCCACTAAATCGTATGTGCGATATGCGAATCAGATAAATCGCAACACTAGCCCACCACCATCAAGATGGAGAGCTCAAAAAAAAGGAGATTGAATCACCAACAAATGCAAAACCAAACGCCGTTTCACCCGAGGCCAAATTTCCCAGGGCAACAGAAACAAAAAGCAAAAGCAAATCAACGCCGACAAGGAGCGAACTTTTCTGAAGCGCCCAGGTCGTGTCGAAAGGGGAGCCCAGGGTGTCAACATGGGGACTTGATGCTGAGAGACCGAGGTTCGGGTAGGATTAGGTGGGTATATCGTCGTAGTCGTCTCCGTTGCTAGCCACGCCCGCACCGTCCGAAGACGGGCTTCGTCAAGGGGGCTGTTGTCCGTCTAGACGTCACGTCGTAACAGCATAAAATCGTCGTCAAACATCCTTCGCTGTCCAGCACCACGGTGTGGACTAAGGAAGGGCAGGGCGGCGGCCTGTCGGAGCCGGGGCCGTGTCGGGTCGTGATATGGTTGCCCATGAGAGTGAGAGCGTCTTGAATCCTCATCACTATCCGTGTTCGTCCAAAAATGGTCGTCAAGATGATGCCGGGACCAGAGCTATCCAATCCAGCGTCGCGTGATCTTCTATCCACCAAATGCAACAGTCGAGAAAAGCTTTGCAACAATCATTATAAACAGTACGGGGAGGGGAACGTAGAGATGGCGAAAAAAATAGAGGCGAAGTCGTATGAGGGCGGGCGGAGATTTCTGGGGTGAGGAGAATATTCTGTACAGCGGTTTTGCTTGCGCTGGTATCTCGGCTTTTTTTTTTCGTCGTCTCTATCCGTCGAGTCTTCATGAGTCGTTTCATCGTTGGGCTTTCAGCCCTCAGTGGTAGCGTGACGCAGTGGAACGCGCGCCATTGTCAGACGAGTCTTCTATCAACGTTCAGGTTAGCCCAGTACGCCTCACAGTCGACGGATCTGGGTGTCACTTACCGCTTCCTCGCTGCATATGGCCGTTAGTGCGGGTGCGGCCTCCAAAGCCAGCCGACGCCTCCCATTCCGGGCCTCGTGGCTGCCTCTCGGGGGCTCCGTTGCGGCTGTTTACAGCGCCAGGACGCTGACTACCGATCGCGCCGGGGGTGTTACGCGGCTGCGCATGAGTCGCGGCCTCAAAAGCCCCCAGATTAAGCGCACCCAGAGAGTTCAGCAGGCTGTCGTTCCCAGGGGTGCTCGACGTGCCCGGCGTAGTCGGAGTGAGGTTGGGGGTTGCGAGTGAGTTGCCCTGGTTCATGCCGCTGGCATATTCAGTGAACCTGGCAGGAGGCATCATGCCATTGTTGACAGCCGTCAAGTAGCTTGACGACGAGGCCGAAGGGCTGGGGCTAAACGATCGGAGATCGGCAAAGCTCTTGGCAGCTCGAAGATTGGCAAGACCCGTGCCATCAGGGCTGCCAGGAAGCTCGAGGGTGGGTCCTTGGCGGCCCAGCATGTGCGAGTAGTTCCCGGTAACGGCTCTGGTCTCTCGCTCCCTGTCTGCGGCAAAATCGAAGGTAGCGGCCCTGCTGAGCCCCTTCTTGTGGTAATCCAGACCGACGGCGGGCGCCGTGGGCATCTGTGAAGTGGGCGAGGGGAGATGGCGCTTCTGCACATGGATCTGTCTCGAGTCGGCATCGCCAACGGAACGGTGCTCCAGACCCATATGGTGAGCCAAGATGTGAATCTGGCGGCGCTGTTCAGGTGCCACAGTCGACGGGAAGATGAGGATTTCGCGGTTATTGTCCTGCTTGAACAGGGTGAGCTCCGTGTAAAACTCGAGTGTCTCTGGATCGTTCAGGTTCACATCGCCTGAAGCTTTAGGGTTAGCGGGTTTGGGGACCTTTGCAGAGCACGACAGATACATACCGAGGGCGGTGCTAGCTCCACCACGAGACTGGCCGTTATTCATGCTGTTCAGCGTAGAAACAGAAGGCTGCTGGTGAAGCATAGGTGCACGGTGTTGCTCCTCCAGTTGTCCACGACGCTCGCGTTTCTCCCTCTCGATGCGCTCACGCTCGGCTTCTGGCAGCATCTTCTTGTACTCGACGCGAAGTTTGCGACCGTGGACGTCCATGCCGTTCATGGCCTCGATCACGATCTTGGTGTCATCAGGCGAGGAGAAGTTGGCAAAGGCAAGACCACGGAAGACACCGTTGTCAAAGTGGTAGTTGAACGCGTAGGGCTGCGGGAGATGCATCTCGAGCATGAGGCCCGCTAGAGTCTCTCTGCGAACCGCAAAGGGGATGTTTTTGATGACAATGGCCGTAGGGATCAGCTGCTCTTCGCCAGGGCCGCCACGCATGTCATGCTGTCCCTGGTCGTATCTCATACCGCTGGACAAAGGGGTGCCGTTGAGGCTAACCGAGCCGTACGGCATGCCCATGCCGCCCTGATCGGTCCAGTTCTGTCGACGCCCGTCAGTACCATACGCTCAACGCATACGCCGTCATGCATGCTACTAACCGTAGGAATGGGGTTGCGTCGGTTGACGCTCCTCTGCCGGCTCGTGCCGTTCATGGCGCCATTGACCGTGGCAACAGCTGCAGGGTTGTAAGACCATGCCTGGTTGTTATCAGGCATATAGCCGCCTTGCATCCCTCCTTGATGGCCCATTTGATCCATGCCTCGCGGGTTGTAGCCCCCTGTCAGACGGTCGGTCGAGTAGAGGGCAGACGAGCCCAGAGGCGGATCGAAAGGCCTCTGGGTCTGGCGAGGCAGAGACATGCCGGGTTGGAAGCCGCTGCCCCCGGGATAAGGGCGCGAGGAATTGGGAGAGCGATTCGAAGGAGGTGCGTAGTCGAGATACATATCGTGCTGTTGCTGGCTCATTATGAAGAGCGCTGTGGTTGTAGTGGCTATGTGCTGGCAAGAGTCGGCAGACAGATGCAGGAAGCCCGGGCGGTGAGAGAGAGTGCGCGGGTGATGCAAGCGTGGAAAGGTCGCAGCATTAACAATAAGCTTGCGTCTCGTGTCGGCGAGATCGAATGTATCGTTCCTTGTCTCGTCAGCTTGTCGTCAGGTCGTGCAGGTTTCTCAGAGACGGGATGCGAAGAGCATGCGGGCAGCCGAGGGGTCGCACGATGTGGCAAGTCGCTGCAAGTGTCTCTGGTTGCGCGGGAGCTGTATTCAGTGGGTTGGCTCCTCTTCGGGACTCCACAGTGAGCTACCGAGATGCAAATTCGTCGTCTGCCTATTTCGAAGCAGGAACAATCTTGATCAGAGGGCGGGAGCGGATGCAAACGCAGTGCAAGCCGCCTCAGGGTGGGTTCGTGAGGCGTCGTGTGGGTGACGGTGAGAGGAATCCAGAACGCGCAGCAGGCGAGGAATGCCACCGTCAAAAAGGGTGACGCAGGGTTGGCTCGTTGTTGAGGTGTGGTTTAGAGCGAGTCCGCGTCGGGACAGGTATGCGCTGCAGGCATGAGTTTACGGTGCAGGCGCAGGGAGGAGGGAGGAGCAAGAAAGGAGGGGGGGCAAATGTCGAGGGGTTCGTGAGGTTGCCCAACAGTCTTGGGTGAGAAGGAGGGAGGTTGTTGTGGTGGTGATGGTGGTGTTTGGGGGGGACAAGAGGCAAGGCAGAGGAGAAGTGGATTCGAAGGGTAGGTTTTTTTCTTGCCTGCCTCACTGTGGTTGGGATGGGGACGGGCGGACGGGGGACGGGGGATGGGGTATCCATAGCTTGCCGTCTAGTGGTAAGTGCTATGGGGCTTTGCCTGGTTGCTCCTTCCCGTCCCTCTTGAAAGCCTCTCCAATCCCAGCTTTCTCCCTTGCCTCTTGCTTCTCTGATGAGAGTGCTTGTGCTGGGCTGGGGCCTTCAGGGAAGGGGAAGGGGGGGGCCAGAGGGGAGGGGGAGAAAGGGGGGAGGTAGGAGCAGTGCGCAAGACAGTGTCAGCTGCTGAATACGAAGTGTTTGATTGGATGCAGCAAGGGAGAACAGCGTAAGCCACGGCAAGAGCCACACATTCACACAGTCCTGTACGTTTGGAACACTGTCCTCCCCAGTCATTGATTTGGGTGGGGTCTGCTGACGGGCAGGAGGGGGACCATCGACTGGCTCCTGACTCCTGACCTGCCTGACACCTCACTAGAACAACAAAACAGCCCCCCAACACAATCACCAGGGAGCTTGGGGCAACCTTGCCATCTGATATTGCAAAGACATTGGATCTGGATGCATTTGTTTGCACAACATCGAGGTCAACATAATCAACAACACCACACATGCTGCAGCTTCATCAGAAGGTGCTTCAGACAGGGCCTCACCATGTCTGCCCATCCAGTGATAAGGTACACATGGAAGAGTCTTGAGGGCACCAAGGTCTCAGCTATGCACACACACACACACACACTCACTCACGCACACACACAAATAACCCCGCTTCACTCTCCATCCACCACCAACGAACTACGTACATACATAGTACCGGCACCGCATCCGCACCACACGCACATAACAAAGCATGCATTACGCCTATGGTCGCATCGAACTGGCAGGGAAATCCGCTGGTGATTACGCTCCTGCCATTCGGCACTGTTACCGACAGTCGCCACCCAATCGCCTCCGGTACTTCAGATACTTGATGTTTGGTTCCCCTTTTGGTTCGTTCCTCTTTTCAGCGAACTGAGCCTCCGAGGCCCATTGTTCTCAATCAAGCAGCCCGTCTCTCAGACTCAATTCTTGTGCATTGCATTGCATTTACCTGGTCTTTGCGCACATAACTTGATGCAACCTCTAATCATTACCTCGATCATGCACAGCCAACAGATCTAGGCATCTACGCTCCATGACGATACGACACAGGCCGAAAGACTGAGACAACCCGATGTTGCCCAGCCTAGACATGATATCGCCAATGCAATGGAACCAACCCCTGGACCATCACACAAAACTGACACCCGATCCTCAGGGCAAATGAGCGTAGGCGAACCTCTGCCACTGCACTTAGCGAGCAAATAGGAATAGGCACAGAGCCCGGAGCGCAGGCTGGCTGATCCAGGGCAAGCTGGAGCCACTCTGGCAAGGACCCATCCAACCCACCGAACCGAGTGCCCAGTGCCCACCGAACGCCGATGTCACTATCCAGCTCAGATCCTTGAGCGATCCGAACGTTCCAACGGCTTGGGACCAAGGGCCAGACCAGCTGCCGGCCGGGCTGGCTGGGCTGGGCTTCGACGAAAGGAAGGCCTGTATGGAAACTCGAAAAGGTCCCTTGGAAACGGAGTTTGTTGTGCTGGACAATGGCTGCCGCAGCGAAAATGCGGCTCAGGTCGGCCGCCCTCTTTCGCGGTGGACGCTGTTCAAGTTGTGGTTGCACACAATCTGCGACCACCTTCTTCCTGGCGCGGCATGCCAAACTCAATATGACACGGGCTCACCCGACTATGGCCCTACACCCGCCCGCCCGCCCGACACGCTTCGACCTACGGTTATGGTCGCCGCTTTCACGCCTTCTGGCTCCATCGCTCATGTCTGACCATCCTTGAATCTAGGTAGCGAAGGCATTGTGGAGGTCGTGGCGAAACAGACGACCCTGCTGACGTACGGAACTGAACCCCTATTCTTTCGCGACCCCGTTTTCGTTCTCAGGCCTCCCGCCGCTTGCCACGCGAAATAGTCCCCGGCGGCTCGACACTATTGGCGGCCTGCAGGTGAATCGAAATTGCGACCTGTGGCCCATTAGCTCTTCATCAACTTCACACACGATCATGATCTCCCGTACCAACAATGCAGGGGCACAGAGTATCGGAAATGATACGCCTACCCTGAAGGGCCCGCTGCATTTCAGTGCAGGCTCTTCTTGCCTCCTGAATCGAGACGTCTTACTCCGCACGACTGAAAGGTATCGACTTCGTCATGCCAATTCCGTTCCCAGCTAAACGCCGATGCCACCTTTTCTTTCTGACACTCCACGGTCCCATGGTTTAGAACTCAGAATGAGCCCCACGGACAGAGCTACCCTCTGTTCAGCGTGTCGCCCTTTCGGGTTAATTCTGCGGCGCGCAATGCTAATAAGGCTGCTGCCGTGGCTAGAATTCGGCAAGGAGACCCGAAGTATCCGACAGTTCCAGCATGCTGATGCCATTCGAGTAGCCCGTCACTGCTGCTGGATGACACAGAGCTTACCCCGGCTTGCCTGGTTCTCCACGGCTTCCCTCTGTTCCATCTCAATAGTTGAAGCCCGTAGTCCCTTTTCCTTAGTTTGCCATTCATCATGAAGCCTACACTCGATCTGCAGAATCATCACTAAATGCTGCCAGTCTTAAAGACGACGACAATGAAGCCGTTGGCGCGAGCTGTTGGGCACGTAATCCTCCGACCATGTCACGCCTATCTACAGTTTGCTTTCGCTACGTAAGCTTGGAAGATTGGTCTACTGAGCTAAGCCCGTGCAGAGAATCAGAGTTCCGCGTGGATATACGCGGCGATTGCAACTGTTGAAACATCTGTTTATTAATCAACCTTGAGGCTCCAACAGGCAATCGACCCGGTGACAAATGCAAACTGTACAGGGCGTTGCCCACAGGAAACTCTGCGCTCTTCGGCCCCTATTTCGGGAGGATATCCGCTGGCTCATTGCTCACGAATGCTCCAGCTGTTGACTCCCAACTTTTGATTTGCTATTCCTGGCATGGACTAGGGTCTGATGTTGTTCAGTTACATTGTCCTTCAACATCCATCCTCTTTTTGTCAGCATACTGGAAAAGACAACATACACGAGGCAAGCCGAGCAGTGACCATGGTGTTGAGGTGTTAAGACTGTCGACGTCGGTATCTCGGCAACGATCTTACGGGTTGATGATGAGCGATGTTGGATTCTGCTTCCTGGTGCCTACCAGTAAAAGGAGGGTCAACGTGACAAGGTGGGGGTTGCGGAACATTGATACGGGATGGTCCCAGGAGCTTGGGCATCGATAACATGTCCTTGTCAGGCGTCAGATGGCTGACTAGTCGGCATCTGGCGACGACGTCAAGGTACCAGGGCGTGCGGGTTTGCACGCCGGGCATACAAGCCATTGTCGTGGCATCCTGGGGTGTATTGGTTCGTTCACATGATTGGGAGTTTGCCGCCGATGGGCTTCGACGCACGCAAGACGCCTGCCTTGAGAAAGCTAGAACTCCATCCACGCCTCCGTGAGGAACATGCGTCACATCTGTAAACTTTTGCAACCGACAGTTGGCCACCCACCGTGGCTTGATCTCAAGTACACAGCGAGTTTGCTGCGATGCACGGTCGACTTTGAATCTAATATTTTTCGGCAGGAGATTCGTCGTTGGCAAGGTAGTCGGCAGATTCTGTGTTTTGTTCTCTTGCGATGCAGCTTGGTCACTCCTGAACCGCTCGTTAGAGGGGGAGGAATAGGGAAACTTGTTATGCGCCTCGCGGTGTACCTTTGCCGGACGAGGCCACAATCCGGACCACCTCCCCGGAATAACAAGATGGCCAAGGCGAACGTTCGCTCCTCAGACCTGTCGATCTCATGCATCATGGTGACAATCGAGGACAACAAACCAAGTCCCCCTTTCTGGCCCGAGTTTATGCAAGGTATATTGCTAACCAAACATTGCAGCAGGGCGTGCTACACCTTCTTGAAGGCACCTGCGAACAAGCAACACATGCCTTGACCAGCGTGCTCTCGGTCGGGTCGCGCCCGGCTGGTCAGACATGAACGTCGTCTCGGTCCATACGTACATATTGATACGGTGCACGAGACACAGGAGCAAAGCCAGCAATCGCGGGCATCCGATGTCTGGGCGTGGAGTGAGCCTGATCGGCGGCACAAAAGGGGCGGCAGACCTGCCACGATGTCAGACAAAGAGGGGGGGGGGGGCGGTTTGTATATTCCTTCTTCCCCCACTTGCCGCTTGTTCTAGATGTCATTTTCGGCCGTCTGGCTGGTATTCGATGTGATGCTCTGTTGCATGGAGCGGTGATCTCAGCCACGCTCACCTGGGAGTCTCCATGTGGAAGGAATTTCCTGGTATGAGGCTTAAGCTTAGGGAAGACGGGGCTGATGTAGTCCTGCCTGGCTCGCAGCAATGACTGACAAAGCGGGACTGCAGATTGCAAGCTTGCGCATCCTACCTTTGGGGCATATTCTGGCCTCTGGATATGGGTTACCGAGTTGTCGGAGATGATATTTGGCAGGATTTGATGACGAACTGCATTGACAAAGGTCTGCGTTTTGGACAGATCGCTTGGCATGCTTTCGACCTACCCAGGTAGTAACAGTACTTTGGCTGGGGTTTCTATCATGAACGTGGGTTCATGTGGGTGCGTTGTGTCACTCAATGTAAATTCCATATTCGCTACGTTTGGCATGATATCGTCAACGTCGTAAATCTTGACCTCCACCTCGACAGTTTTTGCTCCCTTCATCCATACTTGCTATCATTCCTGGTCCATTCAGCCGTCTTCCGATAAGTCCTTAAAGATACTGCGTAAATCCATAGTTCGTGAGATGTCCTGCGTCAAAATTGTATGGGTTCGCTCCATACTGCGGGAACAATGTCGGATCATGCGACCTTCCATTGACGCCCACAAAGCCCCCACCGATGCCGCTCGCGGTGGCCGTCGATGCAACCTTACCGTTCATAAGACGATTGATAAATTCAGTGACCTCCTTGAGGAAGCAACTCGCTGCGATAATCTTGAAGCTTTGCATGGTGGCGCGGTTGTCGTGCTCGTCATCTTCGAGGCCTACCTGCAAGCATGCCCACGAGAACTCCAACGCACGCAGGTTTGGTGCCAGTGCCCGCTCGAGGGGATCATCCACGCTTGACGTCGAAGCCGATCCAGGAGGCATGGGCTGCGCATCCTCCTCGGTCTCCCGGGTACGCTGTCGTATATTGGCAACAAGAGTCTCGGACACGCGCTCAAACGTCTCCTTGAGCTTCTTCGAGTTGTCGGCCTGCCGTCGCGTCTGCGCCCCTGTCTTGCTGAAAATGAAGCCACAAAAGACCTCGACTTCTGTCAACATCCTCAGGTGGCTGTCCGAGTATTCGTACATGGCATTGTGTACAGCATCCTCATACCTACGTCTGTCAGCGAATCATGCAGTACATGAGAAGGCTTTATGAGGGTTGACTTACATGTTTCGAAGCGCCCAGGCTTCAGCTTTCCAGTGTTCCCAGGAAATCCTGCCGACCCCGGGAGCATGCTCCGACAGTTTCTTCTCCATCATGCCGATGAATTGCTCCCAAACAGTTGGACCTTCCGTTGTGACAGGGCGTCGGACGTCTTGATCCCACATGCGCTTTTCGTCAATGTTGCGGTAAAGGCGGCCAAGGATCTTGCCCGACCGATAAAACTTGTGCGCCGGCCGGAAAGCATCCTCTTCCTCGTCCTCGCCGCCGTAAAAAGAGGCAGACGGCTTTTCGACAAAGTCAATCTGCTGCCGGTCGACGTACTGGGTGGGAGGAGCCGGAGCAAAGCTGTGGGCTGTTAGCTCGCTGTACCTGACTACGAAAGGAGACAAGAAAGGAATCAAGAAGCGAAACGGGGACACCTACAAGTCGGGGCGGATTCTGTTGGTTTTTGGCATGGCCTGCATGTCCACAGGAATGCCCGTCTTGGAGAAATCAACCGCAGTGGAGTGCATCTCGGCAAAAATGATACAGTCTGCATCCAAAGTGCCCTCCTCTTTTTGGTCTGCCAAGATGAGATGTTTCGTGGCAATCATGCCGAGCACGTCGGACTTCATAAAGTTGACGAAGAAACCAGCCATGTCGTCCCGCGTGACTTGGCGGTTCAGCTCCGTTGGTGTGATCCGAGGATAGTCGGCGGGGGCGAAAAAGCGCTTCGGGCGTGCCTGTCGATCCCAGATGATGTTGTACAGATCGCCGTCGAGGTCGCCACCGCTAAGCTGGCTCGGCAGGTCTCGCTCGCCATGTTGGCTGAAGACGATGCAGTTCCTCAAGTCTCGCAATGGATGTCCCACGGGCGGCGTCCGCATCCTCACCCATTGAATGTCGCCTGGGTGGAGAGCAGGGGACCGGGTTACAAGAATGTTTCCATCGCTAAGAGTACTGTCAATTGGCAGAGAGCCGTTGTAGCGCGAGTCGTAGCACACGTAAACCTCGCCTTCGGAAAGGAACCCAGTCTCATCCATGATTCCGAACAAAGTCACGCCTTGAGGCACGGGGATCCTCGCCTTGTGTTTCAGCAGGCGGAGCTCTCTAAGCACCACGGCCTCCACAGTGCACCGCAGGAAGTCATCGCGCCTGTAGTTGATACCATACTTGTCGAGCGTCTTGATGAATGTCGAGAGGTAAAATGCTGAGCCGATGCCCTGGAGCTGCAGAAAGGCCCCGGTGTTCCACGCATCAGCCGTAACGGCGCGGAGTCGTTCCAGCTCTCGCTTCTGCAGGCTGAAGAACCACTCGTCTCGGACGCCCATGTCCTCAAGGATTTTGATCATTTGCCGGTTGAGCACCATCCTGAGTGGGCGAGACGCAGCGCCGCAGATGCCCAGATTGTCCAAGTCGGTACTTGGGAACTTGAGCATGGATTCCTGGCGAATATTCATCACGCGGCCAGGGAGTCTCGAGTCCAACGAAAGCATCCCCTTGACGCCTCCCCAACGGATCTGCAGACAAGTTGGCAGAGATTCCATGCGGGGCAGGTGAGGCCAGATGGTCTCCAACGCGTCCCTCGAGATTGTTCCGACTCCGTCACTGAAGACACGGTTGCCGTATTTGACGTCGGGTATAAACTGGCAGACGATGCCGTGGTCGACGAGGGACACTGATGAGGTTGTTTCTGAGAATGCTTGTCCGATCCTTGCGGCGCACTTGGCCGGGATCCTGATATGCTCAAAGTCGCCAAGAGACTTGATGATGTTGACGTAGGACTGAAGCTGACCCGTCTTGTCAACAAAGGGTGCAGAAAACCAGGCTGAGTGAGAGCGCAATGAAGAGTGAGAGAAACCGAGAAAAGAGTAGACGCGACCAGCAATTTGAATGCCGCTCTGTAACACTCTGCGGAATCGGTTGTAGATGTGGTCGTTGGAGACTTTGGCCGAGAGGAAAATATCGTCGCCATTTTCGTCACAAAATTGGACTCGCATGAAATATTCAGCGTGATCGGGGAACTTGCGGAGAATTCGATTCATCGGCTCATACGCGGGGCCATGAAGGGTAATCCTGGTGGGCGTGACGTTGGCTTTGAAGACCCAGGCGTAGTTTTTATTCGATGTGTGCTTGAAAGCCGTCATGGCTGCTTCTTTTCGGGTGCGAGCCTCCTTCTTGAGGAGGTGGGCCATCAAAGCCACAGGATCCAGGTCACTGGGCTCCATGCCTGGGTACGGATATGGAATGTCCTGGTATAGACTCTTCATCGCCTCGGCAGAAACAGGGTCGTGCGGCTGTTGGGCTATCCTGGCTGTGCTGAATGCCTGGCGAATGCAGAAGAGGAGCGAGTCGGCAACGTGCGGGTGCAGGTAGTTGTTCGACGCCAGTGCTTGTGTTAGGAATAACAGGCGGAAAGGAACGATTCGCTTCCTTTCGCACTCGGACAGATTGGCCTGGAACCTCAGGTTTGCGGTCTCAAAGTCTTCGAGGTACTTGGTGGGCTCTCGTGTCAGGGGCAGATCCTCATGCACCATGGGGAAGAGCTGCCGATGTCTCAATTGGCTCACGAGACAAATGAAGTGTTTGGATTCGCAGGCAAACTGGTACACCAAGCAGCTCGCAACGTACTTTTGGTGATGACGCATGGCGGGTATATACGTGTAGCGGTCTAGAACGCGGTACCGGGATCTGCTGCCACCTCTGACATCAAGTGCGGCCATGCTGTCGTCGAGGCTGTTGCTGAGGAAAATGCGGGGGGCTTCGCGGAGGACTGCCGTTAGAGTTGCGGCCTTTGAATCGTGGATCAGATGGGTGATTGTTTCGTAGGCAAAGTGGAGGATGACGGCGCTGTCGGGGAAGCGAGCGAGTAGCGTCTTGTTGGCAAAGCGAACGTGACCAGGAGCATCGAACCAACATTGCTCAACAAAGGTCAGACTCTTGGTCGGATTCACGAGCGAGAGGTGGCCGCATGCCAGCCCTGAGGCCTCGAAGACCATGTCTTGGTGAGTGTCATCCTCGGGGGCTTTGCCGTTGCGTAGGCGTACGCCCTGGCGCATTTGGAGGCTCTTGATCAAGAAAGGGTCTGGGGCTTCGTTTCGAAGAGACGCATAGACATGGCAACGCATGAGGGTGAGGCGCGCCAGATCCCGTCGCCCAGCAATTCTGTGAGCGGACAAGGGGTTTGCTACCGGGCCGGCGCCGGCGACTTTGCCATGGCGCTGGAGAAACTTGTGGCCATCAGACTTGTCGAGGAAAGCAATGAAGGCGGTTTTCTGGGCGCGGTTCTTGGTGCACTGCCAATCGAGGATGCCCAGGGCGTTCATGTATGGCGTAAGCTGCGTGTGCAAGCTCCGGTCGCTGAGATCCACGGGCACGTTTGACAAGAAGACCTCCATGATGGCGGGTTAAGGCGTATGGATTGCCGAACGTTGTTGCGAGGGCGATGTCACGCGATGCCCCATGAAGAACGACGCTGGGAGGGAGGGAGAGCTTGAGGTCCGTCCGTCACGGCAGTGTCACCCATGGAGTGACTGGTATCTTGAAGACAAGTGACGCCGCCCCGTTTCGCGCGACGATGGAAGAGACAAGAAGTTTGGACGCTGAGGTTCTCTGAGAATCTCCATCAGGGCTTCCGTACGTTATGCGGGAGGCCGATGAAAGGTGGTCGGCGGCAGCGTCGGATTGGCTGGCAACGGTAGCGCACCGCAGGGATTGGACCGCGCAGTTGGCGATACTCCTGGGCGACAAGCCAACTGCCCTCTATTGGAGGATGTGCCCTCTATTGGCGGATGTGTTGGGATTGTGCTTGGCGATCTGGTGTGGTGTTTGCTGGGTGACGCAGGCGAGCTCAAGCGAAGCTGCAAAGTCGTGAACGCGCACAATCTCGTCACGTCAGGTGCTGCCGGGCGGGACATGTTTGAGGAAAGCGCGACCCACCCTGGCCCTTGCCTTGGTCTTTTTGTCCCATGTGGGTCATTTCTGTTTGTGCTTCAGAGCCAAACGTCGACCGCTATACATTGGTATTGGATTCAATCCATCGCCATATCTTTGCTAATTTGATTCTAGGATCTTCTTCCTAACGTACGATCATCTGTCTGGAAAAATGCTGTAAAATGACACTAGGTGTGGGCCGCCAAAATGGCACTGTACTGACAGAAGCTGCTGTCCTGGCGTCAGTATACGATCAAGACATTCGATGACAGACGAATTTGAATACAGAGCCTCATCTGTTCGAACACCTACCCACAAGCCAATGCTGCTGTAGCTGGCAAACACAAGCATGCACCCGCCCGTCGGCCGTGCAGCCGCCGAATACCGCTCCACCCTCTCGGCAAAAGTGGAGCCCACGTGCCGCCCTCTGTCTTTCTCCAAGGCCTCGTCTCCGTACTTCACCGTGCGGCCTCCGAAGCAGGCCGGTGCACCGCCAGATCTCTCGCTAACATGGTAGCGTCGTTTTCATGACTAACCGGGTCATTTCGACTTCTCAAGTGCCGAATGGACCGCATTGAAGCGCAACCCATGGCATCCACTACAACGTCACACCGTACGCCTTGGCGTCACCTCGTCAATCAGCACACGGGCCGCGCCGATCCGTTTGATGTCGAGGTGCAGCTGCTGTGGCACCGAATCTCATTTGGTCCCTCGTTCCTTGCCGGCGGCACTGCCTCGTTGGGATCGCCGGGACGCGTCACGTCGTGAGCCGTCTTCTCGTAGTACAGCCTTAGCAAGGGGGGGACCAAAAAGCCACACTCATTAGAGGTGAGCTCACTTAAGGCGTCGCCGACTATGTAGTAAGTCGAATTCATAGTATTTGATTGTTATGCGATGTGTTAGGAGTTCCGAAGTGAGGAGTCTTTCTGGGGATACCTCTGTTTGGCGGATTGGCGTGCGGCTCCATCTGTTCCCCCCTTGGCAGGTCAAATATCGACAGAGGAAAGGGAGTGTCAGGATGCTTCTTGTCATTTCTGTGGTATTTGGTAGTTGAATCAACGGCTACTCGCTCCTTACCACGTTCTCTAAGCCATGCAACCTCGCAAAAGAAAATCATAAAGCTTCACCAACCAAGCTGCAATTTGCGCTGTAGTCTTGAAAAAGCTGTCCCATGCCCTGTCTGTCCTTGTGTCCCTAAACTCCTTGACTGGCAGAACCCCCCGCCTGCTGATGCTCGTTGTACGCCTTCGATCCCCATGAACCAACCATGTTTACGAAAAGTCCACGCCACAGCCCTCACGACCAGCGCGGGGCATTGACGATGATGGCCAGCAGCGAGCCGGAGATGAGGCCTGTCACGGGAAGAGTCAAGAACCAACCGGCATAGATCCAAAGGACCATGCGCCAGTTGATGGCGCGCCAGTCGCCGTTGCAGAGGCCGACGCCGACGGTGGCGCCGGTGAGGCACTGGGTCGTGGAGATGGGCAGCTTGAGGCGGGTGGCGAGGATAATGGTGACGACGGAGCCGAGCTCGATGGAGAAGCCTCGCGTCGGCGACTGCAGCGTCAGGCGGTTGCCGAGGTTGCGCATAATGTTGTAGCCGTAGGTCCAGATGCCGATGACGATGCCGCCGCCGCCAAAGGCGAGGATCCACAGCGGGACCTGGGCCTTATCGGCGGGCGGGATGAAGCCCTTTTGCCAAATCTCGAAAATGGTGGCGTAGGGCCCGATGGCGTTGGACACGTCGTTGGCGCCGTGCACGAACGAGGCCGAGCACGCCGTCATGATCTGCAGGAACGTGAAGAGAAACTCGGTGCGGTTGTCGTAGTGCGTCGCGCGCGCGTGGATCTCCTCGAGGTCGCCGCCGATGGCGCCCTTGTCGTTCTGCGAGCCGACGACGTCCTTGTCGACGCCGTGCAGCAGCGCGTACTTGACGTACCAGAACAGCACGGGCTTGGTGTTCCACTTGCCCTCGGGCTTGGGGCCGACGAGGCTCTTGTGCTCGGGCATGGCCTCGGGCTCCGACGCGGCAGCGAGCGCCGCCGTCGAGCCAATGGCCTTCTCGCCGGCGACGGTGGGCTGGGCGGCCTCGACGTCGACGTCGCCCCCGGCGACACCATCGGCGCGACGGGCGGCGAGCTGCTCGGGTGTCAGGCGGCCGGCGTAGAAGTTGCGGATGGGGCCCTGGAAGTTGGCGGGCGCGGGAGGCACCTCGCCGCGGCGGAGAAGGAAGGGCCCCTTGAACATGTGGTACCACTTCATCTCCCAATCCTCGCGAATGACGACACGGTACAGCCAGGGGCACAGAAAGGTGGCGATCAGGAGACCCCAGGCGCTGCCGGCGGCGACGATGACACCGGGAATCTCCTGGTCGGTGAGGTTGATCTCGTACGAGCCGCCCTTCCAGATGAGCAGCATGGTAATGAGCATGCCGGTGATGGCAAAGTAGATGGGCACGACAAAGAGGCCCTTCATGGCAGGGTTCGTCCTCAGCAGGACAGCGTACTTTGTGATGGAGAAGATGATGGCACCGAAGATGGCGGACAGGCAGGGGGCGATGATCCAAGCCATGAAGACCTGGACGACACCAGTGCTGATGACGTTGGTGCCGCCGCCGGAGCCGACCCAGAGAATGTTCTTCGCGCCGACACTGGCGACGCCCATGCCGATGACACCGCCGAGGATGGAGTGGGTGGTGGAGACGGGAAAGCCGACCTTGGTGGCGAAGGTCAGGTAGAGGGAAGAGGCGACGACGGCGCAGACCATGCCCAGCATGAGGACGGCGGGGTCATCGTTGTACTGCTCCGTGTCGACAATCTTGGTGCGGATCGTGTCGGCAACGCGAGCACCAACACCCATGGCGCCGGCAAACTCCATGACGGAGGCGGCACACATGGCGTAGAGGTAGGAGATGGACCTCGAAGCGACGGACGTCGCCCATGAGTTGGCAACATCGTTGGCACCTGGACAGAATTAACATGAGCAGACTGTAGTGGCAAAGAAAGACAGCAGAAAAAACATACCAATGTTCCACGCATCGAGGAAAGCAAAGATGGTGCCAAAGGCAAAAAGATAGTCGTACTGAGGAAGGGCAGCCATGGCGATGGTTGTCGTCGTCCAGAGACGATGGCTGAGGGAAGAGAGAAAGGGTGTTGTAAGACCAGGACGGAGACTGAGGGCCACGAGAGAAAGGGGGAGACAAGAGAGAGGGACACAGGAGAAATTATATATCAAGGCGTACCATTGTGGGTAGATCCGATTTCCTCGTGCTGCGAGCGTTCCTAGAGTCTTGGCTTGAGAAGGTGGCGGCGAAGGTGAGTGCGAGTTTGCGTTGGTGGGGGAGCCCAAAAGGGTGCGAAGCAGGTAGACCGCCTGGCCGGGTGTCGTGTGGGTGTGGCTCCAGCAAAGTTGGGCGGTGGCCGATGTTACCTCTGCAGTTCGAAGCTACTTCCTTACTACCCATGAGCAAAGCTCCTGAAGCTCCTGCGGGTTCTTCGCCCTGAGTGGGCTAAGGAAAGATCTTCAACAAGCTGACAAGATGGGCGCCGACAGTCGAAACGTTCTTGGTATGTGGGGGGGAGGTGGCCTCCTCCAAGGCCAGAAGGGGTGTGCATCCAGGCATTGGCTGCCAAGTGACTGGCGTACTTTGGATCAAGCCGAATGGATGGTGGTCGGGGACGGTCGACCAAACCGGGCCTGGTTGCCAAGAGCCGTCTATCTCGGACGCCAGGGAACATGACAAGGTGGTGCTCTGTTTTGTGCTGTCTACAGTTGAGACTAGAGAGTCTCCAGGATCAACCGACTATCGTGGCAACATGGAGGTCACAGAATGAGCAACCAGGGAATCGATCGCCGGGCCCCGAGGCCAAGGCGAGACGCTGGCAACCATGGTGATTATGATTAGCATGAGCTTTGATGGCCGTGGCGGCACTTTGCACAGCACGACAGGTCCCGTCTTAACCTGAGTGGCTGGACGAGTCAGCGCCGCCCCCGTCCTTGTTGACAGGCACAAAGAGAGTTGGGACGACGTCAAGGTAAAGGTTAACAACGAAGCTTATTGCGGCTGGCGCAGCGATCAAACAAGAATTGGCCGACAATACGACGCTGGTGATCTATATTTATGATCATGGCCTCAACTTGAAGATGCCAAGAGTTACAGTCGAGGGGAAAATCAATTCTTGACATGGCTCTCAGCCAGTCAAGCAGATGGCAAAAGGGCAATGGAAAAGTCAATCATCATTTTCCGTGCCAGTAACAATGCCTTGATGCTAAGGTGTACATGTAAAAGTACTAGGTGGAGTTGCGTTAGGATGGATGGGGGCTCCCGATGCAACTGGTCGCTCTCTCGACCAGTCTTGCCAGTGCCTCCCACACGATCAACCCATGCATCCGAATCATTAAGCTTATCCCCGTAAGATGCCACCTGGTCTCCTCGTTGACTGGTCACTCCACCTGGAGTATCGATTCGGCCACAGCGAGGCGGCTCCACGCTGGGCGAGTCTCTCTGAAACGCAATCGCAACCGTCGATGCGTGATGAAGACAAATCAACAGCACCGATCGTCCCTTGTTCTTCCGAGGCATGAAGTTGTATGTGTCGCGTGAGCGATTACCTGATGTGAGCTGCCGCCGACGTGCTCTCTCCCCTCCCTGCCAGCCCTGCTTCGCCTTGGAGGGGGGATGAGGATCTCTTGGCCCCGAGAGGCTAGGACTCTGACCCGCAGGCTCGCATGCAGATGGACTTGGGGACCTGTACATGGTACATGATGTAAGAAAGGGGTGGGTATAGCGAGAGGCTTGTGAATGAAATCAGGTCATCTTGAGCGCCAGAGCCGCCGCCATCAATGTCTGCTTCGAGCCAACTGGTTTGGACGGGAGGCCTATAGTACATGGTACAATACGAGTAGGCGGGAGTACAGTGGGTGAGGCGAGAGTGCAGTGGGTGAGGCGAGAAGACAGTGGATGAGGCCTGTGGGTTGCTTCCTCTGGGGCGCCTGGGGGGTGCGTGGAATGCGTCAGTGGGCTCCAGGGGACTTTCCAGCGTGGGTGTCCACTGCGGTGGATGATGGACAGGGGATCGAGCTTCCTGCTCTTCCTGCTCTTCCTGCCAAGAGCGGGCCGAACCCCACACTGCCAAAGCCCAAAACTTGCATCAATTTTGGTGTCCAATCATCTACTGCCATTCCCACACGTGTGTGATCTCTTCGTTGAAACGAGTCCAGAGGTCCCCTGCTCTGCCTGCCTACACACTTCTAGAAACGGCACAGTCCATGGAGAAACAGCCAATGACATGACCGTAATCGCCCACGAGCCAGAGCTGCTGGTGATCGAGCAAAATGCACACACGACCACTTACGAATTCGGGCCAACTTTTTTTTTTTTTTTTTTTTTTTTTCTTTTTTTCTCCCGTTCGTGTCGCCTCGGACCAGAACAGATGGCTCGGGACTCATGCCCGTTTTTGCATCTTGATCGTCGTGTTTTTTCCGACCGAGGCAATGAGGCACGTGGTCACCTCCCTTGCTCCCTCCTCAACGGTGGCCGCCCAGCCATCGCGGGCTGACGACATCTACCATCTCAATCTGGCCATGCCGTTGTCTCTGGCTCGTTCCTCGACGAGAAGGGCCCGTGCCTCAACTTATAGACCACATCACCGTAATGTCGCCCGGCCTGGCAAACAACAACTACCGCTCCTGGCGAAACGCGCCCTGCCAGCAGCCCCAGCACCATCGCGACGATCCGCAGTCTCGCACGCTTGACCCCATGCCGGGCCTAGCGGATAGGCAGTTGCTTCTCCTTTGCGGCCTCCCATCCCGCAGCGTCAAGCTCATGGTTCGACGCTGTGACAACTAGGGTCTCTCTCGTTTGGGCCAGAGTCAATGTGATACGTCCCGCCTGTCAAAAGGGCGGCGGCACCCGCACGCCAAGACTGGTTTCGTCTCTCCCATCTTGCATCGACATGATAATTCAGTTGCATGCCGTGTTCCTATCGCGACACCATCAGCGAGGACAGATGACCCGCTGCGCCGCCTTCTCGGATGCGTCCGAGGCCTGACGATCAGCCCATGCCAGCCAAGCGCATTCAAGCTTCCCAGACGACCCCTTCCCTTAATGGTCCGCACCTTACCCCTCCGACATGTACCTAAGGTACCTTACCCTGGGGCATGGATGGTAAGCTACGGGGAGCCGTTTCATGTGCGCTCCTTGCCCATCCCAGCTATTGATTTGGGGTACATTGAGTAGACGTCTGAGATGGGAGGTGGCGAACACGACTCGCCGTGATGCCCTTTACGGCCTGCAGGAGATATGCCGAGCGATATGACAAGACGTCGAGGGGGCGGTCATGTATTTGGGTCATATATGTGCGAGTCCTTGATGTGTATGTGGGCCAAGAGAGGTGTGAGAGAATGTATTGTTGACCGGTTATCGTAAGGATCCGCTGTGCTTGATGCGATTTGAGATACACCTTGCACCTGCTTCCGAAGCATGTGATTTGTGTTCTACATGGCATCGTATTTTCTTATGCCAGCTCGACGGATCAGACTGGCTGCGTCTTGAGGTCCAGAATTATCGCGCCGGCACTGAAAGTAAATATTCGAGCAGAATTGAAGGCAGCGTTGAACAAGCGAATAAATCAAGCATCACGCGCCGTGAAGCTCTGTGATGTCTGCATTCGGATATGGTCACGTGAGGTGTCGTGGGAATCTCGTCACATCGAGCTGACTGATCACATGACAGCGAGTGTCGTTCTCGCGTCAATCCTGAAGTGGATCCTGATCCAACGCGACACGCGCTTCGCTTGTCGGCACTGGCCTCCATCCATGGGCAGGGCCATCCGCGGGGACCTTGCTTCGACCTCCAGCCCCTCATCGCCCATCGCCAACCGCCCGCTGTCGTCGGCGAATCGACTCGACAGATACCGCAGCATGTCCGAATTCACTGGTCCGTTTTGAACTCTTCTTTCACGCTTGCTTGAACATGCACTAATATTTCCGCATCTCTAGAGGCAGACACGATTCGGATCCTCGTTGCGACGGACAATCATGTCGGCTATGAAGAGCGGGACCCAATACGCAAGGATGACAGTTGGCGGACTTTTGACGAGATTATGGAGATGGCAAAGAAGGAAGATGTCAGCATCATTGCTCCTTCGCACCATCTTTTCTTCACTGGCTGACTTGTCCAGGTCGACATGGTCCTCCTTGGAGGCGACCTCTTCCACGACAATAAACCGTCTCGAAAGTCCATGTACCAGGTCATGCGCACCCTCCGAAGAAACTGTCTCGGCATGAAGCCTTGCGAGCTCGAATTCCTGAGCGACGCAAACGAAGTCTTCGAAGGCGCATTCCCCCACGTCAACTACGAAGACCCCGACATCAACATCTCCATCCCCGTCTTCTCGATCCACGGCAACCACGACGACCCCAGCGGCGACGGCCACTTCTGCTCTCTCGACCTTTTGCAGGTGGCCGGCCTGGTCAACTATTTCGGACGCATCGCCGAGGCCGACAACATCGAGGCGAAGCCGGTGCTGCTGCAAAAGGGGCAGACGAAACTGGCTCTCTACGGCCTCAGCAACGTCCGCGACGAGCGCATGTTCAGGACCTTTCGCGATCACAAGGTCAAGTGGTTCCGACCTAACGTTCAACAGACTGACTGGTTCAACCTCTTGACCGTCCACCAGAACCATCACGCCCACACCGCCACGTCCTACCTGCCCGAGAATGTCCTGCCTGACTTTATGGACCTGGTCGTCTGGGGCCACGAGCATGAATGCCTCATCGACCCCTCGCAAAACCCCGAGACGGGGTTCCACGTCATGCAGCCCGGCTCTTCCGTGGCCACCTCCCTTGTCGCTGGAGAGGCTGTGCCCAAGCACGTTGCTGTCGTCAGCATCACGGGCAAGGACTTCAAGATCAAGAAACTGCCTCTGAAGACGGTCCGCCCTTTCGTCACCAAGGACATTGTCTTGGCCACGGACAAAAGATTCAAGGGCGTCGACAAGATGAAGGACAATCGCCAAGAGTTGACAAAGCGGCTGATGAAGGTCGTGGACGACATGATCGAGCAGGCCAACGCCGACTGGCTCGCCATTCAGGACGAGGATGAAGACGCGGAGGAAGCCCCGCCGCTTCCCCTGATTCGCCTCAAAGTCGAGTACACTGCGCCCGAAGGCGGTCAGTACGACTGCGAGAACCCGCAGCGCTTCTCCAACCGCTTTGTTGGCAAGGTCGCCAATACCAACGACGTCGTCTACTTCCATCGCAAAAAGACGACGGCCTCTCGTGCGTACCTTTTGAAGCCGGCCCCTTTCCCCTTCCCCTTCCATTCGAGACTAACCCCATCATAGGAGGCAAACAGACGGCCGAACTGCCGGAAGGCATCGATGAGAATTTGGGCCTCGATACGGTCAAGGTGGAAGCGCTCGTGCAGGAGTTCCTCGCTGCGCAGTCGCTCAAGATTCTTCCTCAGGCGCCCTTTGGCGATGCAGTGAACCAGTTCGTCAACAAGGACGACAAGCATGCCATGGAGAGCTTTGTCAGCGACTCACTGGCCAGCCAAGTGAAGCAGATGCTGAACCTGGACTCGGATGACGAGGACCTCGACAGCGCCATGGAGAAGATCAGAGCAACCATGGACAGCAAGTTCTCAAAGGGCCTCCTGAAGATGGCGTCACGGCGGACCTACAAGGCCAAGCCCGAGGAATGGGACTCGGACTTGGACGGTCACTGGGAGGACCAGCCGGAGGCTCTCGAGGTGACTCGGGCGGGAACCGGACGTGGGCCCGTGCAAGGGCAAGACGACGACGCCATGGAGCTCTCGGAAGAGGAGGCGCCTGTGAAGAAAGCACCGGCGAAAAGGGGCGCGGCCAAGACGGCCAAGGCTCCTGCGGCAAAGAAGGCCCCGGCGAAGAAGGCACCGGCCAAAAAAGCGCCTGCTCGAGGTCGAGGCAAGAAGGCGGTCAGCGAGGATGAGGATGAGGACGAGGACGAGGACGTTGTCATGGACGATGACCCTTTCGCCGATGATCCCGCGCCTCAACCCAAGCGAGCGCAGCGTTCGCAGCCTGCGAGGGCGCCTGCCAAGGGACGGCAGACCAAGCTCAACTTCTCGCAAGCGGCCGCGTCACAGAAGGCGGTTGAGATCAGCGATGATGAGATATCGGGGGATGACGACTTTGAGCCGGCGCCACCCACGACGCGGTCCCGTCGGAGGTGAGCTGGTGCCGGGACTTGACAGAGTCGATGGGGCGAAGCATTTTGCACGGCGTTCTCATGATATCCAGCTAGTTTTTGGCCACCACGATTTTTTTTTCATCTTTTTTTTGCTCCTGCAACGTGCGGCGTAACATGCATCGCCTTGCATCGTTTGATGTTTTCTCGGCGTCGGCCGACCCAAAGCCGCGGTGCTCAGCGCATGCTTTCACAATCCCTTTCTTAGGTACCTACATTGTGTCGACGGGCATGGGATGTGCCAGCCCCTGGAAATTGTGCCCATGTTTCTTTGTCCTCTGCCGACTTTTTCAACCAACCTGTTCTTGAAACCTCTGGCAAATGACGGCGCTGACGGGCTTTGAACACGCGCAAGACCTGTGCGTCGCCGCAGACTGACTGGGCTCCAGTTCGTCCCGGGCCAATATATTGGAGGAAGGGAACGCGACGAAGCTTGTGAAGACGTTGTCGGGATGACAATTCAATAGACACTTTGGACCCTACGAAGGTTGCACCTCGAGATACAACAGCACAGCCAGCACGCCAGCACGCCAGCACGCCAGCACGCCAGCACGCCAGCACGCCAGCACGCCAGCACGCCAGCACGCCAGCACGCCAGCACGCCAGCACGCCAGCACCGCCAGCACAGATAGCCCGCATTACAGCCATGCCGCAGGAATCAGCTCGACCAAAACCGACCGCGCCGCAAGGCTTCACACCATCGACGATGGAGGTCGTCAACCCCATGCCGGCGCGCCCCCTCATCGTCGAGCCGTACAACGCCGCCTGGCCGACCATGTACCTCGCCGTCGCGCTCCTCGTGCTCGACGCCATGGACGTGCAGGTGACGAGTATCGACCACGTGGGGTCGACGTCGGTCCCGGGCCTCGACGCCAAGCCCATCATCGACATTGACGTGACGGTGGCGGACCCGGGCGACGAGCAGGCGTACGTGCCGCGCCTCGAGGCGGCGGGGTTCACGCTCGTGGTGCGGCAGCCGTCGTGGCACGGGGCGCGCATGCTGGTCGGCGAGCTGCCGTGGGCGGCGGGCGTCAACCTGCACGTGTTCCCGGCCGGGTGCGAGGAGGTGGCGCGGCACAAGGCGCTGCGGGACTGGCTCGCGATGCCGGCGGGGGCGGAGGACCGCGCGAGGTACGTGCGGGCGAAGAGGGCGGCGGCGGAGGACGTGCGGCGCGTCGGGGGCACGGCGAGGGCGTACAACACGCGCAAGGCGGGGGTGCTGCTGGACATTCTGGGCAGGGCGTGTGCGGCGCGGGGGTTGAGGGTTGATGGCGGCGTGTAGACTGACGAGGGTGCCGCGCTCAGAGGGCGTTCGACGGGGTCAACGATATCGTCACTCTTGGACCTACCAGTGGGGAGACTTGGGGATGATGGTTAGGGATGTACTGGACATGGCATGTCTGCGTCCTGCAATTTACCTCTCCCTTTCTCTTCTTTCCATCGATGCGCACAACCACGCGGTGCTGAATTCCATGTCTGACGGTGAAGCTCGTCCGAGACCTGGCACGGTGGAGGTGCCTTCTTGCCGTTATCAGGTGTGGTAAATGTGCCCCAAGGAGACGGCCATTGACTCTGGGGGCATGCCGAATGCCTACTGGCCGACTCATGTGTGTCTCGAAATTCGAAGGCCAGACTGAGGAGTACATATGGGCATGCTGTCGATGTTTGAAACGAGAGAAGGGAAAAAAAAAGCACACATGGGCTCAAATGAAGCAAAATACAATAGAAGATAACCCCCTAATAACGCGGCATGCCATGATCGTGGGATTGTTTGGAATGTGCCAACTCGAGCTTTGCAGCACCAAGCGCCAATCGGCGTCATGCGGGGCACGAATAAAATGGCTGGATGGGTAACCCTAGAACAAGGGATCAGCACGGGTGATGCGGGATGGTAGGCCGATCGCCGGCTGAAGATTCCTACTGTACCAAGGCACCTTACTGTCTTGTCTACTGAACGTGTAGGTACGTAACTTTCATACCATGGGTACCTACCTACCTACTTGGTACCTAGGTACCTACCTGCCTACCTACCTACCTGTTGCCTGGTAGACAGGCAGGAAGTACCTCGAAGCACCGGAAGACTAGATCACCAACCAGGCATTGCGCGGATGGCCAACATGCCGGGCTTCCTCGGTTCCGTGGCAGGAGAGATCGAGATCGAGCCTACAAGCCCTGGGCTCTGGGCTCTGCTCTGGGCTTTGGCCTGGGTTTCTGGGTCCTCATGTGGGCCCCCAAGGCTTGGATCGAAGATCGGTACCTAGCGAATGGGCCTCAGACGGGCAGGGCAGCTTGGGGCAGGGCCTGGACCAGCCCACTCGCAGCTCCCCCCGACACGTGCGATTCTCTTTCCCGATTGCGTTGATTCCCTTGGGGCTTTGTCCACTGTGACCACAATCCCATGCTCTGTCTACTGGTTGTGCCTGCCCCGGCTCTCGCAAGACCCCCCCCCCCCCCAAAGAACAACCACCCGTTCCCGTCTCTGGTCTGGCCAAGCAGAAGCTGATGCAGACCTCACCTCGCCCCCCTTCGAATCAAAAACCACAAGACTCTGCTGCTGCTGCTGCTGCTGCTGCTGCTGCTGCTGCTGCTGCTGCTGTCAGGTACCTCGTTGCACCACCCTGGCCGCCTTGCATCTACACCTTCATCTACCTACCTTACTCAAGCTACTTCACTGGCCATTGTCATGCCCCGCCTCGCATCCTTTGCCACTTCGCGCCTGCGTCCATGATGTCACGGCCCTGATCACCTCTATGCCGTCCAACATCAAACGAACCCATCACTCGTCATGTCGATGCTCTGAACCCCGACCGCACGCTACCCACCAAATCACCGGGCGACGGCAAGCACATCTTTGTTCTGCCTGCCCCTCGCTTCGAATCTCGCTTCTCCCGCAGGCATCCGCCATCTCGAGGCGACAGGACCCTGCACCCAAGCGGGCGGGTCGTCAGCCATGGCTGAACGCCAAGCAGCTCCTCTGAGGATCGTGTCCGAATCCTCGCGTGAGCACGAAACCTTCAAGTCTGTGTCTCCTCTCGATGCTGATCTGATACTGCCTCGATCTGACACGAACCCTTTGGCTGACTTCAAGTTTCCGCCCCCCTCTAGGTACTATCCGGCGCTGTTTACCACGACCAAACAGAACCCCCAACCTCGGGCGCTGCCGCTGCCCCAGCTGGAGACCTCTCCCGACACTGTCCTGACGGCCCTGGCCCAGCTTGCCGCATGTCAGACTGGCACACCTCGTGCGCTCGTTTCCGTCTTCGATTGCGACTATCAGCACATCATTGCCGAGGCCACACCCTCCCTGCCTCTCGTCCCCGGTCTGCGTGCCGCCGACCACGACCATGACCTCTGGCTCTGCGGCACCGCCATCCCCCGACGCTTCGGCGTCTGCGAGGCCGTGCTGTACCCTCTCGACCCCCGAGCCCCCGAGCAAGCCGAAGGGTCGACGGCGCTGCCCGTCCTCTGCGTGCCCGACCTCGAACAGGACAAGCGCTTCGCCTCGACCCTCTATTGCGGCCCCGGTTCTCCAGCCAAGTTCTTCGCCGGCGTGCCCATCCGTACCGCCAAAGGTGTCAACATGGGCGTGCTCAGCGTCGTCGATACCGTCTTGCGTGACGACTGGACCCCCCACATGACCCGCGTGCTTCGCAACCTGTCCAAGGCCATCACGGAGCACTTTGAGGCCGGAAGGGCAGCTGCCACAGCGCGGCGAGGCGCACGCATGAACAGGGGCCTGGGATCCTTCGTCGAGGGAGCGGCCACCATCTCCGGCTGGCGTCACGACGACATGACGACGGCCTTTCAGGACGATCCCTCCCACGAAGGAGCCCTCGATGCCCGCCAACAAGATCTCCAGCGGTCTGCGGAGGATCGCCTACTCGAAGCAAACGAGCAGGCACGCGTGTCCCTCGCCACCTCAAAGGCTGGTGACCACTCCCTAAACGAATCTGCTCATCAGCCATACTCCCGTGCCTCCACCCCGCACCACTCGAGCAGCAGTTCCAGGAGCTCAAACACGTCGTTGAAGAGTCCCATGTTCCTTCGCCCACACGATCTGCAGGGCAACAGCGTCGACACGATATTTTCCAAAGCCGCCAACATGATTCGAGAGTCCATCGAGGTCGAAGGATGCGTCTTCTTCGACGCACACACCCGATCGTTTGGCGGCCTCAGCGACGTCAAGCCCCACTCGGACCATGGCGACGTCGCAGCACAGTCCGCGAGCAGCAGCGACGCCCTCTCCTCCTCTGGCGGCGAGAACGCAGCCCCGGACTGTCGTGTGCTCGGCTTCGCCACGACAGACGCGTCCAGCATCAACGGCGCGCGGCCCTCGGCCATGCGCGCCACCCTGCCCGAAGGCTTCATGGCGCGTCTGCTTCGACGCTACCCCGACGGCAAGATATTCAATTTTCGCCCCAACGGCGAGCTGCGCCTGACCGACTCCTCGGAAGACGACCACTTGACAGCGTTGCCAGGCATGCTCACACACGCAAATCCTCGTTCTTCCCCTGCGCCGTCCCGACGTCGCAACCACCCTTTGGGCCCCGGCACCGCGAAGGGTACCGCCATTCTGCGAGCGTTCCCCGGAGCACAATGCGTTGCCTTTGTCCCCGTCCGGGATTCGAAGAAAGATCGATGGCGCGCCGGCGGGTTCGTCTACACCAACACACCGGCCCGGGTGTTTACCGTTGCTGGCGAGCTCAGCTTCTTGACGGCTTTCGGCGTCCTCGCCATGTCGGAGATTGCGCGCCTCGAGACGCTTCAGGCCGACAAGGCCAAGTCAGACGCCTTGAGCTCGCTCTCTCACGAACTACGCTCCCCACTTCACGGCGTCATCTTGGCAGCCGAGCTGCTTCACGACACGGGCTTGACCGTCTTCCAGGGCAACATTCTGCACACCATTGAGACGTGTGGCAGGACACTGATGGACACACTCGACCATCTACTCGACTTCTCCAAGATCAACAACTTTACGACAATGGCCAAGGCAGCTGCTTCCACTCGACCGCGAAGCCCCGAGTCCACGCGCAGGCCCTATCCGTGGCCCACGATTCGACAATTGTCGATTGAAGCTGGCGTGCGGGTGCTGGAGTCGAATGTGCCTCTCGATTTGCTGGTCGAGGACGTTGTGGAAAGTGTTTTTGCGGGCTTCAACTTTCAGTACACATCCATGGCGCAGTTGGGCAAGCACAAGAAGACGCGGCATGTGGATGCCGAGGCCAACCGTCGCATGGACGCACATAATGCCATGCAGGACTTTGGTTCTACCCAGATGACTGGCCCCGATCCCATTGATCTGGGGTTCAACCGCGTCTTTGTCTCCCTCGACCTCGACCCGCAGTGCAGCTGGATCTTTCACACATCACCCGGTGCGTTCCGCCGCGTGGTTCTCAACCTCGTGGGCAATGCCCTCAAGTACACGCAAGAAGGGTCCATCGTAGTGTCCCTACGACAAGAGACGATGCCCGCGTCTGCCAACCACGACGTCCCACCGCGGTCTCGCAAGGTCGTCCTCGTCGTAACTGACACGGGCAAGGGCATCGGCCAAGACTATCTGCAGAATCATCTTTTCCGCGCGTTCGCGCAGGAAGACCATCTGAGCGCCGGGACGGGCCTTGGTCTGTCCCTCGTCAAGCAGATCGTCACCAACCTCGACGGCAAGATCAGCGTGAAGAGCCGGGTAGCCGTCGGGACAACCGTCACAGTGTCGGTGCCTCTGCAAGCCGCCACCAACGAGGCCGAGTACATGGGCGACGACGACGAGTTCGCAGCGCACGTTTCCGACCTCAAGGGTCTGCGGGTTCTCCTCAGCGGCTTCAGCGAGTCCCAAGGGGAGGACACGGGCGCGCAAGCGCGGGCGAAGCCGGGTCGTGATGGGTTCGGCCGCGGCCTGACCGAAGGCATCTGTCGCGACTGGCTCAAGATGGAGGTCTTGTCGGATACGGAGACGCTCGTGCCCGATGTCGTTCTTGTTGCTGAGCACGCCATGCCGGATGTTGATGTGTCGACGTTTAGGAACCCGCCCTGCGTCGTCGTGTGCGCCAACCCCCTCCTGGCCTTTGACCGTTCGACATCGGCGGAAGCTGCCCAGACGGAGGGGGTGTTTGAGTTCATTTCTCAACCGTACGTTACGCATGCCTTGCCATTGTACCGACCCTTGAGAGTGAACGTGCTGTGCTAACGCAAAGACGACAGGCTCGGCCCGCGCAAGCTCGCCAGGATCCTGCTCCTCGCCTGCCAGCGATGGCTCGCACTGCAATCATCGCAGTCGCTGGACTTTGTCCCAACCGAGCTGCTTCTTCCTCCAACACGGCCGACGCCGCCTCCACAAGGGACAGGCGATGAGGCGGGTGCGGCTGTCGAGTCCCCAGACCTCGAGGAAGGGAAGGCGCGGCAGCCGTCGACGGCGCGGCCTGAGGCTTCCTCTCGGGCCGCCGCTTCGCCGTTGGCGGAGCGATCGCAGACGCCAGGGTCCATCCTGTCGTGGAGGGGCCGATACGTGCAGACACCGCCGTCGGAGAGTACGGTGTCGGTGTCGGAGACGGGAGACAAGGCGCGCAAATTCCTGCTGGTGGACGACAACAGCATCAACCTGCGGATCCTGTCTTCGTACGTCAAGAAGCTGGGGCGGCCGCTCGGCACAGCGACAAACGGTCTGGAAGCGTACGAGGCATACCGGACCGAGCCCGAAGGGTACATCTGCATATTCATGGACATTTCGATGCCCGTCATGGATGGGTTCGAAGCGACGCGGCGCATCCGGACCTTTGAGCGCGAGAAGCAGCTGCCGCCCATTACGATCATTGCGCTGTCGGGTCTGGCGTCGGAGAGCGCGCAGGACGAGGCGTTTTTCAGCGGTATCGACCTCTTTCTGACGAAGCCGGTGCGATGGAAGGACATGGCGTCTGTGCTTGAGTCGCGAGATTTGCTACGGTTGGACTGAGGGGCAAGCCGGGGAGGGCGGATCTGGAGCTCGAGGGTCTTCTTTTTTTTTTTTTATCTCTCTTTCTCAGGCTTCCGACTCTGATGGATTAAAGGAAATGATGAAGGAAAAGAGAATACGCAAGGGATGCACGGCGTACATGGAGGTCATCTCATGGTGTAGGTATTTGGCTTGGGTTCCTCTCTCCTGGTCTGTCTTGGGAGGCTTTGAACCTGGACGGCATGACAGCTGTGTTTTGGGCTTTTTAGAGCTGATACCCCGCCCCAGGAGCACACGGTGTTTGAATGGAAAGGGAGGCCATAGGGGGTTGGCATCTTTTTTTGGTGGTACTCATTGCGTACACATATCTGCTGTTGCTGGTTCAAGCTGCTGGCTCAAGTTGCTGGCTCGACTTGGGCAAGAAGGGAGATCTAGCTCAACAGCCGATGACAGTTGGTAGAAGGTTTGGCTTGAACAGCCGGCGACAGCTGGAAGGACCCGTTGGCTGCTGCCTGGGGACGCGGACGCCCCCGCTCTTGCTGGAAAGGCCAAGACGAAGGTATCACCATGATTCCAGGAAACGCCTCGTAGGCACCAGCCATGAGCCAAAAACAAGACAACAACGGTCATGACAATTCAGCTGCCTGGGGCGATCAGACTATTGTCCATGCGGTGAGAGGTGAAAAGGCCCGGTGCTTCTTCGGGCTTGCGCACATCTCTGGGATCCTGTGCATCCATCCGTTCGCCGGCGTACGAAAGGGCGCGAGACCTGTTTGATAAATACCATGATCCGACCTCCCTCCATTCATCTCGGAGCAGAAGCAGTACTCTCGGAGCCTTCAGACAGCCAGCCATCTCAATTCATCGCCCAATCGGCTGCCGACATCATCCTCTCGCAATGAACGTGACGGACGAATTCATCCTCGAACACGCCCAGCGGTACCTGCGCCTCGTCGCTGCATACAAGCCTCCTCCTGCTCCCGCCTCGAAGGAGACTGGCGAGACCATGGAAGATGCCGGCATTGTCATCGTGACGCGGCTGCGGCCCATGCTCGGCCATGAGCTGTCTTCGGGCATGGTGCCTGGCCTCTTCCCTCGTGAGCACACGAAGGGCCAGGTCGACCTTCACGAGCTGAGGCGGCCGGTCAGGGGATTACCGCGTCTGAATGTTTGTTTGCCTTGCCCGTAGCCCATACGTGGGTGTCGCCTCTCTGACCGACCGCGCAGTCCTTCACCTACCGCGTCGACAAGTTCTACGGCGTTGACACGTCCTCCGAGGACATGTACCACGACCTGGTCCACCCCCTCGTGGCCTGGGCCTGGGGTGGCGGCGTCAGCACCGTCTTCGCCTACGGCCAGACGGGCTCGGGCAAGACGTACACGGTCAGCGCCCTCGAGCGCCTCGTCGCCTCGACGCTGACGGGCGGCGCGCTCGAGGGCCGGCGCGAGATGCACGTCTCCATCATTGAGCTCGCCGGCAACACCGCGGCCGACCTCCTCAACGCCCGCAAGCCCATCTCCGTCCTCGAGGACTCGTTCGGTGCGACCCACCTCGCCGGCGCCGCCGAGCACCCCGTCACCGACGTCGCCGCGCTCCTCGCCCACGTCGACGCCGCCGCCCGCTTCCGCCGCACCGCCTCCACCACCAAGAACGACGCGTCGTCGCGCTCCCACGCCGTCTGCCGCCTGCGCCTCGTCAACCCGGCCCTGCCCGACGCCGACGACGGCCTGCTCTACCTCGTCGACCTCGCCGGCTCCGAGGCCGCCCGCGACGTCGCCACCCACGGCGCCGACCGCATGCGCGAGACGCGCGAGATCAACGTCAGCCTGTCCGTCCTCAAAGACTGCATCCGCGGCCGCGCCGCCGCCGACCACGTCACGGCCGCCGCCGCCGGCCAGAAAAAGGCAAAGCCGCCCTACGTGCCCTTTCGCCAGAGCGCCCTGACCAAGGTCCTCAAGCACGTCTTCGACCCCGCCGCCTCGCGCGCCTGCCGCACCGTCGTCGTCGCCTGCGTCAACCCCTGCCTCGCCGACGTTGGCGCCAGCAAGAACACGCTGCGCTACGCCGAGATGCTGCGGGTCGTTGCGCCGGCGGCTCCGGCTGTCATGTTTGATGCTGGCAAGCCGGCGACGTGGTCGAACGAGCAGCTGCGGGCGTGGGTCGGGAAGAATGTGAGTTTTTTTTTTTTTTGGCTGCTTATTCTTGTCCTCGTCTCTCGTCCTCAGGTCCCGAGCCAGGTCGGGAGATGCATGCCATAAGCCCAAGATGCGCTGCCCTACATCCACTGACAACACAGTCCGGCACACCGCCCGTCGTCCCGCAGATCCTCGCCCCCTCCGAGTCGGGCGCCCAGCTCCTCCGCCTGGTCGCCGCCGAGTTCCTCACGCGCTGCCTCCGCAGCCCCGGCGTGACCGACGAACAGGCCCGCGCCTTCCAGGCCAAGTTCTGGCGCCTTCACGTCGACTCGCAGCGCGCCACGGCCACGCCCGTCGACGCCAAGGCCGCCGCGGCCCCTGAAAAGACGGGCCTGTCGAGCGCCGACCCGCGGCCCGACATGGCGGGCGTGCCGTTCACCGAGCGCATACGCCCCGGCCTCGTCGTCGCGTTCGATCCCCCCGCCGACATGCCCATGCCGCTGCCGGGGCGCAACCTCGCCGTCGTGCTGGGCGCCGACGGGGCGCGGGCCCAGGGGCGGTACACCTGCGCCCGGGTGACGCCCGGCTTCATGCCCAACGCGTTCGAGGTCTGTCTGTGGCGGCAGGTCGTCGTGCCCGTCGAGCGCATGGTGGCCGAGGTGCTGCTCGAGTATGATGTTGCGACGCGGTATTACTATGAAACGCTGTAGGCGTGGCCTTTATGGGGCGAAGCATGCGCGCTGTGGAGTTGGGAAAGCAAGATAGGATGAAAAATAATCGACGCCTGGTTCAGACTTGCTATGATCATGTATAGTGAACAGCAAAGGTATGATAACTGAGAAATCACACAAGTCCCTCCCCCTTCCCTGGTTGAAAAAAAAAAACGACTGTTGAAAATGTTTTCGTTGTCAAACCCGAAACACCATGAACCCCAGGCCCCTGACCATGTCCTTGCCTTCCTTCTATGGGCCATGCCGAATGGGCCATGCCGAAACCGACGACGCCACGCCGCTGCCCGCTGTCATAACGCGTTTTGCTCGTGATAATTGTCTACTACATGTGGAAAGAACTGCAGGCACGCACGCTCGCATGGCTGCATGGTAAAGTCGCCTGCCTGCGCGGAGAGTGCAAAGAGGACCAAATCACTCGACCAGCTGCCTGCTCTTGGCCGCCACCCCCTGCCGCCCAGACTCGTCGATGCGGCGACCGTTGGTCAGCCGGCGCCGTTTCCGGCTGTTCGAGGACGTCTGCGCGTGCTCCTCGTCAGAGTCGTCGCTGCCGCCTGCGCCGCCGCCGCCGCCGCCGCTGCCACCGTCCCAGATCGACGCGATGAGCGCCTTGGCTCTGGCCTCGTAATCCAGTCCCGTCTCGCCAAGCTGCTCGTTGCTGGGTCTGCGGGCCCGGGTGCCGTCTTCCTCGTCGTCGGGCGCCGCGCGCTTGTTCGGGTTGCTGCTGCTGTTGCTGTTGGTGCTGCTGCTGCTGCTGCTGCTGCTGTTCTCGCTCGGCCTCTTCTGCGACCCGAGCATGTCGAGGTCGTTCTCGTCAAAGTCGCCAATGAGGTCTCGGCCCAGGGCTTTGCCGAGGCGTTCCTTGAGGCCGACGACGGGCCAGATGGGCACTTTGGTGTACTCAATCTTCATGCCGAGGTCTGTGAGGGTCGCCTCGCCCGGGGCGTTCTTGCCGGCGGGCGTCTTGGTCGGGGCGTGGAACCGCGCGAGGAAGGCGGCCGTGACGACGGCCGTGTAGACAATGAGCTCGTTGCCGTCGTCGTCGTTTGTCATGAAGTGGACCGTCACGTCGTGAAAGGCGGGGGCCGGCTGGGGCTTGGGCGCGTGGCGCCGGGCGTTGCGCGAGCGGCCAATGGCCGAGGGCGCGTTGTGGTAGAAGCGCTTCTGGGCCATGGCGAGGAGCGTGCCGGCAAAGGCCGGGTCCTCGTCCGTGTTGCTCGGCATGAGGCGCTTCGACCGCAGCCGGCAGAGGCTCTCGACGGGCGAGTTGCCCCTGTTCTTGGGGCCGCGGAAGGCGCGGTACATATTGGCGCGCGAGTCGTGGATGAACTTTTTGCTGATGTACGCGAGCGTCGGTTCCCGCGCGGCTGCCGAAGACCGAGGCGGGAGAACTGCGCTAGCGTTGAGACTGCCGGGTAAGGATTCGGCAGGGCGTGTGGAGATGGTCTGGAACGACTCGCAGAGGCCATCTTGGGCGGGGCCGCATTCCCACATGAGCTGGACGCGACATGCGCTGGGGTACAGGAGGCCGGAGAAGTACATGTTGAGGTCGATCATGCCGCGCGGCGGGGCTGCAGTGAGTCTCGTCGAGGGGTAGAGTGTTTCGATGGCCTCGCATATGTGGTCCGTCTCGTAAGGCCCGTTGAGTTCGGGGTGCTGCAGCTGGGTGAGCTGCCTGCAGAGGCTCTCGGCGCGTGGCGAGGCCTGGTAAAAGTCTTGCGTGGCCTTGATGTTTTGGCACCGGGGGAGCTCGACGTAGCGAATGTCGAGAAGACGCGAGTGCATGTCGGTCCAGAAAATGGGCTTCATGAAGAGCGTGGAGCCAGCCTCGTCCCACATGAGGTCGTAGAGAGAGTTGGCTTCTGGTCGGTAGATCCGTCTCGGTGTGAAACGTCGTTTGGAGACGGGCGCAACGGCCGCGACTGGCGATGGTGGTGATGGTGGCGTCGGTGTCGCTGACGACGGCGGGTTTGGTGTCGATTCTGTCGAGCTCGACGGTGTGGCGGCAGCAGCGTCCGCAGCGGCCTCCATCTTGGTCGCGAGCATGTCCGCGATGGAGCCCATTCGATCGAATAGTGTGTTTGTATGGAAGAGCGTGCTGTGGGGCATCTGTCAGTTTCCGCTACGTGTAAGAGAGAAGTAGCAGCAGCGGTGGCAGCAGCAGGGGGAAATGCTGACTCTATAACAAGCATCATCAAAGCTTTAGCTTTGGCCACGAGGCAAGGGTGCGCAAGAGTCACTTGGCCGTCGCAATCTGGGGGGGGAGAACCCGGAGGCGCGTCGTAAAGGGCGGAAAAAGATGGATGAAAGAAAATTCAACCTCGAGTCAGTGGCGCGACGAGGGTTTCAGGAAAGCTTTGTGCCAAATCAATGGTCGTGATCGCGGGAGTATCGCGACCGCTTTTGTCGCGACAGAAGAGCTGATGGCGTTGAATGTCGATAGATGCCTTGCCTGCAGTGGGTAGGGAAAAAGAAACGTGTGTACCAAGCGCGCACCCCTGACCTTGTTCAAGACGGACGGAAGGGCGCGACGATGATCCCCGCGGGCAAATTCGCCCCTCAGATCGAGGCGCGTTGGGCGAGCGAGATCAGGTGACCAGGCTAGGCATCCGTCAAATCGAGATCCATCTTTGTGAGGGGTACCAATGGGGGTCCAGGTGGCGAAGCGAGGGGCGCAGACTCACGAGGCACAAGACACAAGGCACAAGGCACAAGGCACGTGCTTTGGGTTGCTGGGCCCATTTCTCCGGAGTTGATCCGGCCTTGCTCCAGCCTCCTGCCCCACCCCTCCAGGTGTCCATCCAGATGCAGCCTGGCCCAGCTTGCCTGGCTCATGCTGCCACAACGTCAGTCGTCGCTGAGCCCCACCATCACCACGACAGCTTCACTTCGCCCACGACGCCATCTCCCGCGGGCTTATCCTGACATAGATCGACATCCCGCTGGTCGCAGACCGCAGACCTCTCCAAGATGCCGGTATGTGATGTGCATGCTTTCTCGGCTTCAATTGCTACAACCCAGAGCTCCCGTTCCTCCACCATTCCCGCTCGCTTCCATGTCGCCATGACGCAAGCTAACCTACCTCCCCCCTCGCTAGGCCTACAACTCCATCTTCAACGAGGACCCCAACGTCCCTCGCCTGATAGGCAACTTTCCCCTGCTGCCCCTGCGCACCAAGACCCGCGGTCCTGCCTACGTCCTGCCGGCGCCCTCCCCGCCGCTGCCCGCCAACGAGTCCCCCGATCCCGACTCGGAGAGCTACGACATTCTCGACGAGGTCCTCGCCCTCTTCCGCGCCAACACCTTTTTCCGGAACTTTGAGATCCAGGGTCCCGCCGACCGCCTCCTCGTCTACGGCATCTGGTTCGTCTCCGACTGCCTCACCAAGATCAAGCCTCACCATGGCCCCCGCGAAGCCACCAAAGAGGTCCAGAACCTGGCGCTCGACACCAACTTTGCCATTCCCGGCGACCCAGGCTGGCCCCTGAACCAGGTGCGTTTCCGTCCCGCTGGTTCCCCCGTCGTCCCCGGTGCACCCTCTGGTCAAGCGGACGGACCCTTGCTGACGATGAGGACGTAGATGTACGAGCCCCCCCGCGACAGGCAGGAGGCCGAGCTGCTGCGCCAGTACATCGCTCAGGTCCGCCAGGAGATTGCGTCGCGGTTACTCGCGCGTGTTTTCGACGAGGGCGGCGACGGCAAGCCGAGCAAGTGGTGGCTCAGCTTCACCAAGAGGAAGTTCATGGGCAAGGCGTTGTAAGGAGCGGTCATGACGATTTATCACGTAGAAGCCAGGGTTGTTGACGAAGAAGGTCGTTTGCGAAGAGGGGGCGAAAGAAAGTAGGGTAGCGAATGCTTTCACCAACCACCAAAAAGAAAATAAAGAACAAGTTTGGCAGGGGGGCGCCCCCAGCTTGGCTTTCCCAGCTCTTGTTTTCTTCCATTTCATGGGTATCTAGTCTATGGTGATGATCTTGCCACCGCGCCCCCTCCGCTCCCCTTTCCGAACCCCCGTCGGACCTCTACGCAGCATGAAGTACCCCCCATCTATGCCTCGACCTTGCGCCGCTTGGTCTTGCCGCGGGCTTCGATCTTGCCCTCCGCGGGCACGGCCTTGGACCCCGTGAACAGGAAACCCTCGGCGCTGCCGCGTCCCATCATCAACGGGTGCGTCCTCCCCGGGAGCACCTGCCAGCGTTTCGCCCGGCTCGTCTGCACATTGGGCCCGATGAGCAGCGACGGGTTGATGGGAAAGTCGTCCGACCCGGGCCAGTTCTCCAGGTCCGGCAGCGGCGCGCCGTCGTCGTCTGTCGGCGGGTTGCTGGACCACGCGGCGCGGCGGGCCTTGCTGAAGCAGTCGGCCAGCTGGGTGAGGGGCTCGATGGTGGGCGAGTAGATGGAGATGGGGGCGCCGCCGGCGAGGAGCGGCAGGGCGGCGCGGACGACGGAGATGGGGTCCATGGTCGACGCGACGACGAGCCCGGAGAAGCCGCCGGCCCGTGCCTGGTCGACGATGAAGCGCGTGCGGGCCCATCGGCGGCGCTTGCGGTGGTAGTTGCCGCGGCGGCTCGCCTTGAAGCCGCTCAGCGTTTCTTCCGGAATGTCGTCTGTGAAGCTCGCGTACGTCGTGTCCGACTCGGGCTCGATCAGCTGGAGCCAGGAGAGGGGGAAGAGGCGGTTGAACAGGGGGTGGGAGGACGTCGTGGGCGTGGGGTTGGCCATGTCGCAGTTCCAGTACTTGAGGAGCGCGAGGTTCGGCTGGTTGGCTGAGTGGAGCAGGGTGATGGTGTTGGAGGAGGCGAGGTCAATCTCAAAGTCGTCGCGGTATGTTCTCGTCGGGTACGATGTCCCGTTGGCAGGGGCAGTCGCCGGATTTGAGGGCGCGTCGTCGGCTGGCGTGCTCACCGCTGGCGTGTCGGCTGGCGTGAGTTCGGCCGGTGTAGCGTCGGCCGCATCGCTCTGAGGCGCATCTTGGGTTGTCGTCGCCCGGATGGGCAGGCCGTTCCCGACATTGTGCTGGGAGAGATCTTGGTGAAGTATGCCCATCCTCTCGGCGACGGACGCCACCACCAGACCTCCCGTGTCGTCGACGACCAACCAGCGGCCGCCCAGCTGTGACGCCTCGACCACGGGCTTGCCGTTGTTGGCGACAACCTTGGGAGTGCCCTCAATCTCCTCGCCGCCATAGTGGACATGGCCCCAGCATCCGAGCAGCGCCAAGGCCTCGTGCCTCATTTCCATGATTTTGCTCGGTTCCTTTTCTTCGAGGACGAACTGGCCCAGTGTCGAAGCATAGAGAGGCTGCACCGAGAACCTCCTCAGATACTTCTTGTTCTTGAGAATCTTGTATTTGGCCAGAGAAAAGGCCGTCTTCTCATCGAGGCTCGTGTGCGACAGCAAGAGCTTCGCAATAATGTCTCGTCCGCCGTCCGTGTCGCGCTTCTTCAGCGTCTCGATCTCCTGCTGCGTCAGGAGCTGCCGCGCCTCGGCCTCGATCTTGTCGCGGCCCTCGCGGGCGATGACGGTGCCGCTGGCCTTGTCAACGAGGGTAAAGTCGGCGCCATCTTCGACGGCGACCACGTTGGCCGACGTAGGGGCACTGGCGTCATTGTCGGCGTTGGCATCGCCTTCCGCCGACTCATCGGGCACTGCCTTTTCGCCGTTCTCTTCGGCAATGACGTCTGCGTGAAGCTCCGAGGCCGGTACGACGCGCAACCTGTTAAAGTTCTCGTCGTCGCGTCTGTCCTGGACTTCGTATGTGAGGTGGTATGGCCGCTCGATGATGAGGTTGCTTGGAAAGGAGCCGTATTTGCCAAGCGAGATGGTGCTGTTGAGACTGGGTTAGCCAACTACGACGGTGTGCCATTGGCAGCGGGCGAACGAACGTATTGGGGATGACTTGGATGATCCGGATGCTCTCATTGGGGAGCTTTACAGCCACCCATTCATTTGGCTGCACAATGGTATGCATTGTCGTCGGGACGGCCTGTGTAGGGGTCGAGTCGTCGCAAGGCGATGCGTCTGCGAAACGATGCGATGCTAGGGTGGAAAAAAAAGATTCAAGGTCGAGCACTGGCGTTCTGGAAACCGACGCTTCGGCCAATCAGAGGGTGCTTGGATGCTTGTGGGAGGTACCCCGCGCGGGGCACTCAAGGCCCTTGAGCTCCCTGCCAGAAGACTGCCAAAGGCGCTGTAACACGGCGAGCAAGCCCGAGCTTCAGGTAGCCAGGGTCATTTTCGACACATTCATTGCCGACAATCTGACGGCTAGTTCAATGTTGCATGCGCTGTCCATTGCTTCTCATGACTTGTCTCGAGGTTGATTAATTCGTACAGTCAATAGTTTCTCGTTGACCATAGCCCCAGAGCGCATGCTTACATCAATCGAAGTCTCAAGATCTATCCCCATGTTGCTTCTGAGAGGGTATTCGGGGATATTCGGGGATATCTGGAGCATCTTGACAAGCCATTGCACTGTATTGTGACCCTCGAAATTCGCCGTACCATGTACACCCTCATTCGAAGCTCACCTGATGACCACACTTAATTAGCAAAACGTGCATAACACCTCCACTCTCTCAGGAAATTCAATTATGGCCTGACAAACATGAATAACCCGCCGGGACCAGTGGCAATGTGCCAAATATGACATGCCCTCGGGCAGGCCAAGCCCCATATCCCAGAGCAGCAGCAAAGGCCTTCCCAAAAAGAAGGAGAGACACGGCGGACCAATGCTTCTGGCGCCCGTGCCTGGGCCGAGCTTGGGTGATCGGAGGCTGGGATCCGGACGTGGCGTTGCAACGGCATTGATGTCGTGTGGTCGTCGAGCGCCATGGCTGAAGCCTTACCCTGGAAATGGCACCCTACAGTTCCCAAAGTCCCTTTTCCTCTCTCTCTCTCTCCCTCCCTCCCTCGTTAATCGCATGGGGAAAGTATAACAGTCACGTCCCAAGTGGGTGCGCGAACGAACAAACAAAGAGGCATGTTACTGTTGAGACATTGTCTCAGCCCATCGATTGCGGCGCAACGCTAATAACATACGTGTCATCTTGCCGCCCTCTCCCGAATTTTGACGCGGATCCTGTAGGGACCACAGTGGCTGGGCTTGACTGGGCAAAAAAGCTTGAACGCGTTTCGCGGGTGTCTGGCAGCGGCCTTTGTACGTCTGTGTGCTGGGAATGGAGAGCCCACCAAGTATTGACTTGGACGTGCTTTGCGGCACGGACGGGGAGATGGTTGGGAGATGGGGTTCAAGCCGACGGCACATACATTCTGATGACGCCCCCTCGGCGACCAAAAGCACCTCGTAAGATGATCGGACCTTGAGGTGCTTTGAGGAAAAGGATTGCAAATACGAGGTTTGCTCGCACAGTGTAATTTCCCAATTTCGTGGTGTTCTCGGTCGCGCAGCAATGTCACTGTGCGGGCGTCGCCTGCAGTGAAGCGTGCCAAAAGGGGCGCTGTCCATTGGCTCTTGACGACTCGGCGAGGTCCCGGGGTAGGTTACATGGCCTCTGTGTTGGAAGCGTGGACCCCCAGCACAGAAGGATTGAGACACCTTGCAAGCGGATATTGCAAATCGCTCTTCAGCCCAGCGAGGCGCTTGCTCTAGTGAAATCCGAGGACGGGTATTTGCCCTGCCCTCGCTGGGTGGTGGAGCTGTCTGTGTTTGCGGCTTGATCCTTGTCTAGTGTGCTTTTACCCCTGCCGGGCAGAGCAAATACCCAACAAGGGCAGAGCAAATACCCGTCCTCATGAAATCCACAGACATGGGAGAGAGGCACGTAGTCCCGCAACGTGTGCAGATCCATGCCAGTCAATTGTGAGCATGTGTGCAACGGCCGAGTTGTCCTTTGGTTCTTCTCATCCAACTTGCGTCCTGAGGTGCCTTGGGTGCCTACCTTACCCCTGTTCCTCCATGCTGGGCGAACAAGCCCCGACATCAGCAGTGCGCCAGGCATCTTCAGCGGGGCGCGGCGCTGTACTGCTTGCGCCTAGCGGGCCTAGGTGCAAGCTGCAGAGGCTGCGACGGGGCGGGCTGATTGCGGGTCGACAAGAAGGGAAGGAGCTAGCAGGCGATGGGACCGAAACCAAGCTTTTCCCGCCACGCCTTCTTCCCTTCGCCGCCGGCCCCATCGGGGAGGCACGGGTATGGAGGGGCAGGCGTGGCGTGAGCAGAGGCGTGGGTAGGCAGGCACTAAGCATGACACCAAGTGGGAGGTGCGAGGGAGGTTTCTCGATGGGGCGGACACGGAAAGGGTCTCGACTCGACCGTCCTCGATTCTTTCCTTCAGGCGGCTCGAGCTGACAGCTTTCTGTCTTCCCCTTTTCCCATGCTTGCCTTTGCCTTCTCTGTTTCCATCAACAAACCAAGCGTTGGCCTCGCCCACCACAGCCTCGTTGTTCGCGACTTCAGGCTCATCTTGCTGCGCGAGCTGCTACGCCACGCCGAAACGGAATCCCTCTTGTCCCTCCAACACACACACACACACACACACACGCACCACCCGTTACAGTTTGTATCACCCACCCTCCGGCGATCTGTTGTCACCTTGGGCTTCCGGCGGCGCAACGGGCCAGGCAGACGGGCGCATGCCAAGTCACGTCGCACAATATCGACTGGACAGTTCCTGCAACTCCTCCTACGCCCCCCTCCGCCACTCTCTTCACCTTAGGTTCTCTACATTCCCGGTCTTCACCCTACATCGAACTACAATCGACTCAGACGCCAGGCGATAAACCAGCGTCAACACATCGCATCCACGAATCCCGGCTCCATCAGTAATGGGCTGGCTCGACGGACGACATGAAAGCTGCATGAAGCTTGGTGCCGTCAACATGTTATCTCGGCGCGCTCTCATCGCCGTGTCCATCACTGTCTGCGCTCTCATCGTGCTCGCCTTGAGCTCCAGTCGCTTGGGCGAATGGACTACCGCCGGCCTCAACTACAAGCACCTACCGCCGCATCACCCTGCGCCGGCAGGACATCCGGGCCACCCGCACAAGCTGCCGCCTGTGGGCGACAACGATCATGTCGCGCCCAGCGACGACGATGAGGCTCCTGATGTTATTGACACTCCAATCGTGCCTGACACCAAGGCGAAAGAGGACCCTCCCAAAGAGCCTGCAGCTAATGGGCTCTTCTTCCGACCCAAGGACCCGGTGTGCGACAGCTTCCCTGACACGAGCAACATACTTCTCGTCATGAAGACGGGCGCAACCGAGGCCTTCAACCGTGTGCCGACGCAGCTGATGACCATGTTGAAGTGCGTACCCGAGTACTTTATCTTTTCCGATCTCGCCCAGACGATCGGCGGCTACCAGATTCGCGACAGTCTTGATACCGTTCTTGCCGCGGCCATGGACGGCAACACAGACTTTGACCTCTACCGCCGCCAACAGGCATGCGCCGTCGACCAGGAAAGCTGCAACAAACTGGCCGAGGGCGAGAATGAAGGTTGGAACCTTGACAAGTACAAGAATGTTCACATCGCCGAGAAGACTTTCAACATGCGCCCCAACTACGAATGGTACATCTTTGTTGACGCCGACACGTACGTCCTCTGGCCCACCCTTGTCCAGTGGCTCAAGCGTCTCGACCCTCGCAAGAAGCACTACCTGGGTAGTGTGACGATGCTCCATGGGTTCACCTTCGGTCACGGCGGCTCAGGCTACATCGTTTCGCACGCCGCCATGAAGGAGATGGTCGCCGACCATCCTGGTGTCGCAAACCAGTTCGATACGCAGATCCAGCAAGAGTGCTGTGGCGACTACATCTTTGCACGTGCCCTCGACAACACCACCCAGACGCGGGTCAGGAACACCGTAAGTGGCCTTCTGTTCAGCACCCTATCAGGTCACCTCTAACATGTGCAGTGGCCTACGATCAACGGCGAGAAGCCTTTCACCCTCCCCTTCGGCGCTGACCACTGGTGTCACCCCATTGTCACCATGCATCACATGAACAGCGAGGAAATCTCTACCTTCTGGGAATACGAGTCGCGTCGCTATGCTGCCCAGGATATGCCATCCACGCCACCCGCTCTACGTATCAAGGACATTTACTACGAGTTCGTCAAGCCACGCCTGCGCGACTCCATAGACGACTGGCACAACCTCAGCGATGACCGTTTTTACTTTGTCGAAACCCCCGGCGGCCGCCAGTTTGGCGAACACGAAAAGGGACGCGTCAAGACTGAAGAGTTGACGGAACTTGAGAAGCGCGCCCATCTATCTTTTGACGACTGTCGCGCCGCCTGCGACGAAATCCCGGGCTGCTTCCAATTCCATTTTGACGATGGACTGTGTGCCGTCAGCTGGAGCTTCAAGATGGGTCACCCAATAAAGAAGGAAGAGGAGGACACAAAACGCATGCGTAGCGGGTGGAACCTGAACCGCATCAACGCATTCATTAAGCAGGCAGGCGATTGTGGCGATGTCAAGTGGCCCGAAGTCTCTTGAGTAGCATTGGCGTTTGAAGATTTTGCATGAGACGGCACACAGAGCGAAGGAAGGAATTCATGTAGCTTACGACGACGAAACACCTAGGTCAACCGTGTATGACATTTTTCGGGGTTGGAGAAATACGGCGTTACCGCGTGGGACGCGATGGATACAATGGCGCAAAAAAAAAAAGTAATGGGTACCTATGAACACAGGTAGACTGCGGAGCTTACTATCTTAATCAAGCACAAACTTTCCGCAGTTTCAGCAAGTCATAACATCGTGAATTAGGCTTTTCTACACAATGATGTCCTCTACGTGTTCATCAACTCGACACCGCTTCTTACAACACCCACGACGGCGCCAGTCTGAACAGCCTCGCCCGCACCACCCGCAACACGATGTTCAATGTCGGCCAGTCCGTCGAGCCACGAAATCATAACCTCGGGCTTGACTTCCAACTTGTAAATCTCCTCCGACAGCGACGTGATAATGTCTGCGAGCGCCAGGCCCCTCGCCACCTTGAGCGAGTTGATGGTCGACAGGCACGACGTGACGTCAGCCGTGCTCAGCAGGGCCTGCAGGATCTCCTGGACAGCGTTGGGCGGCGGGGCGGCGATGCACTGGTAGATGGTCTCGGTGGTGATGAGGTCGCGGACAACCTGGGCGTCGGGGACCTTGGGCTCGCCGGGCGCGCGCAGCGGCGTGCTCGAGGCGTGGCAGGCCTGCAGGACGTTGAGGGCGCGGCGCATGTCGCCCTTGGCGAGGCGGACGAGGGCGTCGGTGGCGTCGGGCCGGATGCGGACGCCCTCGTCGTCGACGACGCGGTCGACGAGGACGCGAATGTCGGCCTCCCTGAGGGGCGAGAAGCGGAACCGCGTGCAGCGCGACAGCAGCGCCGGCGACAGCTTGTGCGCGTAGTTGGCGATGATGCAGAAGCGCGTGTTGGCCGTGTACTTCTCCATGATGCGCCGCAGCGCCATCTGCGCCGTGTTGGTCATGGCGTCGGCCTCGTCGAGCACGATCAGCTTGTAGCCCGCCGCCCCCGAGCTGCTGCCGCCGCCGCCGCCGCTCCGCGCCGACGTGAAGATTTGCTTTGTCGACGCGAACGTCTTGATCTGCTCGCGCACCACGTCGATGCCGCGGTCGTCGGATGCGTTGAGCTCCAGCACCATCTGCCGCACGTTCTCGGGGCCGTAGATGCGCCGCGCCAGCGCCAGGATCGTCGACGTCTTGCCCGTGCCTGGGGGGCCGTAGAGGAGGAGGTGCGGCAGGCGGTTCTTGTCGACAAATTTGTTGATCGTCGCGAGGATGTCGTGGTGGCCCGAGACGTCGGCAAGCGTGGCGGGCCGGTATTTTTCGACCCTGTCATGGTAATCAATGGGTGCTCTGGCAACGCCTATTGGGCACGACGGCGACAGAGAGCTTACCATGGCAGGCTGTCTTCCGCCTCGACTGGCAGGTTGGCGGCGCTGCGCTTGCCCTTGGTCGCTTCGGAAGAGAATGTGATGTCCTTGGAGACGGGGACATCAACGTCCATCTCATCTTCAAAGTCCGACATGGCTGCAATTGCGTACGGTTCCGCGTGGTGTAGTACAAAGGGTTGCGGTCTTGGCTGTGGTCGGACGACGCTGAACTCGATCGTACTTGGGAAGACGCGTTGAGACGCGACTGGAGGCGCTGTCACGTGACCTCTTTAGCGAGACCAGCACGACTCGGCTTCCCTGTCCAATACTCCTCAACTTCAGTGGAGGATTATTCCTCGCCACCAAACGCATTGCGCCAGTCTCCAAATATGAAAAGGAGCGAATGATCAATCCCGTAATTCAGCCAGCTACAATCGAATATGCCAGGCGAGGAGAATGAATCGCTCACGCTAGACTATCTACCCGGTGGGCGAGGGCAGTGAGATCTGCGAATGAATTTGAAATGAGTACCTCTGGTTCAATCAAAGATAGTCAGAAGGTGGGTGAAGCGCCCTCCGAAGACTCAATGATTCTACTAGTCATACATCTTGCTTTCAATTGCCGGAGGCCATAACAATCCCGCTTCGGAAAGCGGTAACATCTCTACTCATCGCTTGCGGCACATATCCAATCAGGCAAACAGATACGTACGCACCCAGGCAATACCGAACTCCTTATTCTGCCGGAAATGCCGGTTCTGAATAGTTCGAGATTGCATGACGTTGCATTGGTAGTGAAAGTGTCGTAACTCGCAAGGGACGTTCACATGATGCCGTCTACGGCCTTCAGGTGGTGATCATCCCAGTTTCAAGAGGGCCATTCCGTCCCTCATCACCATCATTCTCCGAGCGACCAAGTAACTCTTACTTTGTCTCAGAAATTTCAAAGACAATGGCACCTCGGGTGGAGATAGCTCACCTAGGAGACGTGGCTGGATTCACCTAGATCTTCTTCCGATATTTCCCTGGTGAGTTCTTCCAAGGCCTTTTCCCGCCTAACGACGTTGGCCGAGTGGCATCACTAGGCGTGGAAAAGTTTCACTCTCTTTAGAGAACACGGAGGTCAAATTACACAGGCCTTGGTAACAAGGAACCCAGAAGGTTTGACAGTGCTCTTCCACAGCGAGCCATTTATTACGGGCCGTTGACTTCTGCAGGGATTGTCGCTGCTGCCTCCGCCATTCGGATCATCCGGCCTGAACATCTGCCTCAAGATGATGCCGTTCGGCCATGGTGCGAGCGGTGGCCTGTCGCGAGGAAAGGCCAGGACAAGGAGAAGTTGAAGGAGTTCTTCGCCGGCATGGCTGACCTGCACGACACCATAATGGGCAAGCGACCTCATGCCTGTGAGTAATGCTTACAGCTCGCACCGTATCAAACCACGGATCAGTTGAAGACCTTGAACTCGTCCTCGTTGATCCTTCCCATCTCCGCCAGGGCCATGCTTCGTCTTTGTTGCGGTGTGAAGCTTAGTATTACCAAGTTCCCGCCTAGCTAACATCTTGAACGAAGTCGCAGGTGATGTGCAATGTCCATGGAAACGAAGCACTAACACCTGGTCTGTTCCATACCTGGCACTAACCTGCATCAGAAAAGATTCAAGAATGTATTCCCAAAAGATCAAACATAGCCAGATCGGAATTCGGAGTCTTGGCTGCCCGACGTGCGGATTTAGCGTCACGCTGAATTGCCAGAAAGTCCGGGTTGAGGGTCCACTGGCAGTAACTTGACAGTGTCCGTTGGACTGCAGTCAGTTCCTTCGGCCGCCAGAGATCGTATGGCCAGGCCGAGTATCTCGAGCGCCAGCTTGTGATGATAGCTTACTCTTGCTTGGCGAGGAAATCAGGCGCGGGTTTCCAGCAGTCTTTGTTGCGTCAGACCTGCACATCCTTTCAGGCCGTGGCACCCCTTGCGCCCTGCCTTAGTTCCAGCCAAGATCGAGCCGTCATCTTACCCGTTGGATCGCTTCCAATTGTAATTGCCTAGCGGATAGGGAATTGGACCCGCCAGGGGCAACTTAGGGATACGAGAGGGTGACAAATCCATCGCCACGTCTTTAAGCTGCAGAGAAGAGAGACCAGGCGGATAGCAAGAGAGTTCTGTTGGTGAACAGCTGAAGCCGCTGCCGTCAACCAACCTCGCAGTGCATCCAGCCCAAGATAAGTACCTAAGGCAGGGAGGTTATGCTTCCTACCCACTGAGACCAGCCCTGTGATCCGCCTTGTACAGAGGCGGGTCGCTCCATGATCGACACGCTTAATCTGTCGATCATCCAGCCACGAGCATGGGTGGAAAGTTAGGGCGAAATGGCTTGCTCATACTGCACAGCGCCACAGCGCGGTGATTTGAACGACTATGAGTCTTGACCACAGGAGGCATGTCTGATCGTGGTTTCTGGATCCCCCGTTCCCGCGGGCAAGCCACCATCGTCATGTACCTTAGGTTCTTCAGCTCTGGTGTCTGTGCCTCAACAGGCCAATGATATGGAAAGCCTCGCTGCAAGCCCCTTTGACGCTTGGCCGCCAAATGCTTATACGTATGCTCACAATGGTGCACTGTCGTGACGTCCTTGCTTCTTCTGAGCCCGACAGACCCTCGACAGACCCTGTTCCGGTTTCAGTATCGGCAGCGTGCGTCCAGGTCCCGTTTCGTCCGATCGTGTGAGCTTGGGGCCGTGGTGTTGACAAACTGGCCTATCAGGCTCGTCAGGGTAGCAGCCCTGTGAGGACCAAGACATTGTTCAGGGTCTCTTGGGTTGTTGGTGTCAGCCTGTGGCTCTGTGCTCTTGGCTTCACCCCAGACCCTTCGTGGCCTACAGAGCGTCCGTCAGCCTGCTGACCACTTGAATCGCCAGGTCTGGTCCTTTCAAAACCCGGGAGCGCTGCCCGGAGAAGGTTTGGCGGCATGGCGTGGCGGGGGTGAAACATTTCCTTTAGTGTCTTTTTTGACGAGTTGCCGCGTCCACGTCACCCCGAGGCCTCTGGAAACTCTGGGAGATGGAACGGACCAGGTGAAACGATTGTCAATTAGCGTCTGGGGACACTCCTCGCTTGCAGAATGTGCTAGGCCATTTTGTGAACAAGAGCTGCTGTCAACTGCGAAGAAACTCTGCTGGAACAACTGAAGCTCCATGCTACTCTGCTGGGCCGAAGCGTTGACAGTTCTCTTTGCTGTGCCATGCAGCGACGAAATTCTTCACATGATTCCCGCTGACGATAGCTCGTTACCTCTCCCAAGGCTTTTCTTCTGGATCCACGACAGATCTCCCTCATCACCATCATGGTCAATACAGGGAAGCCAAGTAAGGCATGCAAGCTCTGTAGGTCTCGACGTATAAAGTGCGACGAGACCAAGCCCGCATGTCTGAAGTGCGCCAAGGCAAACCGCGTGTGCCCCGGGTACCGTGATGCTTTCGAAATCAATCTTCGCGACGAAACACAGTCGACCATCCGCAAAGCGAAGTCAGCAGCTATTCGAAAGGCATCCAAGGAAGGCCTTTTGATCACTGCCGATGGTTTTGGAGATGGCTTGATCAACGGCATTGCCGCCAATTCTCCCAACTGGCCTCCGATAGGCAGGCAGCAGCACGCTATTGAACGGACCGCCAACTCGTCATCATCATCTTCATCATCATCGTCCCCCTCTGCCTCCGCATCTCCCTCCTCTTCGTCATCATTCTCTCAGATCATCCTGAATAAAAAGAGCTATGAGGCCTATCGAAGGTCACACTCTGTCGAAGCCGAGAGGCTCCCCCGTGGTCTCGACACCCCCTTGGACGAACAAGCCACCTGCTTCTTTCTGTCAAACTACGTCCTCGTACCACCAGCCGGTGTTGGCCACGGCATTTTCACATTCCTAATCCCGCTCATTGACTCACCCAGATACAAAGCATCGCCCATGCACTCAGCGTTCACGGCCGTTTCGATGGCTGCGCTGGCAGGCCGTCCAAACTCGCGCTCGCTCTTCTCGGTCGCGCATACGCACTACAGCATAGCGCTCGAGCAGTTGACGCGCGCCATGCAAGACCAAGACCAAGCCAAGCAAGACACGTCTCTGGCGGCGTCCATTTTGCTGGCGTTTTACGAGGGACTCGCCAATGACGAGTACGAAATGTCGACCTTTTCGAAACATATCAGCGGGGCAGCCGCCATGATCAAGCTGAGGGGCCCCAGGTTGATCGAGTCACCTTTGGGAGTGGCCATGTTCGAGGTTGTCCGGGGAGCGGCTGTAGGTTCCGATTTCTTTCTGCCATTTGCACATGTTGCTGACCAAAAGAAGATACGCCAATACATGTTCTTCTCGGAGTGTTCCATCGAGGACATCAAATGGTGGGCTGGACATGCTGTGGCCGAGAGTGTCGGGCACCAAGCCCTCACCCTCAATCTACAGACAACCTTGATTCGTGCTGAAGCAGACCACTTATTCCAGGGCGCTCACTCTGCCGAAAAGATCGAGCGTGCCCTCGAACTCTCAAAGAAAGCGCGAGCTCTTGATGGTGAGATCGTCAAGTGGTTTGAAGCGTGTCCTGCGGCGTGGAAGCGTGGGTCGGCCGGCATCGCGCCGCCGCTGCGAGGCTCTTTATCGAATCCCAGAAAGTCCTCAACGTCGGCATCTACCTACACACCCTCTTCAGCGTACTCACCCTTTCACAATACTTTTTCGACCCCTGCACCGTCATCCCGAGCCAGATTTCCACTCTCGTCAAGCCCGACCCGCTTCGACCCTTCGGAAAGCTCCCCATGCGAGCCAACCCTGACACAGGCGCAAGATGAGACGGACATGTTGTACAAGAATCTGACTGCCTATCCAAACCTCGAAATCTACACTTATCCCAATGTCTGGGCCGCCGGCAAATACATCACCACCCACGTCTCCCGCCTGCTGCTGGCACAGGTCACAGCCCGCTGCATTGCATGGACATGCCAACCAGCCGATCCGTTCCGTACTGAAGAATATCGCGAGGTGCAAGCTATAGGCAGAGAGCAGGTGGAGGAGATCATCTCATCAACACCTTACTTGACTGGCTGGGCGGGCGACTCGACGACAACGCCGTACTTTCCCTGCGGAACCGCTGAGATGCCCAAGGGGCTAGCGAGCGTGACCTGCATGTGGCCTCTTCTGGCGGCAGGCATGAGCCGCTTTGCTGACAGGAGTCACCGGGCCTTCGTCAAGGGGCGGCTCACTCATATCGGTGAGATGATGGGCATTCGGCAGGCTGAGGTCTTTTCCAAGGTAGGGGCTGCCACGCGCGTGACACTTCCGAGTTGAGACTTACTAACTGGTAATAGAATATTGACATCAACACATGTGGCCCGGATCGACATAACTGCCAACTTCCTGATCTATCTTTCCACTTCAGACACTAGGGCACCTCTCAAGGTCGGAGGATTTATGCTTGAGTGGGCGGCGTCCCAGGGCTTCTTCGTTTCTCCTATCATCTCCTCATCATGTCGACCTCCTTCGACCGCGATTTAAGCCGTTTGTGATGAGAATTCGAGCAGACCGCATATTGCGTGTCATATTGTGCCGGTGAAACTACAGATGACAATGCCCCGTACTGTGTTTCGCTTCTTCGGATTGTGAATCAAGGGAAGCGATAATCGTCAGACAAACAGCTCGAAACCCCGACTGATGAAAGACAATCAAGATCACGCTGCCTCCGCGTTGCACCAAAGCATCTGCTTGGATTTTTCGAGTAGCTCCAGTAGACAAAGACCAACTAGGGCGTGCTCAAAGCTCGTCTCGTGGCTTGTCCTCACGCGGTGCCTCCCCACCCGCAACACCGTCGCCAGCTGCGTCTGCCGTATCGCCGCCCTTCGCCCCAGCACGACTCCATGGTTCTACTTTGCCCTCTGAGATTTCGATGATGAATTTTTCCAGAGCATCCTGCGCAAATCCGCTATCAGACCCGGCGAAAGGGAAGACCTGGCCCATACGTGGGTTCTGAACGCTCAAGCCCTTGGCAGAAACCCCGCCGTCGAGTCCCAACCCCGCCATCATGTCTGGGTGCGCAGATGAGTCCACCGTGACGAAGACGAGGTACTCGTTGTACTTCTGCGCCAAGGGTCGCGTGGCCTCTCTGTGCGCCTCGCGGTCCGCGGCGGAGGGCGAGGCGAAGTATACCACAGACTTGCCAGACTGTCTCTCCGTTAGCATGCGACGCGATGCGGCCAGAATTGTCGGAAGGGTGAGATACGTACCGAGAGAATGTCCATCTCGTTCTGGCGGGTCATTTCCGGGATCAGAAATGCGGTGCATTTCTTGAGAAACGCACCCATCGACTCCACCGTCTCCAACTCGGACGTAATGTGCACAAGATGGTCGACGTTCTGGAAACACCGAATGTTAGATGTCGCATCGTCGGTCCTTCGCAGGCCAAACGAATAGCGATCTCGGTACTCATCGGCCAAGTCGATGTAGCGCTCGAAAATGTTATCATTCTCCGAGCCAGATCCAATCTGCGCCATGAAGACGACGTCGTCGCCCTGGGCGAACGACTGCGTCAATGGCCCGTCAAACTCAGTCACAGGCGGGTGAAGCATGCGCTGGAGGAAGGCCATGATCCTGCCGATGTTAGCTTTGAGTGCGCGTGGGAAAACCCGAGTAATGCCATCTGCAGCCTACTCTTTGGTGACCCTCGGCCCGCGATACCTCCAGTGGAGGCCCTCGGGGGTGTAGATGCGGATGGCTGGCAGGGAGACGACATCGAGCTCGGCGCAAAGCCTTGCTGCGCTTTGGCAGTCGACACTGAGTGCGAACTCTTGGCTTTCTAAAGGTAGCCATTCTGGTTCAAAGTTCTTGCTTGCCTCGCTAGCAAATGTCAATCAATGGTGAGCTACTTCAAAAAAGTCCGATGGAGGCATACTCTTTGGGCTGAGCCATGGCCAGCAAGGTCAGTTATCTACCACATGGGTCTTGACATGATGGTGTGTGGCAGACGTACCGAGACAACTATTCAATGTTAATGGACGCAAGATGCACAGTGGATTGAACTGCAACTTACAGGCAACCAAGCTGAACTCATTGCTGTCCAAGGCGTGTCTGGTGTCGGCTTCGGACAGGAATTCCCAAGACAAGACCCCCTGGATTGCCAGAGCCAGACATGCGGCCAGAGAGACGTGGGAGCGCATGGTAAGGTTAGTGATGCGAGAATGGACAGCTCTTGAGCAGGCCTTGGCTGAGTAGTTCAATTGATGGTAAGATGATCGCTAGAGCTACAGGCTCTGAGTTCTAAGCTCCAATTTCGCGACGAGGTTTCTCAGATCTGGCCTTCTCGGACGACCAACTCCATCTGTCAAGGGGTACGTATGGGGCCTGCCCCTGAACATCAACCCATGTCAACGCGCTGGGGATAAAAGATAGGGATCGATCATTTAGCGTTCTTCAGGGGCTTGTCTGGCCGTGCACCCCAAACTCATGATGTTTCAAACGGGACCCTGCGATGACAATGGGCCAATCTGAGCTATTCCATCAGGTTGACCAGAATCGACGGGCCGAGGGACTGATAATGAATTAATACCAGATGTTTTGCTGACGTCGGGTCGCTCAAAGCTTGGGCATTCTTCTCAGTGTTAACGACATCTGATTGCATGTGAAATCATCACCATGGTTCTGTTCTGCAGACTGAGGACCGCCATCGTGATCTTGGGGTTCAACGCTCTTATCAAAGCCCAAAATCGAGAGCAAGCACCTCTGGTCGCAGTCGCAGACAATTCCACCTGCGAGCAACCGTCGTACCAAGTTCATATATTCTCCACATCGCCACTGGTCATCTATTTGACCGACTTCATATCGCCTTCCGAGCGTCAACAACTCCAGAGTCTAGCGTGAGCCTCCCCCGATCTGGCACATGCACATAGTGGCCCAGAATTGACAGTTCCTCAGTGCCGACACTTTCACCAAGTCCTCCGTTGTCGACGCCGACGGTCACGCCTCACACCACGCCGTCCGATCCTCCGAGTCAACAGCCTTGCCGCCTTCAGAGCTTGTCGACTGCCTCCACCAGCGTGCCCTTGCCTTCCAAGGTCTCGACGCTGCCGCTGCTGCACGCCTTGAGCCCCTGCAGCTCGTCCGCTATAGCGCCGGCGGCCATTATCACTTCCACACCGACTGGTTCACGTCGCCATCTCAGGCTACGGCTTCGCAGGGCGGCAATCGGGCCACGAGCTTCTTCGCCTACGTCTCGGTCGGCGAAGGTACAATCGGAGGCGGCACTTCGTTTCCCTTGCTCGAGGCGCCGCGCGAGGGCACGTGGTGTCGCTGGGTAGACTGCGACGCCGAACGCGACAAGGGCGCCGTTTTCCGACCCATCGAGGGGAGCGCCGTATTCTGGGAGAATCTGGGTAAAGATGGTGCTGGCGACGTGAGGACTCTGCACGCTGGAGAGCCGGTCGTCATGGGCAGCAAGATTGGGATGAATATTTGGACACGACAGGCTGCGCTGCGAGATGCCATCAGAAGCGGCAAGCCATAGATCTGCACTCGAAGAAGACAGAAGCACGAGTCCGGCGTAATGATGATGATGTAGTACGGCTTTGAGAAGGACCTCGACCGTGGTTGTATGGTGCATCATCGACATTCTTAGAACAGTGCAACCTCAACGTCGCGTCGGCGAGCTGCTGCACCGACGTCGAAATAGTCTGAACCGTCTATCCAGGCTTCCTCAATCAGCTCAAACGTCACCCTGACGAGGTTGAAGTCATCTCTCTGCATGAAGTGCTCTCGTATCTCATCTATCGTAGCCTTCCACTCCCTGTGCCGTCGAAGCAGGCCAACTTCCAGGCCTGCAGTCATCAACGGGTAAGCCAAAGCATTCTTGACGAGTAAGTGCTCGTTGCGCGGGATCAGGCTCGCGCGGTACAGCGCATCCATAGCGGCCATGAGCTGGCACAATACGACCTCTGTTGATGGCTGGTGATTGCCTTCGCTGCGCCTCTTCAGCTTCTGGCGGCGGCGCACTTCGAGGATGCCGGCCAGACGCCACGAGCTCCAGAGATGACACTGCAGATAGTTGCCAACGTCGCCGGGCCACCGGGAGAACTTCATCTCCGTGTACTCGGGATCGTTGTCCAGAAGGCCAGCGAATATGTCGAGAAGGGACCGAGGCACCCCCGACACAACCTCAACGCCTCCTACACGTCCGGCTGGCCAAGCATCCTGCGTCTCGCGCAACCGCTTCCAAATGCCGATGGAGGGGTTCGATCGGCCAAGGACGATGCTTGGAAGGTCCATGACGCCCATGACCTCGAGAACGTGGCGTTTCGCCTCGTCATGCTCAGTATCCGGCATCTCGGATGCCAACTGATACAGATCTGCCATGAGGTGGATCTGGAACGTCCATGGGCGGCCTTGGAGAAGCTATAGGGAGTGATCGTTTATCAGCGCTGTACCACTGACGGCGCTATGCCTTAACCGGCATGTCTATGCGCCTGGGAATCTGGGGGGTCATTGGGACCTTACCAACAACGTGCACATCAAGAGTCCAGCGCAGGTCGTAGCGACATGCAGGGTCTTGGCTCGGCAGGCTATCTCGTCTCGGAACGACTGCAGCGCGTGATCGACGCGTTCCATTGATAGCACAGATAGGCGTCGTTGTTTGTCACTCAGGTATCCTTGGATGGCGATGCAGACGTAAACGAATGCTTCGCTCTGTTCTGCGAGACCCCGGAAGAATGGTTGGATCCAGGTATTGGTTTCCGTTGCATACAGTCGCAAGACGCCAGATGATAAGACTGGCTAATATTAGTTCTTCAACAGCCAACACACACACCCAAAATCTGCTCCTCGTGAGGCTCACTCACACTGTTCAAAGAGTTCGGGCTGCATTGAAGGGCACGTTGGCGCAACCCCAAGGCTTGAATACGGTGATGGCGGCGCTGAGGAGACGGCCAACGACGCGTCTATGACCATGTCTGTGTCTGCAGACGCGTCATCGTGAGCTTCCGTTGGTGTCGTTTCGGACGTTTGGGGAGAACCGCCTGGCCCAGGGCGGAAGGGTTCGCGCGACTCGCGTGCTCCCGCGGAAGGTCTGGGGGACGCAGGGAGCTCAGGCACCAGAGCCCCCGCGAGGCGACCTCGTGAGGCGATGCCGTTGTTCCAGCGCAGAGTCTGATTGTAGCCGTCGCATTGAACGCCACGTTGCTCGCAGGCCTGGCATCCAGGTCGCGCTTCATCGCATTTTCTCTTGCGTCGTTTGCAATTGGCACAGCCTGTCCTGGACCTTGCCATCGCCCATCGTTCCTCAGCACCTGTTGGACCGGGGTCAGGTTGCGGAAAGTCGTTCCGACGAGTCAGCGATGGATAACAGGGCAAGGGGACGAACGAGACTGTTGATGTTCCCAGAAGCTTTGGGGGGGGCGCAACGACCTCCTATTTAAGGACTAGCAGCACAAGCTGAGCACCACCTCACCCCCCGTTACCCCAGCTTCTTCTCACTGATAGCAGTGCGGGGGGTTGATTGATCGCCTAAACCAGGAGTCGATAGCGTTGCCAACCTAGGCGATTTTCGTGTAGGAGCGCGCCTGATATCAGGCCTATAACGTGGCAGTGATAGTTCACCAGCCCAATGCGACACCATCTTGACGTCAAATCTACCGGCATGTCGGGTGTACCCCAACGTGACAGTCTGCAATAGAATAGGTAGTGGCTCGCGTTCCAGCCCAGTCCTGTTGCGAGACCCTCAGTTGCCGACTCTTCATAAAACAGCACTACCCTTCCCTGGACTTTCCTTCAACGCGCACAGCACTCAGTCGTAACCAAATTTGTTGAGACTTCAACCTCACATTTCTTCATCCAGGTTCAAATTCATAAGTTGTCACCTCATCCATCAACCGCAATATGGCCGACACGACGCCGCCGCCACCTGGCACGGTGCCTTTGATGCAGCGTCAGTTTTCAAAGAGTTTGTCACAACCCAAAAGTCACTACCTAACGTGCCTCTTGTGTAGATGAGGACACTGTTGGAGCTATGGAATTCCTTCTCTCGCCGACTCCATCCTCTGATCCCAATGAGCCATTGGTTCGTAACCCAGAACCCCAACCTGCTGCCAAGCAAGAGCTTACCCCTGATTTGACAGAATTGGCCGACATGGCGTAAAGTCCTCAACTATGGTCTCGTCACCGTCGTTACCTTGGCAGCGTTCACCAATCTCTCTGTTCAAACAGTGCTCTGGCAGCCGATGAGTGTCGACCTGAAAGTTACGTTCTCTCAGCTGTCTAATGCCCAATCGGCCCAGCTCGCCGGTCTGGCAGTTGGATGCCTGTTCTTCATTCCCTTCGCGATCAAGTACGGTCGACGTCCGGTTTATCTCCTCAGCACGCTTATACTGGCAGCCTCCTCCTGGTGGACGTCCCGTGTCGACTCTTACGCAGAGTTGATCGCGACATCCTTCATCACAGGGCTTGCAGGTGCGATTAACGAAACAGCAGTGCAGATGACCGTAAGATCAAGTCTTTCCCCATTTGACGTGGATGACAATGTGATAACCAAGGCTTTCAAAACCAGATCTCGGACCTGTTCTTCGTACACCAGCGTGGAGCTGCCAACGGTGTCTACTTCATTGCCGTCATGTGCGGCTCGTTCCTAACTCCCATGGGCGCTGGCGCTCAGGCCGTCGCGCAAAGCTGGCGTTGGTCCTACTACAGCATCTCGATTGCCCTTACTGTACTTTTCGTTGTCTTTGTGTTCTTCTTCGAAGAGACGAAATATACTTGTCCCACTCAAAGTACCGCAGTGATCGACTTTAACGACCTGGAACTTCCGATTGAGGGACACAGCCAGGAACAGAACGAGGTCAAGAAAATGAACTCTGTGGACCTTGCAGCGATCAAATCAAATGCTGTCGGCGAAGTCAATATTCCGATGAAGTCGTATCGGGAACGGCACCGCCTCGTCACCAAATCGAATGAGTCTCTCTGGAAAACATTTATCTTGCCCGTCAGAGTCATCTGCCTGCCCCATGTGGCATTCACGGCCATTCAGTTCGCTTCTGGCGTCTGCTGGTTGGTCACGATGCTGCAAGCCAACGCCATTGTCTTCTCGGCGCCGCCCTACCTTTTCACTCCCGCTGGAGTGGGATACATGGCCCTCGGTCCATTCGTCGGCAACGTCTTTGGCAGCATCTATGGCGGTGTTTTTGCCGATTGGCTAGTCGTTCGTTTGGCGCGTCGCAATAATGGTATTTACGAGCCGGAGATGCGACTGTACCCCCTGTTCTTGTCGACCATCACTATGGCAGGCGGCTTGATTATGTACGGTAGTACGGCAGCCCGAGTAAGCATCATCATGTCCCAGGACACTGCAATTCTGCAAGACTAACAGTATTCAGGGCATGCATTGGATTTTTCCCAGCATCGGCGGTGCATTCTTCGCCTTTGGCCTTGGTTCCAATGGTGGCATCGCTTTCACACTTGTCATTGACGCTTACAGAGAGGTATCTACCCCTCAAATGAGACACCATTTTCGACTGAATGACATACTAATGCCCCACAGTTGACCGCCGAGTCCTTTGTTGGTATTGCTTTCATTCGCAATGCCGGTGCCATCGGCGTTCCATCCGCTTTTGTGCCTTGGATGACGAGCATGGGCTTGTCAAACATGTTCATTACGGCTGGGTGCGTTGCCTTTGCTGTTGGCTCGCTCTTCCTCCCACTTCTCATTTGGGGCAAGAAGATTAGGATTGCTCTCGCCCCGAGGTTCAGGCGCTTGGTAGATCTTCACGAGAAGAATAAATAATTCAGGGTACCTAGCCAGGCTTGGCGTCGGAGGACAGCCTTTTGTTCAACTCACCATACATGCTGCATGATTGTTTAGCAAGAAAAAATAGGAGAACCAAAAAAAAAAAACCATTCTTGATCACATGTTGAAACTCGGTGCATAACTTTACTCATTTACTCGGCGCTCAGTCCTACAGGTTCTCTGCTGTGACCCCAGGAAAGTTGGTCAACCGATAACAATCAATGATTGGCCTCCCCTTTGACATGGTCATGACTCCCACGGGCACTATACCATTTAGCCAGTTGTAAGGACTATCCCCAGGCGCTTCTAGTCGTATCTGAGTAAAGTATTCAACGTCGTCTTGCGATGCGTCAGGCGCCGGCTTGCTCATCTCAACACCTGGCCCTGGGCGAAAAATTCCCGTAGCAGTAACCAAGATATGGAATCCGTCATGGGTCTTGACAGTGTATCGAGCATTAAGCCTCGTGAAGATCTAGGTCCCCGTTTCCGAGATCAGCTGCAGAATCTCACGCCAAGGTCGGAACCGATTCAACTGACCTTATCAGGATTCGGAATCTCCGCCCAATCTGCACCACTGTCCTCGACGATAACGCCCTTGATCCGAGGCCCGTCTACAATGCCGTCCTTGATTGGCAGTATGAGCCTTATCAATCCCGCTCCGTCAATATTTTTGATCTCGGACACCTTTGTCTGGTCCATGTTGGCCACGATGCGATACACAAACTCGAGGTGGGGCATGCGCATGGGTGGTACAGCAGGTTCCTGAGCAGCAAACGTATTTCCGGGCGAAGAAACATGCCGAGCGTCAGCAGACGTAGTTTGAGGCGCCATCTTGAGTTAAGGCGGGTTTGAACGGCAGGGTCGGTCTTACACAACTGACGGACGAGGTGGTGTGACCGTGTAACAGGGTCGCCGCCATTCCATCGCCCGCCCTGACTATTCGACATTATGCCTTAAATACAACCATGCATATACATGCCGAGGTGGGTTCTCCAACCAAGCCAGCTAGATGCCGATGCTGGAAGCCGCCCCCTGGGGCTTCAAGCGCAATGCCTTTCCCGATTTGGGCAATATATGCGCCGAACCCCTCCATTCCACGCCCCCTGGTGAAGAGGCTACCCCGCGCTGCGTATCACAGGATCCACTATCCCCAGCTTCTTCTTGACCCTGGTTGCATCCGGCCTTCCGTCGGCGTCGCGTGTGCTGGTGATCAAGGTCTCGTAACGAAATGCCGAGCTACGTGTGTCGGCATTAGGGCATAGATAAAGACTGAAATACGGAAGTCCCCTTCTCGCCTGTCCAAGTGCAGCTTTTCAAGATTCCCTACGAACAAAATCCGCATTCCACGCCAACACCGCGCTTTACAATGGGTTCCGTAGCCGCCCTAAACATCAAAGAGAATCGATCAACCCTGTCCTCAGATTGGGCAGCTCTGGCAGCAGCTCACTCTCAGAAGCAGCTTGAAGCCATTCCGAAGGCTTGGACTCTCAGTGAAGATACGCTCAAAGAAATCACCGGACACGGAACAGACCGCCATGGACGCCTCGTCGAGCTCCAGACTGCGCAGAAGTCGGGCCTGCTGTCCGACCACGAGATCGGAATCTCACAAGCAACCGCATCGGAGCTTGTTCAGAAGATTCATGCCGGCGAGCTCACTTCTGCGGAGGTCACTGTGACTTTCTGCAAGATGGCCGCTGTTGCTCAACAGACCGTAAGGGAGCCTAGCCTGTCACCTGGCAAAATGACATCGTCACTAACGGCATGAACAAGACTTCGTGCCTAACCGAGATTTTTTTTGATGAAGGAATTGAACGAGCAAAGTGGCTGGATCAACAGCTTCAAACGACCGGCAAGGTCGTAGGACCTTTACACGGTCTACCAGTCAGTCTCAAGGTACGCCGTTACACCATTTCAAATCTTCCCACTCCCTGGTACTAAATGGTGGGCAGGATTCTCTCCATGTCAAGGGAAGGCATGCAACGGTCGGATACACTGAATATCTGAGGCGGGATCCTCCGAACAAGAACTCGGCTCTTGTGGATTTGTTGCTGGATGCAGGCGCTGTTCTGTACTGCAAGACAAATGTGCCCCAGACAATGATGGTCCGTTGCCACCATTCCAATGCCCTTCAATCCTTGAAACGCTGACCCAGGTTTAAATCAGACGGCCGACTCGGAAAATCATATCTTCGGAAGGACACTGTGTCCCCACAAGACAACACTGACGGCAGGCGGCTCATCTGGAGGCGAGGGCGCGCTTGTAGGCTTCAGAGGATCACCATTGGGAGTCGGCACCGACATTGCGGGTTCCATCCGGATCCCTTCCCTCTGCTGCGGCACGTACGGCTTTAAACCGAGCTCGAACCGTGTTCCTTTTGGGGGACAATCGCACTATCCATTCCCCATTCATGGCCTGGACCTCATAGAGCCTACAGCTGGGCCTCTCGCCAATTCGGTTGCCGATTTGTCCCTCTTCATGCGGACTGTCACGAGGCGATCGCCCTGGAAGTATGATCCCACAGCTCATCATCTTGGATGGCGGGCTCTGCCGCACAACTACGCCAAGCGCCTCACAATTGGTGTCCTTCCCGAGGATCCCCTGTACAAACTTCATCCCCCGGTCCGTCATACCATCGACAAGGCCGTGGCCGTCCTCAAGGCCAAGGGCCACAACATTGTCCACCTGCCATACGAAGCCGCTACAAGCGTGGATCTGGGTGGGCGTATTGGCTTCCAGCTCTTCACACTAGGAGGTCCTAGTCCCGACCAGGTACTCGAGGAAGCCGGCGAGCCGCTGGTGTACTCGGTCGAGAAACGCGTGCACCCTTTCGCCCATGGCGGCCTGCCTGTGCCCCCGAGCGGAGACAAGTTTGCAGAAACGATTCAGATTACCAAGGTCAAAGCAGCGTATGCAGAAGCGTGGCAGAAGACTTGGGGCAGCTTCGACCTCGACGTTGTACTTGCGCCTGGTGCGATCAGCACGTCGGTCCCGCATGACACGTATGGTTGTCCGATGTACACGCTCATGTGGAACGTCCTTGACGTGAGTCCCCGATTCCTGTCGAAATGAAGTGACCTGTTGACTGAAACCCCACGACAGTATCCGGCAGGCATCATCCCATATGGCACCTCCTCGAGTGCCGAGTTTCCTGAGCACCAGAAGGGCAATGCCACCTTCGACTCTGATTGTATGAACCCATTTACCCACTGGCGTGGTCCGAACAATGCTGAACCAAGATAGATATCCCCGAAGCAGCTGATGGAGCCCCGTGCGCCATTCAGATCGTCGCACCAAGGTTCCACGATGAAGAGTGTCTTCAAGCTATGGAGTTAATTGACAAAGAGCTACGGCAGGATGCGCAATTGGAACACTCTCGGCCACGAATCTAGTTGCGCACACCAACTTGATGCGATGAGAAGTACAGTCCTGTAGATTTGGCATGACGCGAGCCTGGGGTAGCTTGTATGAGAGTTGCTCAAGTGAAAGCATTTTGATAATAGCGACGTTCACTGAAGTTCACAAATTGGAGCCTCGAAGATCTGCGCTGAGAACCCCTCGGTTCATATAAATTTGCGAGCGTGGAATTGGTCTTCCAAGTCATCAAATGACCATTCCATTGAGACCGTTATCCGGCCATCACTAGTGCGATGTATGTCTAGCCTACTTATACTCAAGCGCCTCCTTCACCTTCAGGGTCTGGATGCTCGAAGCAAGGGGCGATGGGTTGAGATCGAATGCACCGCCGGCGAACCAAAGCCCAAATGTACAGCTCATTCCCTGAAGGATCTCTTTGGGGATAAACTGGTAGGCGTGAACGTGGCCCGGGAGCTCTGTCACCTTGCCGTTCTTGAGATCTTGAGCCGAGTCGTAGGCGATATTAAACTTGGACCCTATTCCCTGCGTCAGTAACGAAGGGGGCACTCACGAGGGCGTGGTATTGGGAACCTACCCTGTGCAACCTCGGCCAGCTTCACAAACTCGTTCCAGGACACCTTGTCGCCCACAATCGTAGAGTGGGCCTCCCACTTGTCAGCCTCAACGAGGGCGGCGACAAATTTCGCAACATCTGTGGTGTGGGTGAAGGCGATGGGCGTGTTCCCGTCACCCGGCACAGCGGCAGCCTTATTGGCAATGTCAACAATCAAGGTCATCGGTGTCATGTTCGTCGGCTTTGAAGTCCAGTAGTCAAGGAAGAATCCGTTATGAACGATGGTGTATTCAAGGTCCTTTACGTTCTGGAGAGCCTTCTCGGCATTCAGCTTGGGAGCGACTGAAGGGAGGTCCTTGATTTGCCTTCAACAGAGTCAGTATCATTTCTGCAACTGAGATATGCCCATACAAAGGACGTACTCGGGAGAGTGAGGGATGCCCCATCCACTGGAAATTATCCTCTTGGTGGTCTTGGAGGCGTCAGCCGCGCGAATAAGGTCCTCTTCAGGGGGCACGCTGCCATCAGGCAGCATCATCGTGATGGCCGAGACGACGGTATGGACGTTGTTCGCCTCCAGCACCTTCGTGGTAGCCGCAACATCGACATAATCAACTGGAATAATGGCTGCTCCGAGCTCTTTCTCAAGCTCTGGGTTGCGCTTCGACTTCATTACTGACAGTTCTGAGCAAATCATTGACGAGGAGACAGCTATTCACCTTGCGACTGAGGATCTTGACTTCGTGCTTGCCCGTGGCGACGAGAGCCTGGACTATGGTGCGGCCGACATTGCCGGTACCGCCTGCAACAGCAATGACAACCATTTTGAGTTGCGGTAAAGGATTTGAAGTAGGTAGTTGGGAGGGGGAAACTGGGAATGGATGAGAAATGGATGGCAGTGAATAGTGATAACGAGATGTGATTTGGTGATTCTCCATTCGAGATTTGCACTGCCGACGAGGCCTTGATGGCGTTTTATATTCATTTCAAAACTTGTCCGCGGCGAGTTTCCAAATGGTGTTGTGCGTGATTCGGATGTAAATTGATTCCAAGCCATACATCGCCGTCTCAAACGTCCCGCGATCAGAACGTCAGTACCAAATACAAAGGCCATCATTGTGATTTGTGACTACTCAGCCCATCGCCTTCTTCAGCGACAGAGTCTCAGTGATGACAATGTACATAGACGTCTCTTGAGAATATTGTACACGATGTGCACACCTCCGGAGTTAAAACGTCATCTTGTAACCATGGGTGTGCACCGGCTGGCTGAGGCTCATGGAAAAAGCTCCGATCAAGGTTTACGTCTTCCCCCCCCCCCCCTCCCCTCGCCCAAGGTTCATGGGTTTCGGAACCAAAATGCTCCCGATGAACACTCCACCTCGACTAGCACCAGCCACTGGCGGGAACATTTGAGGCCTCGATTGACAAATCCTCGACCTTCAACAATAACATTTCAGCACTCTTCGGTCTCCATTCAATTCGGTCCAGGTCTTGGACCTTACATCATGCACCAGGCACCAGCGGATGCTTACTCCAGCCGACCTTCTAAGCTCCTATGATGACTGCGCGTTCCCTTGACGATTGATTGCCAAGCTCTAGGATCCACGACTGAAGTACCCAAGTACCTAAACAAAGTGGCTCATTCCCCTCCAACCAGAAACAGCCATGTCGGCATCAAATCAACAGGCTGAGAGAGCACAACGAACCCAGCAGGTAAAGGCGCAACCCTTCCAATTGGACAAATTCAAATCAGTTAGTAACGATGACAGGCCTGCAAAAGATGCCGTTCAAGGAAAAGCCGGTGCGATGCTGGTAGGCCATCGTGCTCGTCGTGTCTCAGCCAGGGTCATGAGTGTGTCTACGATGTGGCCCCAAGGAGGCGTGGCCCTGGCCGCAAGTCAGTCTTGCCCCAACATTGGAAATGAATACGACGGTTAATTAACGAATCGCAGTAAGGAATATGTTCGCGCGCTAGAGGAGCGACTCTCTAAGATGGAATCGACTCTGCAGCACGCTGGGATCTCCCAACCGGAAACTGCCCCAGGTCCTTCAACTGCAGATACTCAGCCTGCAACTAATGTAACTGGACTGGCCCCTGACGTCCCGGACTCGCAGGTCCCCTCGAATCCGAAATCCACACCAGCGGATGCAGCAGAACTTGGACAAGAGACAGAGGTCTTGTTCCCTGATCTTGGAGTCATGTCAGAACTCCACGCCAGGATGCCGCTTGTCGGCGCCATCAGAAGATGGATGAGCACCCCACAACCCAAGTTCACTGGCCCTACCTTTGTTCGCCGTTGCTACACGGCAGGCCTGCAGCGTCACGAAGCCATCACACTGTGGCTTCCCCTGGTCGATCACGTCACGGAGACGTTTCCGGCCCTCAACCTCGCCGATTTCCTGCCTCGTTATGGTGGTCTTTCGGCAACAGACGGACGTTCTGGAGCCGATGAACTGTTTGAAAGCGCCGCAGGTTGGGCGTACGCCAACGCCTGCATCGCCTTGGGCGCAAGCCTCAAGTGCCTAAACGAATCGTGCTTCCTGATGCACCGGCCCATCTGGTCCTTTTTCATGAACGCTTTTGAGGCGTTGCCAGAGCTTTTAGCAAGAGGCGACGACGCCATTGCTGTGAATGCAATCGTCGCCATGGCCATTTGGATGCAGGGCACCTTGTTTACCAGCTTGGCAATTTCACTTGCATCGTCCGCGTCGGCCATGTCGATCCGTCTTGGTTTCCAAAGGGGCGCCTGTTCAAAGCTTACTGGCGAAGGGAGCAGAATACAAGACTGCGTTTTCTGGTCCACGTATATATTGGACAAGTCGATGAGTATCCTGCATGGTGTCCCGCCAATGATCAGCGACGACGATATTGAGATTGACCTGCCAGAAACTCGGGGCACAGATGTGCCCTGGTTTCGCCTGCGGGCACAGCTGGCCAAGATTGAAGCCCAAATCTCTCGACGACTATACACGGCCAAGAGCCTCAAGCTCGACGGTGGCCAAATCTTTCAGACCATTCTGGACTGTGAAGTACTACTCGACGGATGGAAAAGCTCGTTGCCTGGTACATTAGACGATGACATTGTGGACGGTATCTCGGACGCCGACAGCTTGCAAGGCGACAAGCTCGACGTCTTCCTCGTTTTCAACAACTGTCTCTTACTGACCCACTGGGCGTTAAGGCACAGTAGCCAGGACGGTCCCATTGCACTGCGCGTGGAAAGAACCCAGTCGCACTTGGATCCCATCCTCCATGTTGATGTGCCTCGCTCCCGGCACTGTCTGCTCCGATCTCGATCAGCAGCACAAGCCGTGATTCGGATTTACTGCACATACAGAGAACCCCCGTTCACTTTCCTCTGGTGAGCCACGGTCTGACGAATTTGCGATCTATGACGGCGTTAACACGGTGTTTAGGAGAAATTTGGCGTATCCTCTGTGTGCTGTCCTTGTATTGATCACAGACATTTTGGATGAACCCGCAACGGCGCAGGCGATCAAGCTTTTACAAGCTACGAGGTCCTTCTCCCGATTCCTGCAACGGTTTGAGCGCGAGGAACGGTGTAGCCTCAACCAGGTTCTCCGATCCTGCGCCACGTTGCAGCGAACAGCTCAGCTTGCCGTCCAGGAGGCGCACGAAGGCTCAGTAGTGGAGAGCCCCCTCGTCATCACGCCCGGAACTCCTCGCTCAACGCCTAGAGAAGACGCCGAGGTGAGTTTCCGAGTTTCTGAAAGATAACTGGCCACTTGGCCAAGCTGACCGACCTCGACGCAGACGCTACACTCGATATTGCGGTCAGCGACGAACCCAATGTATCTCGCCCAGGGTCTATTGGGCAACCAGCCGAACCGAGACCAGGCGCTTTACACCAAGCTTGCTGAGTTACTTGGATGCCCTGCACATGAGAACCCGACCGGCATTCCGCTTGGATCTGAAGTGCTGTGGCCACCATCCTACGGGCTCAGCCTCGCCCCTGACGCACGATGAGCCTGGCCAAGCCTGAGTGATGATTCCAATTTTGCCACCAAGCGGCATACCCGGCCGGAAGCAACAGGCATGCAGGCTGCTGCTCAGCCAGAAGGGTACAGGAAGCATCAGATTGATGCCATCGGACATGGCCGCGACGAGTGGACGCTGATTGTCAGTGTGGTCCCTGCTGTGGTTGCAGTGTTGCAGATGATGCAATGCACAACTGACTCCCCCATAAATGTCTTCTTTTTCCAGACACAGGAAGATGAGAGGCCGAACCAAGATCAATGTCGAGGTTCATGGGCAATCTAAGAGGAAATCTGAAGGGCGTGGAGGCTTCTTTTCATAGTCCTTGGCAGAGGAGAGGACCACTCGAGCCTCGCAAGCTCAAGCGATGGCAGCTGGTCTTGTCTACCCAAGGGTGATGCGGCGAGACTCCACTGCCAGCATCATCAACGTGATCGTCACAACCGAGCGACGAGCTCAGTCCTTGGACTCGCTCAGTCCTTGCACTGGGTACCTATGGCTGGATTGGTGAGGTTGGGCCAGATGATACTGCATCGAACATTCTATCGCCGCGAACGAGGTGCTTGAAGCAGCAGGTTTCATCATTGATGCGACTTGACGAACAGATGAGTCGAAGACGGTTTTGCCTCTAGCTCGTCTGTATTATTGTCGATGCGTTCAGCATCACCGCATATTGAGCCGAATGGCACCTTATCTCAAGTCCCATTGCGTTATGACTCTATTTCAATCGACTGTGTCTAGGACCCGGCCGGGCCCCCAGCCAGTTTTGGTGGGCGCAGTGTTTCGTCTTGGCGGGTCGGCCATCTAAGTCGAGATGAAATCGATGAAGCTATTCACGGCCGGATAAGCTCAAGGGGCGGTGGAGCAGAACATGCGGATCCGTGGCCCAGAACGGCAAACACCGGTTTGGGAAGAAGCATTAAAATTTGAGATGGACGTTGCTGGCACATGTGAGGCTCCAGCACCGACGCGATTTGACCTATCGCCGCGACAGTGAGTCGCCGTTTCGAGACCTCCTTATCTGGTCAGGGGTCAGAGCGCACGTCATGGCGAAACAAAGTTGTCCCGCCCACACCTCCAATTTAGGCATACTGGGCAGCACCCTGGAGTGGATTTCCCATCCATCTGGTGTTCCAGCTGCTTGCCTGAAGCAAGACTAACAAAAACGCGCATCTATTAATACGACACACGGGCGGCATCGCGGCTCTTGCGCGGCTGCACCAACCGCAGAATGAGCACCCCAGCGGTCGATCAGCGGTCTGCAGTCCGCTAACCCTCCGGTCACGCCCGGCATTTGTGGTACTGAGAGGACATTGGCCACAGAGGCCTTCGTGATCGTGGACTCTAGAGGACGTCTCACGCTGATGGGTCTCGTCATGGCCGATGGTGATCATTTACAACCCAATGCAACTGAAGAGTCCACGATAGCCAATCCCTTCTGTCGTCTCTTGTTCAGGGTGCTTGTAGCTACCTACTGGAAAGCTCCCTTACGACTCCCGGTTTTCTCCGCGCGTCTGACCGTGGGGGGCGTCTCCTCCGTCCTTGAACCTCTCCTTCGGCCTACCCCCCACACAGACCACGACTTTGAATAGAGGAAACACGTGCCGTCGCCTCGAGACCCGCTTCTCTCTATCGTACAGGGTGCAGCCCAGTCAGTCTGAGGCAGGGAGGGTGCGGCCCGGATGGTAGGCTGCGGCTCTGCTTCCTCAGAGAGGTTGCCAAAAACGGTTTGCAGGGTCAGAGTCTTGGCGAGTGTGAGCCCTGCTAAACTTGGCGTTCTGTTTCAACGAAAGGACGAAGTCTTACTCTGCCGGTGGTGGAGACTTCACGGTCCAGCTCAACAATGGAGCCAGCGGGAGGCAGCAAAGTCTGTCCCCACGCAATACTGATCCCCCCTTTGAACTGTTGTCAATCGTATATCATACCAGCCAAGGACCCTCCAAGCCTCGATGTCGATCTACGAAAGTTGAACTTCCTGTATAGCGGTATCTCCTTTTCTCTTTCTTCCTTTCTTTGTGTTCCATTCGGACAAGCTTGGCTGCATTGGTTTGTTTCTCTTGGCTTGCTTGGCTTATACAACCACCACACCCACCCACGACTGGATTCGTTCTTGGCTACATCTTGATCAACTTGGCATCTCACACTGGACTACGTGAGCGATCAACAGACAATCGACTGCCACAACCTTGGCAGCCTCTTCCATCGTTCTAGAACACCGCCATGAATCAGGGCCAATCTCAGGGCTCAGCTTGGACCGAATCAGGATCATCGACGCGCAGGAACTCGTACGACTACAAAATGAACCGCCCGGGCTCCCCTCGTCTCGAGGTCGACATCGACAGCCTCAAGCGCAATATGCAGCCCGAGTACAATAACGTCACACCGGTGGTCGAGAAGGGCGCTGGCCCGCCCGCTCCCGCTGCACACGGCCACGATGACCACGGCGGCATCGACATCAATGACCCCAATCGGCCGAGGTACGGACTGAAGAAGCGCCTTCACCACTTCACCTGGGCATGGTACACGCTTGTCATGAGTACCGGTGGTCTATCACTGCTCATCTTTGCGCAGCCCTTTCAATTCACTGGCCTCAGGCAAATTGGTCTCGCGGTTTACATCATCAACATTCTGCTCTTCACCGGTGTCACAACGATGCTTCTGGCCCGATTCTTCCTGTTCCCTGGCGACTTTACAAAATCATTAACCCACGAGCGAGAGGGCTTCTTCTTCCCGACATTTTTCCTCTCGTGCGCCACTCTCATCACGAGCACGCAGCGCTATGCCATTCCCCTTGACGATGACCGTCTCATCTGGGGTATTCAGGTAGCCTTCTGGGCCTATGTGATTATGACTATCTCTCTCGCCATCTTCCAATACGTTTGTCTCTCCCGTCGCCTTATTTCTACAGCTTCACGTTGCTAACCCGTTTCCAAAACAGAGCTATGTCTTCTCCGCCCACAGCTTCGGTCTGCAGACCATGATGCCTACATGGATTCTACCTATCTTCCCGGTCATGCTGTCTGGCACCATTGCCTCCGTCATCGCCGACACCCAGCCTGATATCTCAGCTGTGCCAATCATTGTTGCCGGTCTGACTTGCCAGGGCCTTGGCATGTCTGTCGCTCTCCTCATGTACTCCCACATGGTTGGTCGTCTCATGCAGGCTGGTCTGCCGAACCGCGAGCACCGACCCGGTCTATTCATGTGTGTCGGCCCGCCCTCGTTCACAGCTCTCGCCCTCATTGGCATGGCCCAGGGCCTTCCCGAGGGTTTTGACCCCGATGGCGACGGATTCCTCATCGACGCCGGCCTCATTCGTACCATGGCGCTCATGTCGGCCATCTTCCTCTGGGCTCTCGCCGCTTGGTGGTGGGGCATTGCCGTCGCCGCCGTCGTCCAGGCGCCGCCCGTGTACTTCCATCTTGGCTGGTGGGCCATGGTCTTCCCCAACACTGGTTTCGTCCTGGCCACAATCTCCATCGCCAACGCCCTTGGAAACGACGCTGTCAAGTCTGTCGCTACTGGTCTCAGCATCGTGCTGTTCCTGACGTACTGCATGGTTCTCTACAGCCACACCCGCGCTGTCATCATCCAGGACATCATGTACCCGGGCAGGTGAGCACATTTCTCCCCACATTACATCGTTGCGGCGAGCTTCGTGCTAACAAAATAACAGAGACGAGGACTTCAACGACCACTAGTCTTGAAACAACGTTTCAACGAGCAAAAATAACAACATCTAGAGCATTCAAAACAGGCGTTTCTTTTCTTAACCAAAGACGGGGGGTGATTAGGGGCATGGAAAGGCGTTTAATTCTTCTTCTTTTTTCTCCTCTTCGGAGGATAAAAAGGCCACGAGCGGGGCTCTTTTACACCTCAGCGGTGAAAGTTTCTCCTTCGGACACTGTTGTTTTCTTTTGTATCTGGCGGGGGCGAGCCCAACCGTCGTTGCATTCTGTGTTGCGTGCGGGCATGACATGAGATATCCAGATTGAGATTGTTTTTTTCTGCATCTAGACGCTTTCCATAAAACCCTGAAAAACCCTCGCTTCTGGTGTATCCTTCTGGTGCTCTTGTGTTCTTTTCTTGTGTAGCGTGGTGCTCTTGTCAGAAGGGCATGAGCGCTGAGATGGCGTGGAGCCTAGTACGTCAAGGCTGTGGAACACTGTCCGCGTCCGAGGCCGGACGAGACAGCCAGAAAGAATAGCTCGAAACGTCGCAGCTGTGTCTCGGGCAGACTTATTCCCGGTAGATATCGATTTGGCAACAGTGAACTTTGCCTGAGTAAAGGGACCCCCATGATGGCGACCCTTCTCAACACGACGCATCCCATCATACTCCACCGCATCAGCTTCGACATCAGCTTTTTCGTATGAGCCACATGATCTTCTGGTGGAAAGAGCGTCAAAAAGAGGGCCATGCATCTGGTGGTAGCCTGATCGCGGGCACGCCATCGCGGTGTTGGCCCACTCGCGAGAATCCAGACGGGGTAGAATTTGGTGACGCGATATGCCTGACGGTGTCCCACTCACATGCAGAGAATTACTGGGACTAACGTGAGTGTATGCATTCCAATCGCAAACGCTGATGTTTCCTGTTGGTGGAAGACATATATATCAAGCTTCCACACGGAAGAATCCCGCAATACTCATGTCTGGCGATGTTGGTCACAGAACACAATGGCTGGGTCTCCCATCGAACAAAAGATATAAGACAAAGTTGGACAGAAGACCATAGGAGAGGATCAAAATATCTCTACTGGGTTGTTAGCTGTTCCATTTCTTGCAGCTGTCGGATTCATACCAATCAGCTAGGTTTTGCCCACAGCATATCCTCGCATAGAGCTCCTCCTCCGTACACAAACTCAGCTTTACGGGCTTGTAAGTCGTTGGACTTGGTGCCAGAAATCGGAGCAGCAGTTGACGTGGCCTAGGAAAAGTCCCTGCTGAATGACACGAGCAGATCTGTTCATGTTAGAACCCGGACAGCAT